GCTTTCCATGGTCTGCGACAATGGACTCAGGTAGGCCGAACCGGGTGAATATGTTTTTCTTGGTGAACTTTCGCACCTGCGCTTCTGTAACAGTGGCCAAAGGCTCAGCTTCAATCCATTTGGAAAAGTAGTCGACTGCCACGATCAAGTATTTCATTTGCCCGGGCGCCTTGGGAAAAGGGCCTAACAGGTCCATGCCCCATTGGGCGAAAGGCGAGGCTCCCACATTGCCCTGCATGGGCGCCGCCGGGACATGAATGTCATTTGCATGAATTTGGCACTGGTGGCAGGCGCCCACGTGTGCCCTCGCGTCCCGTCTCATCGTTGGCCAGTAATAACCTTGTCGCAGCAGCGTTTTTTCCAAACTGCGCGCCCCTGCGTGCATTCCGCACGTCCCGCTGTGCACCTCTTCGATTGCTCCTCTGCTTTCCTCCTCATTCAGACACCTCAAATATGCTCCCGAATGAGACCTCTTGTATAACGTTCCTTTGATTATGGAGCACCGGGCCGCCTTTCGACGGAGGCGCCAGGCTTCCTTTGGGTCATCCGGCACCGTTCCTTGGGTCAAGAATAATATGATTGGTGCCATCCACCCGGAGTCGGCGCCTTCGTCCCCCAAGGTTGCGACCAAATATTGGCGGGGTACTTCCGCAGTGACAATGACTTTCCGATCTTCTGTAAACTCTACTGCGGTGGCCAATTTGGATAGGGCATCTGCATGCGCATTTTCCTCACGCGGGATGTGAATGAAGGAGATTTCTCCAAACCAGGCTCCCAGCTCTCTGATCCTTTGCACGTACACTTCTAGCGCTTCCTCCTTTACTTCGAATGCTCCGTTAAGTTGGTTGACAACGAGGGCCGAGTCGGACTTGACCTGGATTTTGTGGGCGCCCAGCTCTTTAGCCATGGTCAGGCCGGCAATCACCGCCTCATACTCTGCAGCATTGTTTGTTTTCAAGGTGGCGAATCGCAGCGCTACCTCGTGCATCGCACCTCTCGGGCTTATCTTCACAATTCCTGCTCCGGCGCCCGTACGGCTGGCCACTCCATCGACTTGGACTTGCCAGCAATCATCTGTCCCCTTCTTTGCCTCAGCTATTCCTTCCGCGACGAAGTCGGCCAGGACTTGAGCCTTGATGGCTGGTCGAGGCGCATACCTGACATCAAACTCGCTTAGCTGGACTGCCCACTTGACGAGGCGCCCGGCCATGTCCATTGATCCCAGCGTGGATTTCAGAGGGAGGTTGGTAAGGACTACGACGGTGTGGGCTTGGAAGTAAGGTCTCAACTTGGTTGCGGCCATCACAACCGCCAGCGCGGCCTTCTCAATGGGCGCGTATCGCTTTTCGTGGGGAACCATGGTGCGACTGACGTAGTACACCGGTCTGTCTTCTCCAGAGTGGGCTTCTCTTGCAACGAGCACGGCACTTACCGACACCTCCGACACAGCAATGTAAAGGTATAGTGGTTCTCCCTCCTTAGGCGCCGTCATCACGGTCGGGGCGCTTAAGAGTTGCTTCAACTCTTCGAATGCTCCGTCACACTCAGTGGTCCATTGGAAACGGGCCGCCTTCTTAAGCGTTCGAAAGAAAGGAGAGGCCTTGTCTGCGGACAGGGGGATGAAGCGCCCCAACGCTGCCAGCCTGCCCGCCAGGCCTTGCACTTCTTTGGGCGTCTTCGGGGGGGGGGGGGGGGGGGGGGGTTAGCTTAAGAATAGCATCCACCTGTTTCGGGTTGGCTTCTATGCCTCTTTTGGTGATCATGAATCCCAGAAATTTTTCCGCTTCGGCGCCGAATACACATTTGAGGGGGTTTAGTCGGAGCCTATGCGCCCTCATGGCCTGGAATGTCTCACGCAAGTCTTCAATGTGGTCTTCCCGTTTCCGACTCTTGACTATGAGGTCATCCACATAAGCTTCCACATTCCGGCCAATTTGCTGCCGGAAGACGTTGTTAACCATCCTTTGGTATGTGGCGCCCGCGTTCTTGAGCCCGAAGGCCATGACCCGATAGCAGAAGTTTCCAAAAGGCGTCATGAAAGCTGTTTTGGGCCGGTCTTCCTCTGCCATGGGGATTTGATGGTATCCTGAAAACATGTCCACGAAGCTCAGCATCTCGTGGTATGCCGTGGAGTCTACCAGCAAGTCTATCCGGGGCATTGGGTAGGCGTCCGTTAGGCACGCCTTGTTGAGGCTTGTGTAATCCACGCACATCCTCCAGTCGCCCGACAGCTTGGGCACAAATACCACATTTGACAGCCAGGTAACATAAGAAGTTTCTTCCACCAAATTTGCGCACATAAGCTTGTCCACCTCGACCCTAAGGGCCGCCTCTTTTTCCGGCGATAAGTTCCTACGCTTTTGTTGCACAGGGCGCCTCCCTTCCTCAACCGCTAACCTGTGCACTGCTGTTTCAGGTTTGACGCCCGGCATTTCCGTTGCACTCCACGTGAAAAGCTCTGCGAACTCTTTTAGAAGCGTGATGAGCTGTTCCATCATCTCGGCAGGCGCCTCTGCCGAGATCCTAACGCACCTTTCTGGGCGCCCTTCCTCCAGCGCTATCAAAAGGTCCTCATCGGCCGCCTCGGCTCGAGGCGCCCCGACTTCCCCCACCTCTATCACATTGACTCTTGCCTCGACGTGTCTTCGCTTGCGCCCTATCTCCTTTGCGTAACGCGGGGCGCCTCGTCCTCGGGCCACGCCCACCCCTTGCGGGGCGATGAACTTCAAGGTTTGATGACAAGTGGAGGCCACCTCATTAAACAAAGCCAGGAGCGGCCTCCCAAGGATCGCATTGTACGGCGAAGGGCAGTCTACTATCCCAAAGTCTATGGCGCGCGTCACCCTTTGCTCCCCATCTCCCAACGTGACGGGCAGGCATACCCGCCCTATCACTCTGGCGGGCGCCCCGGAAAAGCCTACTAGTACCGACTCCGATGGTCTGATCATCTCTGGTGATAGTTGCATGCGAACCACCGTATCCTTGAACAGCACATCCATGGAGCTTCCCGTATCGACCAGCATTCTCCTTACCCTGCATCCGGCTACTACCCCTTGTATCTCCAAGGCGTCCATGGACGGGAGCATGCACGCCTCCTCCGGCGCCTTGTTGAAGCTAATGTCGATCGACTCCTGCACATCCGCCGACGCTGCCCTCAACCGGCGCTTCGCTTCTATCTTCTCCCTCAAATCCATTGTCCCTGAAATGGCTTCGATCGTCAGGCGCACGCGGTCAGGCGCCTTTTCTTGGTCCAAGTCATAGGGTGGTGGTGGCAGCTCCTCCCCTGTTCTCACCACTCCAGCCACACATGCCCTATGCACTCTTTCCTCGGGTTTCCTGATGAAGTCATTGAGCATTCCTCTGTCCGCAAGACCCTGCAGCTCTGTCTTAAGTTGGTAGCAATCAGCCGTGTAGTGCCCAATTTCACGGTGGAAATAGCAGTATCGGTCCAAGTTCCGCTCGTTGGGTTGCCCCCGCATTGGGCCTGGCCACCTGATGTGGTATCCCTTCTCCTTGACGTGCTGGAGCACGTTCTTCAGGGTGTCGTTATACTCGGCGAAGGGCCCAGCCCCTCTAGGCGCCTGGCGCCCCATATCGTTCCTCCTTGGCGGGGGCTGGCTTGTGGGCGCATAGCCCGAACCGCTCGTTGGGTACTGCCTCCTCGGCACCTCGGCCTCCTCCACTCGTGCCTTCCTCCGATCTGCCCTCCTGGCTGCTAATGTCTCCTCCAGCACAATTACCTTTTGCACTCTATGATCCAGGTCCTCTGTGGACACCACATCTCTCTTCGCAAGCGCCCTGCATAGCTCCTCACTGGAGGTGCACTCATTCAGACACACCCCCAGCACCGACGGCTGGGCGTCCTTCACTGCTAAGGCCACGGATAGCCACCTCTCGTAAAATTCCCGTAACGCCTCTCCCTCTTTCTGCTTGACCTTAAACAGGGCGCCTATGGTCAAGGAGCGCCTTTTTCTGCTGGTAAATTTCGCCAAGAACATCGCTGCGAACTGTTCGAAGCAGTCGATGCGCCCTTCACCGATCTGATGATACCAATCGAGAACCACGCCCGAAAAGGTGGACGGAAATACCTTGCACAGGGTGGCGTCTGTGCTGTTATAGAGTTGCATTTTGGTGAAATATCCGTTAAGGTGGTCCTCGGGGTCTCCAGTTCCGTTATAGGCTGGGAGTGGGGGAATGTTGGTTCCGGCTGGCTCCGATAATATGCAACGCGCCAGAGGCTGCCTCACAGGGCAGTGGCGTGAAAGGCGCCCCAATATTCCTCCATTCCATCCACTAGCGTCCGGCGCCCCGTGATCACGTGGGCGCCATAGACCGGGACGCCTCGGGCACCCCGATTCACTCTCCGTCTCTTTCATCCTTTCTCTTTTTTTTGTCGGGCTGGGCGTCATCCCTTCACTCCTCCTTAAGGCGTCCACTTCACGCCGCAGCGCCTCGATCGCCTCGTCTTGATATTCAATGGTCCGGAACAATTCTTTTTTCGTGACTGAGGCGCTCTCGGATCCCCGCAGCGCGCCCTCACTTCCTTCACCTTCTTCCTCCTCGGGCGTCTGCCCTCTCATTCGCTCCGACTGTTCTTCCGTAATTTCTTCCCTTTCTTCATTCATCAGCGCCTCTTCACTCATGACTCCTGGCTATATTCCCCTTCCTGGCGCGCCAATTGTTTGAGACCCGTTACCCTTGTAAGACTCTCCTGAATCCTCTCTCGCCAGGCGCCGATCTGCACACACGAACAAGGAGGGGGCGCCTGGGCCCGTTAATCCTCCGACGCCCAAGTCAGTTTCTAGGAGGAGAGAAGTGTCTCAAAGCTAGAGTTCGTGAGCGAGAGTCCAACCTGTGTAAATGCTACCAACTGCCCCTATTTATACTTACCAGAGTTCGAGGTTGATCCTCTCTACCTCCCTGCCTTCATTCAATGCTTTGTCTCTTTCTGGCCAGACATCCCAACCACCTTGTCAGACTCCTGGCACGTGACAGGCGCCCGCAGGCACTGGACCACATGACAGTCTGGCCTCCTTTGGCTTCTTGTGACTTGTCTTCATGTGGCCTTCCTTTTACTTGGGCCTTGCCCCTCACTTGAGCTGTTTGGGAGCCAAAGTTGCCGCTCATTGGACTTTGCTTATAATACCCCCAACAATTTGCAAGGCTAGTTTCAGGCAATTCTGCCGCATTCTCGTGTCAAAACTACAGTCGAGCCCAATTGATCTTTGGAGCAATTGAATAATGCACAAAAGGGAGAGAACGAAACAAAAAAGTAAGCCAAAACCGGCGTGTGAGAAAAATTGAGCCCAGCGCCATCATCATTAATCTCCCCTTCTTCCCCAACGTTCCTATTTTTCAAAAACCGTTGGAGCCAAAGAACACAGCAACAGCAACATATCAGATCCCCTCTTTCATTCTCCATCTCTGACATTCTTCTTCACACGAACCAAACAACCCAAACACGATGAACTCCTCCATCTAATCCTTCCACTCGACCATCTCCCACCTCCGAAGATGGGTTGCATGCTGGGCTGTTTCGGGCTCTCTTCCAAGCGCAAGCGCAGAAAACCCCCCAGCCGAATCCTACCCAGAGACCAAGTAAGATTGTGGCCATCAATGTCCATCGATTTTGCAATAAAGATGGCATCTTTTCGATTCTGATTTTGTTTTTGCGGTGGTGGGTAATTGGGCAGCAGGGATTCGGCAGTTACGAGCAGCTGGATAGTTCTGGGTCTGCGGATATCGAGTTCAATGAGGAGACGGTAAAGTAAGATTCTAACCTCAGGTGGTTCCTCTGTTTGAGCTTGTTTCTAATTTTGGGCAATTCTTCTGATCCCCTTTTATGTTCATGGCCCGCAGGAAGCAGGCGAAGGAGCCAGTGAAGGGAAAGATCAGGAAGAAAGTGAGCTTCAATTTGAATGTCATGGCGTACGAGCCGATTTCATCCCAATACGATGAAAATGAAGATGGGAAAACAGAGGAAATTGGCAACAGAAGAGGGACAACACTTGAAGAACCACCTCCTTCTCCTGCAGAAAGAGATCCAACAGCAATAAAAATGGTGTCTTACCCCTCCAATTACAGATATCGAGACTGCATCGAAAACTACGACGATGCTGATGAAGAAGAAGAAGAGTTCTACGACGAGAGTGATTTGGATTCCGATGAGGACTACGAGGAGGAGGAGGACGAGGAAGCAGAGGGTGGTCAACTAGGTGATATTGAAGAGATGAGAAGAAGAACAAGAGCAATTCAAGACGAACAAGCCTCACAGCATTTCAGCTCTTTGCAAGCGAGTTCAAATTCAGGGAAATGGCCAGAGAAGAACGAGCATAATGCCCGGGAGAGGAGTCAGTACATACATTCAGTGCTGAACCCAGTTGAGAATCTGGCTCAGTGGAAAGAAATCAAAGCTAAAGGGAAGCAGCAGCAGAAAAAGGAGAACACAGAAGCGATGCTTCTTCCAGTTGAAAAGGTCGTTGTGGCTTCCAGCTTGTCAAACTGGTTAGCCTCTCCTCCAGTAAATTGCCAGCCCAAAACCGGGGTTGACAAAAGCTGTGCTCGGTCATGGAGAAGCAGAGAGGAATCATTAGGCATGACCGATATCACCAACTTAAGTAACTGAACTGGAGAAATTCCTATATGATTTGTATGATGGATTCGACATGAAGCTTAGTGTGAATTAAGAGGCCTTTTGGTCAATGCAGTTGTTGTTTTGATATGATGATGGTGATTGTGACTCTGTTGCCAGATTCTTTGATTCATTTGGCTGTTGTGAATTGCGATTGTTGTCTTGTAGAATCATTCTTTTGTAAGTTACGTGAAGTCTGTCTTTGCGGTGTTTTTCATCTTCTGCTTGTGTGTCTTGTCACTGGTGCTCCTTCATTTGTTCTCAGAACCATCATTCTGAACTGACTTATTGTTTGTTTGTGGAGAATCTAATTCAAAGTAAAGGAGGGTTATTATGGATGGCAACAGTTACCAATATTCTCATTCTGTCATGACAAGATATGAAATTTTACAGTATCATTCTGCAAACAAAATTCTGGCGCATGTGGTTCCAGAAGGAATCCCATACTACTTGGAGGTCACTCGTAGGAAAGGAACTCGATTAAAGAGACAATAGGAACACTTGGGAAGTAATAGTTGAATGATCTACAGATGCTGGTACAGAATATGCACAAACACTGGCAAATAAGCCAGCAATTTTCACTTTCAGTTTCTATAGCTACCTCCTATACGACAGATCAGAGTTATTGTATGACTCTCTGCTTTGATCCCTCATCACCTCATATAATAAGATCGAAGCAAATGACAACTGCATGAAAAAATTCCTGAATACCTTCATCGCAGTACTGGTATTCCAATATGTTATCATTGTCAGGATGAGCACCATCAACTGCTTGAATCATGGTAAACTTGTATGGCAAGAATTTGAACCTTTGATTCCACCAAATAAGTGTCAAAATTATGGCTGCACAGAAGAGTGTGGTTTGGGGATCTTCTGTAGTTGTTGATAGTCATCTACAGATTGCTGAATACTGCTGTAATTGGTGATGATGGCAATATCTACATTATGGTACAAATGCAAGCATCTGAATCCTCGTCATCTGAGTCAGTATCGCTGGAGTCATAAACATACAAACAAGAGGGGAGCTTAGTAGAATGATAGAGAACTATCGTCGAAACCTGATGATGGAAAACTAAAAGATGCTAAAGGTTCACTGAAGAACTCAATAGTCTAAAATTAACAGAGAAGATGAGTTTTGAACTCCAAAGGCCTCAATGAACTCTTACTACCATAAACCCTAACAAACTCAAATTTTTGTTCAATTCGTTAAAGGGAGTGGAGTGGCTTGAAAAAAGCGGCGAAAAGAGAAGTGGGAGTATGTTGCAACGCAAAGAGTAAAGCAAGTGAGCTCGACCACGATACACGACTTAGTGCCACATCAGCTATGCCTGCAACACTTATTTAGAACACAAACTCAATGGACATCACTCTGGTACTAACAAGCCTACAACAGTGAACATTGTAGGCTTCCAATGGTAGGAAAGCAAAAACCTGAATCAGCCTTAACTGAAATCAGAAAATAAGGTTTCTACATTCTACCAGTTTCAGTTATCCCTAGCCACCTAAAAGGTTACATTTCATGTAACAGCAACAACAGATATAGGCTAGGCTAGCCAGTGACATAGAAAGGGCTAAAGTTCAAGAGGAAGAGCCTAGTAGAGAGAAAAATCAGAAAAGGATAAACTACTAAAAGCCCTCAAGAGCCACTTCGAATCAATGTTTCCCAGCAAGTTTCATATCTAAGCTACCGAGACAAAGCCTTTAACTTCAGAATACCAGAGATTAGAATTACAAACTGCCAGGAACTCAATGAGCAGAATACAATTCACATAAGAAAAAAAGAGAGAGAAGTAAGCTAGCTTTTACCTGGGTTCAAACACCAGAATCTCTGCAAGCTTACGCCCATTCTTATCGTTCCACTGAACGTTCCGCCGCACCTTTCCTGACTTTCTGGACATCCCACCTTTCCTCGGAGCCAACAAAGAATTGGACTCGCCCTCTTCCCCGTCATCCCCTTGATTCTCAACTTCATCGCCATCTTTACTTATCAAAGGCTTGGTATCACATCCATTTTCCTCCTTGTCATCCATCGACATCATACGCACCAAAACAAAACAAGATAATACTACACTCTCAAACCCTCAATTTCGGACCCCCAAAAAACAGAGCAGGCTAGAGCGAAGACTAGAGGCAAAGCTCGAGACTTTCCCCTCCCCCCAAAACATCCCATCTACCCAATTGGCTAAACATTGAGAACCCACCAAACCCTGGCCCTGAATTGGAGGAATTCAAGGCGGGAGCTGCAAAACATGGGCTTTTCACAATCTGGGTAGAAAGGTCAATCACTCTGCTTTCCTCCGGCCAATGACGAATCTCAGAACTAAATCGGCCAGGGAGGTAAAGGAAAAGGAAGCGGAAACTAGGAAAGGTAAAGCATTGACTTCCACCGGAAAAAAAGAAAAGAAAACTGAGAGAGGAAGTGAAAACGTAAAAGAAAAGGGTAAGAATCGGCTGAGGGGGGAACGATGCATCTACTCTAGCTAACGGTTAGGTAAATGAAGAAGGAGAAGCAAGCTAAAGTGGAGAGGATGAGATTAATGGTGGAGAAGAGCAAATCTTGTAACCTAAGAAAGGATACCATTGATGAGAAAGGAGGATGAGTGAAGAAGGCCAGAGAGAAGAATAACTGAAAAGGCAACTAATGATAAAAGTGAAGAGAATAATAGTGAAATGACCCCTAGCACTAACAGGGACGGAGGAGGGAAAGGCCAGACAAAGAGAAGAGTCGGCACTCGGCAGGAAATGGGATCTTTTTGATTTTTTTTGGTAATGGAATACAAAAGGAAGAAGAAAGGGAAAAACTTGAAAAAAATAAGGAGAAGGAGACAGCTTGAGGTTGCCGCTTACCTGGTCTGGTTATTCTAACTATGTTGGTGGTGTGGTGATTGGACGGCTGTAATGAGCTGTCACCGCCGGTCGTTAACTTCATTGATTTTATGGGTTGTACACGTGGAGGGTTGTCGTTGGGTGATAGTTGAGAAGAGTTTAGGCAATGAAATATGCATGCTCTCTTTTTTGTATTTAGTAATAGATAGTTAACTTAAGCCTTCTACCTCCACGCAGCAAAACGGCATTGCTTCGTCAGTCTTTTGCTCATTGCATGAACTTCTTTTATCGTTGTCTTTCGTAGGAGTTTGGATCGTGTCTTAGTCTCATTATGGCTGACGGCAGTGGTGGATGCAAGAGTTGGGTACAGGGGTTCGATGATCCCACTCGGCAAAACGATGAGGCAGAAAATCCATTAGATGCATAAATTTTAGTATTATTGATTTTTAAAAAACCTTAGTCAACTTAAAGTCTAGCTACGCCATCGAGTGAGAGAGATAAGTAGTTGTTTAGCAATAAAGTAGTAACTCGATTTAAAATGACTATTAAGAGTATAATTTTAGGAATGGATATGGTTAGTTGATGGTGATAAAGTATATACCAAACTATAGTTGGTGGGAGTGGAGGCAGAAAAGGAAACTGAGAGCTAGTGTTGGTGCAGCAGTTGCTTGGGATGTTGCTAAACATGATTGCAACATTTCAACTTCCACCTCACTCAAAGTGTTTGTTAGTTGAACTTGAAGTTGCTTGCCCACCAGTTACCATGTCTTTCTCTCAACCTTTTTTCCTTATTTTAACTGTGAAGTTTGCTATATATTATCCCCTATCACTGGTTTGCAGATCATGGGGGTGAATGAATGAATGAATCTATGGTACTGTGGAGTTATGAAGGGGAAAAGCACCAACATGTCATTCTGCTTTGAGAGGGAGTCACCTGCATTGAAGCAAATCCTCCTCAAACTATACCAGTAAGTATAACTATATATCAGCATGCTACAGCAGGACCGCAGATGATCTCCACCTCGAGATATGTAGTTATCGATCGATTACTGATTTCGTATGTTTCATTGCAGTGCTGAAAAGCCAGTGCAGACCGATCATCACTTGTATGAATTCGGGTCAGTGGAGTACTATGTGCAGGTAACATCCAAGCTCCACTAGGTCCATATCAATGTTTCCAGAGAGTGGAGCCATTACTGATTTCTGGTGCAATGTCTTATTCAAAGTCCTCAGCTGCTGATCCACACCACAGCTTCTTGTCAGTGCTCACTCCACTGCTCTCCCATTGGGAGATTCCATCCAATGGTCCACTCTCCCCCTACACTATCCAAATGGTGAAAGATATTTGTTCTGAATCTGCAGAGGTCGTGGAGCCTGCAAGAGAAGGATACCACCTCACTCTAAAACTGAACTTTTCTATGATTCCCAAGAGCAAAGGTAGGCGATTAGGAATTATGATATGTCTCGCTGCTGTTGTTCATATGACCTAACTACCATGTCTATCTATTGTGTTCATGTTTCAGAATCAGAGAAAGTGGTGAGACGAATTGCATCAGTGCAAGCCGTGATAATAAGTTCACAGCTGAAAGAAATATTTCGCGGTGTCGATTCCCATGGAACGTTTCAACCCATCAAACTTGTTTATTACCCAAGAGAGCCCTTCTACCTAATCAGACAGGTAACAGCAGTTCATGTTGTTAAGGCAGGAAACAATAGAACGCCACCTTGAAAGTAAGCAAATTCATGTTTTGACAGCCGCAGAAAATCACTGCAGTGTTCCCTATGCGATTTAAGGAACATTCAGATGTCGTTATTGCAACAGCATTCTTCCAGGTACTGCAAAATGAAGAATTCTGGCCTAAAGTCCGTCTTTCTACTAGCCATGATATGTACATTCAACATTCATCACTATGCTGAAATCTGCAACAGGAACTTATGGACGTGGGAAGTTCAGCAAAATGGGCCAAAACACCCACCTGCACCTGGGCGCCTATACCGCCGCCAGAACTGAGGGGAGAGTCGATAGAAGATTTGAGCACCAACGGCGGTTTCGTCAGTTTTGGTATTTCCCTGTACCATCAACATGATAGAGAGCATTACCAGTCAATAGAGCTTAACATTTTTTAACAGTAGCTATCTACACATTGCCAGACATATGTTCACGCCATGTTGAGGGCAAGAAGCTAGAGAAAACTGTCTGGACCCTGTTAAACTTCTATGCCTTCGTCAAAAACCACATTAAGGTAACATTCCTAATCAAGATGCTATCTTTTCATCCATCCTTTGGTCTTCTGTTTCACGAAAGAAGAGGCACATACATTCTTTGGTTGACATCTTTTCAAACAGTGCACCAGAGGTTTGATACAGAGGAGGATGCAAAAGCGGTTGGAAAGTCTGGTTGAGGTAACTGAATTTAGAAACTTGAACAATGGAGTTGACAAAAGAGGAACAGTACTAACATTTTCTGGTGGCTTTTGCAGGTCCTGCACAGAGGAGCTGTGGAAGAGGACAACAGGGTTAAAAGGAGAAGAGGAGGCCGATACATCAGAAAACTTGTCAGCTTATCGAAGTTTAAAACACTCAAAAGAAGATGCAGTGACATTGTTAACAAGATCAAGCGCTTTCACTATAGAATCAAAATCCACGGATTCAACCGCTTTCGCAGACGATGGCTAACCTTGCCAAAGTTTTCTTCTTCAAGGGGGTACAGCAGGCTGGAGTAGCTCAGTAGCTCACTTTCACCATTGAGATACCACCTGAGTTGCTGTTTCCATAGAGCTAGCACATTCTCCACACAACTCAATAGCTTGCAGATTGGAACAATCTCCACATGAAACAACCTGTGTAAAGTTGGTGACTTGGTGTGTAATTCACTGCCATAGAAGCGAAAAAATGGACGGTTAGGATATTCTTATCAACAACACTAGAATGTGTGAAACAATGAGCGATTACAATTCTAGATCTAGATTTTTTCACCTCTTTTTCCAACTCACAATGGGGACCATAAGAGATTTCTCTAGCGAGTTCAAATATCAGAAGCAAAATGAACTACGTGTTTGAATACCAAAGCTAAAATCCAACTCCATGCCCACCTCCTCCGGTTGTGGCTCTAATTGCTCCATCACTCTCTTCCTCACACCCAGCCTTATATCATAACCAACAGAAGAACCCCAAAAAGATCCCACCAGTCTTACAAGCCACAGAAGAAGAATTTCACAGAAACTTGGGAAGAAGAAGAAGAAGAAAAACCCACATCATAGAAAAGAGAGAATCTTGGCCTGGTTTACAGAAATTTCTTCTCTTTCTAGTTGCTGTGTATAATGGCTGTTGCTTCAATTTCTGCAACTGGGGTTAAAGGAGGTTTCGGTACCTCATTCATGGGGGATTGGGGGACTTCAATGGCTGGCGAGGATTACACCGTGCTGGCGAGGTCAGTTCCAAACCAAGTCAGGGTCGGGAAGCCCGTGAAGATGCCGCCCATGATGAAGAACGTTAACGAAGGCAAGGGTCTTTTTGCTCCAGCTGTGGTTGTTGCTCGCAATCTCATTGGGAAGAAGAGGTTTAATCAGCTTCGAGGCAAAGCTATCGCCTTGCACTCACAGGTATCGTTCCTTTTCCATTTTCGGTATTTGCCGGCTTATTTTTTGGCTTACTGCATGCAAAAAGACTTGATTTTGGATTCACTGCTTATCTGGGTTTCTCTGAGGAATTGTACTTGAAATGTGTGGTTGCAGGTGATCACCGAGTTCTGCAAGTCGATAGGAGCAGATGCAAAGCAAAGGCAAGGGCTGATTAGGTTGGCCAAGAAGAATGGAGAAAAACTTGGCTTCCTCGCTTGATTTGATAAACACAGGACAAAGCAAAGATACAGGTCCATTTTGTGCTGGAACTTCATTGTAAAGGAAATGGAAAGTTGCCCTGAAAGAACCAACACCACCTCCACTGCTGTAGTATTTGTACAACTGTTGCTCTCATTCTTCATGCTGTCTGCAATAGTTCCCTTGTGTTTTGACACTATCTAGACATCACAATTTTAGCTGTAGTTCCTGAAAACTGAGTTTTTTCCTATGGAGAATAGATTAGCTATGACTTAAAAAGCCAAACAGGAAAGATAAACTGGAAACTCTGCAAGGAATTTAAAGCAATCATCTGGTTTTTGCACAAACTAAGCCAACAATCTCTGTATGGAGTGAGGAGCTGAGTTTTTTCCTATGAAGAATAGATTAGCTATGACTTAAAAGCCAAACAGGAAAGATAAACTGGAAACTCTGCTAGGAATTTAAAGCAATCATCTGGTTTTTGCACAAACTAAGCCAACAATCTCTGAATGGAGTGAGGAAGTATTACAGTGCAAAATTCGGAGTCTGAAGAAACATATGTTCTTAGGACATGTCTATCAGGCACAATAGCCACTCTGCCTCACAAAATGATACAGACTGCTAAAAGACTATGGACTAGCTAGCTAGACCTTCAATACAACATCTGAAGTCTAAAATTACATGTAGATTGGTTCAGCAGAATAATGCAAAGACACCAAACTAGAATGCAGTGCAGATCCAAGGAACCGTCCCAAGCTCACACGCTGTATCGGCCCTTGACGGATCTTTCCTTGCGTGAATCGTCCTGCAAACACCAAGGAGCCAAATTTAGTAGGCGATTTCAGTCATCTGGCAAGGACTAAAGATACAGGATGAATGTATTACATGAAAACTGTAGGTGATTTTGTCGGTAGTATCAATGATGTCCTTCCACTTTCTTCCAATACCCATCTGTGAAACAAAGGAACAGTCAGAAATTGACATCTTGTACCTTGAATTCATAACAGTACAATAACTGGAAAACAAAGAGGACTACTTATTGGAATCTGCATTGCAACTACGGAACCACAAACCACAAAATAAGAAGCTCTATATTTCGCCCTTCACATACGAACTGATTAATACCATTGAGATATTCATATTTCTCCAATGCTCTGCCAATAAATGCTTGTCTAGGAGGGACTTTACTCAGCCAGCATAAACTCAACAAGTTAGATTCCCAATGATAACAGAAAACCCTACAAATCCCTCATTATGCTTACTATTTCCTCTTCACCTTCTAATCTAGACAAGCTCACAAGAATAAAGCTCCACATTCAGCAAGTTACCTATTAACCATTGTTACCTTATGCCTCTGCTATCATAAAGCATTGGTCCATTCAAAAAAACCAACTCACTTGTACATTTTCAAAATTAATTTGGAGGAGACGGAAAGACAGTCATTGACAGTTTTTCATTTGCATAGGAAGTAACTTGCAAAGGCTTATCAGCCACAATCTGAATGCAAGTTCTGGAATAGGAACACTAGAAGCAAACTTTTCCAATTTTCTTCACACCAGTCAGAAGGAACAAATTACTCTAGCATCAAAGTGAGTCCCGAACAGAAGGAGACGATCAGTACCTGGACAGATTCATTTGCTGCTGTCTTAGTCCATAGAGCAAGTTTATCTTGCCTTTGGCGGACGCTTGCAACCACCCCACAAATCTCTTCGGATTCATCAAATTGTTCTCCGATCAAAGCCATGAGCTACACCATTCAAATCCCATTCAGGTGGGTAACCATGATGACAGCTTCAACTTGCAATAAACAAGAAGCAAATACCCTAACAGAGGGTACCGAAATAACCAATACTAAGGGCAAGAATAGTTAGCAACTTACAGTTTCTAGCCACATCGTATCCAAGAGAGGCTTTCTGCCACAAGCAACACTCCATTTGCCTCCATTAGCACACTCTGGGTCTTCCCACTTGGGTTCAACCCCAGCTCTAAACAAGTGGAAATCAGCGTTGACAGTGACCTTGCTAGGCCTAAATATCTGATCATACAAACTGCATAAAAAAAAAAACCTTTACCAAGTTAAAACCCTTATCCATCAGTCTCCACTCTCAATCAACCAACAATAACACAATATTTAGTGCCTTGTCAGTTGTCACCACTGGAGAATTCGGTGCAAATGACAAAACCGAGCTCCAGAAACTCTATAATCATCCAGTTATAACCCTTCTTAATTCACGATGACCAGAAATCACTAGAAACCACAAGCTTCAAACACCAACCAAGCAATCCAGAAACTTAGATCTAAAACCAACAAACCCCACAAATCAAACTCCTGCATGCTAAAGATAAACTCAAGCATCCAGCTAAAGCAGAGCTGACTTGTGGGTAGGGGAGGAAACGCGAACTCACCACCAGAATTCTTCGACGGTATCAAAGGTATAGGCTTGGCGGAGAGAGCTGCCCCAAGCGGCGCCCTGTTTGGGCTTGGATTGGTTATCGAACCAGAACGTCCACTTTCTCTCGAGCTGGTGAGGCTGCGGTTTCTCTACCGGTGCGTCCGTGGCGGCGGCCGCCGCGGCGCTTACTTCGGTCGCTGTAATGTCGCTGGTTGCCATGGATTCGTCTGTGCCTCCACAAAAGCAATCTTGCAGTCGATGGGTTTTTTTGGGGCGGAGAGAGGTCCGAAAGGAAAGTTGGGAAAGAAAGATGAGACGAACGATGCAGAATTTGGTTTTGGGCAAAGGTTTCCTTTGATACCGTGGGCTTCCGATTCTATTATGTTCATGGGTTAAAGGCCCAAGCATATAAAGGATTATCTAGGCCCATATGTGTTATTTCAGTCTTACCGGTTACCAATATCATAGTTATCCATAGGCCATAGCTAATAAATTTTTCTTCCTAAGTGAAAATTAGGAATAATAAATTAGAATGAATAAATTAGTGGAAGATATCATAATTTCATAAAAATATTAGGACTTTGCTACGGTGACATGCATGTCAGTAGATCTAATCCTAAAGGAAGTCGACCGAATGTGTTGTTTCAGTTATGTGAGGTTTAGCGACGCGGTCGACCGTCTATATAAAATGGTCGACCTCTTTGGGGGTCGAACAGAATGAAAGGTCGACCCAAATACCCCATAGGCTGACCCTTTTGCACCTAATAGGTCAACCACATGCACACCATATCCGTATTGGATAAGGATTCCAACACCAAAAATGTAACCCTAACTTATCTACCACTTAATTCGACCCACTCACGTTCGGGCGACAATGTTGCTTCTGACGCCAACGAAAAGAGCGACCGAGGTTTTATTGTGGTCGACCAAAAATAACAACTTAAACTACAAACGGTCAACCATATGATCTTTGAGGTCAATCGCGATGAGTCCTCAGGGTGCCTAAATTAGTCAATTCGATCGACCGTTGTTACGATTAGGTCAACCGAAATGTCCATGTCACGGTGACATGCATGTCACCATAGGCACACCCAAAATATTATATATGTGTAAAAATGAGAACAGTTCTAGATAAAAATACATACACAAATGAATAATCGGACGAGTTTAGCTTAGATGATAAGACAATCATAATCACCTATTATCCGCAATATTTGGGTTTGCGTTTTATCCAAACCCATCGAAAATCCGTCGGGTTCGAGTTTTACCTTATCCGATTAGGTCAGATTCGGACGGATATACAGGGATGTGGATATTGTTGTCATCCCTACTTTTTTAACCAAAATATTGCATGCTTTGAGTCTAGACTCCCACGGTTTTTTCCTTGAGCTGCATATCAAGGTGACTTTCCGAGATGTCACTCATCCTTGCACTGCTTCGCAATAAAAAACTACGTTAAGAGAATTTAAATTGGCAGAGTGCTGAAGTCTTACCAACACTATATTTCTCAAATTTAGTACCAAATTTACATGTAATTTTACATGTTTTGGCAAGTTGAGGGGGGTTATAGCCTCCCTCTGAGCTTAAGGTTGTTCCGTCATTGCTCCCCCATACTCTGTCAATGTGATTTGTCTAAGATGTTAAATACACCCCTATTTAGGATTCAACGTACTCGTCGACACTTGCCTCACCATTGCCCAAAAGGGAGGCAGAGAGTCTGATACCACTTATAACATCTCGAACCCTTTTCCAACCAAAATATTGTCTGCATTGGATATAAACCAACACAACCTTTTTTTCTTGGGCTGCATACAGTGGCGGAGGGAAGACGAGAAGAGAGGGGCTCTAACCAAGGACCCCAATCAGCTCAAAAACTCATTAGATACACAGGCTTCAGTGTTATTAATTTTTGGTAAGGACCCCCATGAGTTTAAAGTCTGGTTTCGTCACTGGTTGCATATTAAGATTGACTTTCCAAGAAGTCACTCATCCTTACACTGCTTCACAATAAACACACTATTAACTTCGGAACTGTTACAAGAACTCTTCCATTACACTCTAAAACCATGTCTTGTATAGTACAATTAAACAATCGAATCACCGATACAATATGATTTTACGGTGTTAACTATAATAAAGTCGCCGGATGGGACTATTTAAGACGGGTCGCGTTGCATGGATTGGGCGGAAAGGAAGGGAAGGCGAGAGAAGGTTGAGAAACAGAGGGCAGAGGCGCAGAGCCGCTTGGCAATGACATTGACACGCACGGTACTTCCACAAGCTGCCACAACGCCCAAACAAACACTTTCTCTGCATGGCCGCCACGCAGGCCCAACATCGTGCACTTCACCCGTCCGTTTCACAGCAATAAAACCAGCAAAGTAGTATCACCTCACCTCCCTAACAACTAAGAAGAAGAAGAACAAGAAGAAGAAGAACACAGAGCAAAAAAACAGAATGGCAAGGGAGTTGGAGAGGAGGGATGGGATGTCGACGGAGGCGCCTCTTGCTCCTGTCACCTTCGAACGACATGTTCGGGATGACCTCGAAGATCGGCTGCCCAAGCCATGTAAGTAGTTTGATTCCCCCACCCTCTTCATTTCGTCCATTTTTGCTCTCATTTCAGGGGTTTTCCCACTGTGATTAGGGTTTTGGGAGATCTCTGACAATGGATTATGTCGAGGGTTGTTGTCGGCGTTTGGTTTAGATCTGTGACAATGGTAATCAAACCCTTATGGTATTGATTAATCTAGTCAAAATCGTGTTTTGAAATTTAAAAGTTTACGTTTTTATACTCTCTAGATCATCAAAACACTTCTACATGGAATCGCACTTTTCACTAGTAAGTGCAGTAAAAAACTGCATTTTAAAGGTTAAAAGTTTGCATTTTTATGATTTTAGGTCATCAAAATGTTTTTACTATTTCTTTTGACTGCAATGGTAATGATTATATAACAATGGAGAAATGGGTTTTTGATCAGATATGGCAAGAGCATTGGAAGCTCCGGACGCAGAGCACCCGTATGGGACGCCAGGCCACAGGCACAATGGCTTGAGTGTGCTTCAGCAGCATGTCGCCTTCTTCGATCAGGACGACAATGGCATCGTTTACCCTTGGGAGACTTACAGTGGTAAGATAAACTTTAACCCCTCTTTGTTGAAATTGTACTGCTTGGGTATTGGAATGTCAAGTCTCAAATTTTTCACGTTTTGTGGCTGGAATTGGGAAACAGGATTTCGACAGATCGGTTTCAACCCGATTTTCTCTCTGATTATGGCGGTCGCGATCAATGTGGCTCTCAGCTATTCCACTCTCCCTGTGAGTACTGCACATAGTAGAAATGGTGTAGTATGGTCAAAAGTTCTTATAGTGATTAACCCCATGATTGACTGCTGTTTTTGGGTCTACATTGACAGTCGTGGTTTCCTTCACTGCTGTTCCCAATCTACATTTACAACATTCACAAGGCCAAACATGGCAGTGATTCGGGCACGTACGACACCGAAGGAAGGTATACATGTGCAGAATCGAATGTTGTTTCATTCTGATTATGCTTATTTTCCCCCTGACTTATGATTGTAAAATCTTAATACCTGATGAACTACTTGCCTTTGCTTGCTCGATTTACGATCTAGATACTTGCCCGTTCAGTTCGAGAACGTGTTCAGCAAGTACGCGCGAACGGAGCCTGACAGGCTCTCGTTCGGGGAGCTTTGGGACATGACTGAGGGAAACAGGCTTTCCTATGACTTCTTCGGATGGTATGTAATGTGTATGTTCTGTTCTTTTGGCAGTCTCCATTTTATGTTTCTGGTGAAGAGTAACTTTGTTACTTGCTACTACCCTCTCTTTTGCAGGATTGCCTCCAAAGTGGAGTGGGGGATTCTGTACGTCCTTGCGAGGGACGATGAAGGGTACCTCTCGAAAGAGGCTATAAGGCGCTGCTTCGACGGTAGCTTGTTCGAGTACTGCGCTAAGAGGAACATGGGAGGTGATCTAAAGATGCACTAAGGGTGGAAAACCGTCTTTTCGTTTGGAGATCAGTGTAATAAAACTCAGAAGCTCTGAGACAGATCAGACATGTAGAGTCATGTTCTAGTCCTCGTAGAACCAGGCAGCAGTAAATGTAATGAAAAAAACTGTCTTTTTCAAATGTAATGCTGCAGACAAATTGCTCTTGTAGTTCTCTAATCGCTGTTGATAAATCTCCTTGGTTTAGCAGGAAGGGAATATTAGGAGGCGTTATTAATAGACATAGTAGAGAGGATTAGGGAGCTTGAATGTCCTGCCAGCACTTGGAAGGCCTGCAAAGCTGTTGAACTGATCTCCAACTGTGCCCCAGATTCTGTAGCCATCGTTGATCAATTGTTGCCTCACGTTAGCTTTGTACTGCGCCACCCCACCATTCAGTTCATCATTTCCCCTGGCAGATAGACAATAAGAAGTGTTATTATGGGGATTCAAGGGAGACAGACATTGTAAGAGTAAAACAGAAGAGGAGAATCGGGAAGTTCAGAAGGTACCTTAGAAAGAGACTTTTCCAGCCATGGTAGCCAACATCAACAAGGTTGTCAGTTGTGGCTGATCTAAGATCCTCCCTCCTGCTAGAGACCAAGAAGATCTGCACTCCCATTGATTTCAGCACTTTGTAGAGCCTCATTGTGTGTTCCAATGGTGTTGCCTTCCTTTTGCTCGCCCATTCATTGAATGCAGTCGCGTTGAACATCTCCCCCCTCCATGACCAAATAACAAAAATTGACATCAGGTAAGGTGCAAACTATAGAAACATTGGAGTCTTGGAGATAGTTGCAGCTTACCCAAACTGGTGCTGCTTGAAGTAGGGGATGGTGGAGAGAAGGGTGTCGTCCACGTCGAACAGCCATGCATCTTTACCATCTTTCCTGAAGCTGCAGGTGGTGCTAATGTAGACGATGCATTCCTCTACGGTCAACTGCGAGTCGATCTGGTACTGGACCGACGTCACATAGTTGCCAATGTAGGGGACGCATTCTTCGGGGACGACCTTGAAGTCGCGGATGTTGTGGAGCTCCACGTTCATCCTCCAGCTCTCGCAGTAGTTCTGCAAGCTGATCTGCAACCTACTTCGGGCTAACGATAATGCAGCGTGGTGTTTCCCGTTTTGGTGAAGAATGTTCCAGTCTGCAACTGCTTGACTCAGAAACAAACCACAGAAACAAAGCAACAGAGGGACAGTGAGGCTTGCCATTTCTGCTTGCGTTGAGATTTGACGGGGAGGGTGGGGAAATGGGGGTTGTTAAATAGCAGTTGGAGAGCGTTTACCATTGCATCACATGGGCTGTGGACAAAACATTGTGCAAAGAGTCACATGGTGGAAGGTTGCATCGCATCACATGGGCTGTGTACACAGCATTGTGCTAAGAGTAACATGGTGGAAGGTTGTCGCAAGGTCATGGGATAACAATGCATACCTGGATTGGATAATACTATAGTATTGCTGCATTGACTTAGTTGTTCTTTTCTGGTTTGGAATGCATCCTTATGGAATAAGAACTTGTTCGAGTCTCCGCCCTCGTAATTGGTTTGCAAGTTACAGCGCAGAGCCATTCGTAAATTATAACCAGATTGATGGTCAAGTTCATTAGCAGAAGCACAAGTTGCGATATACACACATCGCCAATTTCCCAGTAATTGATACCTGCAAAACAACACAGAAGAACACTGCTTCTTCATATAAGAGTCTCGGACTATCGGGCATAAGAACTTGTTCGAATCTCCACCCTTGTCATTGGGTTACAGGCAACAATGCAGAGCCATTCGTAAATTAAAATGAGAATCCTGTTCGAGTAGATTTGCCAAAGAACAATGCTAGATCGATTGTCGAGTTCATCAGCAAGAGGGATGGCAGATTACGCCCAATTCTGAGTAATCAATACTTCCAAACCAACACAGAACGGAAGAAATGTACCAATGCTTCTTTGCACGAGAGCAATAACGGCTGATGTATGGAGTAGACATTCAAATAACAAAAGGAAAGAGATGACAGATTACCACTATCTGAAGGTAAGAAAGAACATTTAACAAGGCAAACATCAAACATCAAAACTCTTTTAACATCTTTCCCCATGCAAAAATTCATTGTACTTCTGATCATTGGACTTGAAACAAATTCCCAATTCCACAAACACACCTACAGCTCGGAAATAGAAGAAGACACTAGGTTCCAAAATCGACCAAGAACATAAGCAAGAAACGGTTAAACTATAGCATTGGCAGCACTTGCAATCCTAGGCCATAGATCAGCACACTCCTTTCCAATGGGACCAGTAATAGCAGATCCTTTCATTTCTCCCTTCGGATTCACAATGACCCCAGCATTGTCTGCAAATGATAGCAAATCTCAATTTAGAAAGAGGTACAAGTAAAACAGAAATCAAGGTGGCGAAGGCATTCAAGGATCCTAACGAATTGCACATAATAGCTTCGAGCGTATAAATATGTAGGGTCCAAAATGGAGCAGATGAGAAGACTGATTAAACTTTTACACCTGTAACGAAAGGACACCTTTTATTTCCCAGACATGTAACTGTATCAACCAATTAAATCTTAGGAGGCTACCTGACTTAGTCTGGTTAACAGAGGATGGATTCAAGAACGATACTAAACAAACCCAAAATCAGATGAATATATAGGGTCCGAATGGAGCAGATGAGAAGATAAATATAACCTCTACACCTGAAACGAGGGACACCTTAGGTTTCCCAGACATGTAACTGTACCAACCAATCATCATTTAGGAAGCTACCTGACTTAGTCTGGTATATAAGAACATGATAAACCATGAACCACAATTACACATTGCATGATCAACGCACCCAAAAAAAAAGCACAATGGAAATTAGTGTACATGTAGAGTCCAAATGGAGCAGATGATAAGACCAAAAACCTCTACACCTGAAACGAGGGACGCAGTTTGTATCCCAGACATGTAACTGTATCAACCAAGTATTTAGGAGGACACCTGACTTAGTCTGGTAATAATAATTAACAGCCACTTAAATAATCATAGTGTCCCAACCCCGACAGGAATGACAAACACAGCGCAGTTAACATCCGGTCTAGGGGTAAGGTTGGCCTATTCATTCTAGCTGGGTATGGGAGGTGCAGAGAAACTTAAACGTGTATTCTTACACCACATCACCAGCAAATGAACAAGACAAATGATACCATACACTACCATTACGAAAAAGATGAAACAAGAAAACAATGATTGATCAAATTGCAGAAAGTCAAATTCTACAATGACCTATCACAACACAGAGCAGCAACAAAAACGAACACTCATCCTAAATCCAAACCATGTATATGGGTAGCAAGCTTCCATAATAAAGGAGAAATCTTTCGACTGATCAATTCGAACAGCTACGATCCCAAAAAGCATATCAAGACATAAAGTTGTATATTCTCATATGGCTTACCCTCGAAGTACATGAAGACACCATCCTTTCGGCGCCATGGCTTGCGCTGCCTCACGATGACAGCAGGCATGACCTTCTTCCTCAGATCAGGCTTTCCCTTCTTGACAGTGGCCATCACCATATCACCGACGCAAGCAGACGGCAAGCGGTTCAAACGACCCTTGATCCCCTTCACGGAGATGATGTACAGGTTCTTGGCGCCGGTGTTGTCGGCGCAGTTGACCGTGGCTGCCACTGGCAGACCCAGTGACATCCTGAACTTGTTACCAGCGGATCCTCCTCGTCCTGAGCAAATATCGAACGATTAGCAAAGCGAAATCATACACCCTACCAGCCGAACTCGTGATATCACTAAAGCATACAATTCTTCTACAGCAAGGCTATGAGATTGTATATCTAAGATTATTTCCATTTCCATAATACATTTTCATGGCGAACAGACGAAAGCTTGAATCGAAGAATTGAAGCTGAAAGATAAACGAAGAATGGAGAGTAGTGAGGAGAGAATACACACCTCGCTTCGACATCTTCGACTGCTGCGGGGGGAAAACGAAGCTGTGAATTAGGGTTCTGGAGAGTTAAATAGAAAGCAGCCCGACCTAGGGTTTTTGTTGGCCGAACACATTACATCTGTTGGGCTTTGGTAGTGGTCGGCGGTAAAGACACTGGGCTAAGGCCTCGACATTTTAGGCGAAGCGATTGGGCCGAGTTAGCTCGAATTGCGTAGAACCCATAAGTCAAGTCAAAATTTGTATCTAACATTATACGACGGGTGGTCTCCTCGTTTAAAAGTATATTAACCCGTTTAATTTTATTGACAATCCTTTGATTGAGATGATACATAAAGAAAGAATATATAGATTGAACATTTGGAAAAATATAAAAAAAGTATCATTGATCCCATTTTCATAATGATAAATAAGTTCCCGGTAAAATGTTATTGGTTAGTTGATTGTAAGGAACGATAGAGTATAAAAGTTCATTGAAATCCTCTCACGAACTATAGATAGTTTGAAACTAAATCTTAAACCTGGAAATCTTAAATAAAAGTTAAATGCTCTCCTTTTAGGAACAACATGCCACTAATCAAAAAGAAGTGAAGAGTAGTTGATTCAAGTCAACTATATGCTAACAACTCAGCTGAGAGGGGACCATCACAACTGGAGAGCAAATGCCAAAATTAGGGTTACCTCCAATATAGTTATAGACTCGATCAAAGTAATACGGAACAAAATTAGAAACTTCTTCTCTCTCGGTTCCAATAGGTTGAATAAAGAATAGACCGACCTACTTTCGTAAATCAATCAACGATTCCTCGTTTTAAGATGGAATTAGGTTGCGATAGCTTCAAAAACCATTTATTGAACTCCATTATATTCACCATGGATTGATATCGGAGTTAAAAAAATTTTCTTGCCCAGTTTAAATTCCAAATAATAAAATAGTACCAAGAGATCGAAAGATTGATTTTCAAAGGCGACCTTGTACTATGAAGTGAAGGGGCGCAAACTATTGCACAATTTAAGGATTTTAGAGGAAGTTAGAAATAGATAAAAACAAAGATAAAAAGTATAAATTTAAATATAAATTAAAAAATGCAATGACACACCACATAGTAATAGAATTAGTTTCTTCCATGCTGGTAAATACCAATTTACGTTTAGCAAAAATCAAGGAGAGAGCAATTATTTTAGAAATTGAGAAACTACTGGGTCGTTTGGAAGTTGCGATTGTTAAATAGATGTATTGTTGAGAATGCATGTATAATATTATACATGTATTGACGACTTTGATGCATTGTAGAATACAACGCTTGGTATGTGTGATTGTGTATGTCGCATCAGCTAAAAGCTGAGACAAAACAATCTCAACTCAACTATCTCAACAATCACAACTAAAAATCGAGATATAACAATCACTCAAAATAAGTGATAGTTTCTGTCACATCACAGAAACAATTCATGTATTGTTTCCGCTAAAAAACAAAAAAACGATGCATTGTAAACAATACATGCATAATGACAATTTCAACAAAACAATCGCAACTTCCAAACGACCCCTACATGAAACTCTACTATGAAAATTGTAGTATCAAGTAGTGATTTTAGAATTGAGGATTTTTTCATCATGATTAGTGGACTTGATAATCATGATGAAAAAGTTCTCTGATTTTCAGAGTGTCACTTCGTGTATGTTTTGTATTAAAAAATATACAAAAAGTTTGTTTAGTGTTATTGGTTGCGATTGTTGTGTGAATAGTCTTAGGTTCAAATTCTCATATTGACATTTTTATATGGAATAATTAATTAATTGTAAAGACTAAAGACAAAAATGGTATTTCTACTTTCACTCTCATTGTAGGAAATTTGAAATAAAGAAAAGTAGACAAAATCTACAAATACCTATAAGCCAATGTCAATAAATGGCTTTTGCCACCTCAGCTATTGCAACGCAGACCGCATATTGGGTAGGGTTATATTTGTATATTTTCTCTTTGGCTCTTCCCAGCAACTGCCGCTCTTTTTTTTTTCCTTTCCTTTTTCTTAAATTACTAGCTTATACCCGATCCGTTGGTCGGATGAATTATGTTTTATTTGTTATTATTTTATGTTAATCAAGTCATTTATATTTTTAGATGAATTCGACACTTTTAAATAGTTTACTAATGATTTCAAATTAATATTTTTATTATCGGTTGATTTTGACATTGGTGATAATTAGTTCATAGGTAGATTTATTGATAATATTATCGTAACTTAGCGTTGTGTATATATAAATTCTAGGCAATACAAAAATCCAACATTGGTGGTTGAAGGTTACGGAAAAAAGGCCAAAATGCCTAATACCTAGCTACATATGGCACACAAAGAAGAACAAAACTAAGGAACATGAAATTCATGGCATACATGCGATGATCAGGATCAAGATGACATAATATTGTAGAACCGCATCAATATTGGTTTCGTGTTATCATAGTATCACTAAAAAAAGCTAATTACAATATTCCAATGAAGAGATGTTTGGGTTTTGTTACTAAGTGAGTTTTTTTTCTCTCAACATATATTCCAATTTTTTAGCCATCGATCGTCAAATCTTTGTTCCATTCCTTCAAAAAGTCCATCATCTTTAAAATTCCAAGATTCTTACACAGAAATTCTTGGGATACCCTCACCGAGAGGAACAAATCATAGTGTTTGAGTAGATGGATTGGCACTAACTTGTGTAAAACTTGGACGTGCAAGAATAAAATGCACACGTACTAAGTGTTTGAGGCAATTAAAACAATAAAAAACTCAATTTCCATGACCATAAAATTAAACACCCATAACTGATTGGTATGCGTGATGCCTAAGTAGATGACTCGCTAGATGGCGGCTCACCATGCATAAATGTTGTGATAGTGATAAATCATAATCAGGGAGACGAATTGAATCGCAACACTACCCGATGGGCTACCATAGCACAACCCACCAACCCTTGACAGTGTGGGCTGCAACTGCAACATCACCTTCAAAGTTTCAGGTTAAATCAAATCAACAACAGAAAAATGATGTATGCACTTATGAATTTCATACTTTATAAATGCACTATATTGCCCAATTCAATACACATATTGGTTTCTAAATTCCAAAATTATAAAAGCTAAAAACATTTAATTAGCCTGTACACACAATTGATGTACGGTGAGTATACTTTTCTTTTGGTAAGGGTTAAATAATTTTATTAAATATCAATTTAAGATAGGTTAAAAGATATAGCAGAAAGGGAAATCACATGAAAAAAACCAACAGCACAGGGAAGCCCCTTTGAAATAGCAAAAGAAAAAAATATCACAAAGTTCTGTATAACCATCCTCATGGTGAAGCCAAGCAACGGATCCAAATTTGGAGCCACGCCAGCAAAGTAGAAACAAAGCATTGGTACTCCTCTGCAAGGAAGAAATCTTCCATAGCGGCAGTAGCCTCATCAAAACTGAAAAACTGAAAAAGCACCAAAACCAAGCACTTAAAACATACTTCCTTCTTTAGTTGCAAGGTTGACCAGTTCTGCATCACAGTGCGAGGTTTCCATCTCTAATTGTAGACCTGCTCTTGCCATCACATAGCTTTCTTTTGCTATTAGCAGGGTAAATGCATGGCGTCGAGTAAAGCGTACATGCCAGCATACACTTCAGCATGTCCCATACCATGACCATTCTCCTCATGTTAGTTGCTCGTGATTGACTCCTTTAGGAAATGCCAAATACAACAGTGAGAAGCATTGCTTCTTCTCCTAGTCATGACGTCTTGTATTCAGAATGTGAAGGGGAGATTAATTGACGCTGCATCTCCAATTTCCAACCTTTAACAACGTTTATGTCGACCTTTTGTGCTGCTATCAACCAGCTTTATATGAGCATTCTGATCTTATAACAAACAACTTCCGTTGTTGATTCCCTGTCCTCGAAAATTCTCAAGTCCTTGAACATTTAGTTCTTTAGAATCCATTATATCTCAGTCAAAACTGAATTTGAAATTGAAGTTCATTCATGCTCTTAACTTAGAGCCTTGTCAGGGATACATATACACATATATATTACTGCAATTGCTAATTGGTGACTCTAATCACTAAAAAAATTAATGCTCAAGAGATTCAAACAAATTAACTAAAATTGATTCCTGCTCTTAGCTTAAAGCCTTGGCCTGAATACATATCTTCACATGATAGTGCAAGCTAATTCACGGTCTCTTATAAATTTTAATGTTCAGGAGATTCAAACAAATTCATAGATGAGGTAATAGGGCAAGCAGGAATTAAAAAGATAATTGATTGATAGTATTCACTAAGAAACTTAAAGTCATGCACAGAGAATATTGACCTATGTAAGTCCATCCGTAACCCTCAACCTGTAATTGGGTGGGAAAATGTCGAACATAAAAATTTCCAACTACACGGATTAAGTGTTACAGTTTGTTTATCCTCAGGTAAGGCAGCTTGCTAAAGGAAATTGATTGTAGGGTAGCCTTTTCTATGTAACTTGAAAGGTAATTATGAATAACACTTAAACAGGTATAAACATGTATACTTGCTTGCAATATCAAAGTGCGAGATTATCCTAATAGACAACTAAAAATTACTTGTAATTTCTAGGCATAATGATCCTAGATCGAGTTTTTTTTTATGGATCATGAATTTGTGTTCCCAAAGGAGGACAACACTCAAACATCTAATAGGTAAACAAATGAACTTATAGTACTAAAAGGCACAAGAGATACCAACTAATTGAAATTTAGATATAGCTACAATTCTTAAGGGAAGAGAATTAATTATAGTATAGATGCTCAAGAATTCAAAACTAAGCCATAGCTAAGCTACGTAGCTAACATATGTCCCAACATTGTAAGAGAATCCACTGGTGTCAATTCACCAAGAGGGTTAAGGCTTATATGCTGAGTTATTATAGATTACTTGTAATATTATTGAGGAAGATTTCATTGATTAGCCCGATAAGCTTAGTTATAATTTTTTTTTTGTTATATCCAAACATAAGACTTTGCACCTATAGATGTCTTATGTTATTGAAGGTCGTTGCTGGTGCACCTGAATCCAGTGATTCTAGGAGAAATATCATCTGCTTCTATAATGAATTCACCTATAACGTCATTCAACAAACTCAACAGGTAGCACTTTGTGATGCCAAATAGACAACTTTCCATCAATAGTTTTTTTTTGACAACAACAATCATCATTTCATTCCAAACCCACACAAGTGGGAAGCAATACAATTACAATAATGGAGCTACAAGATCAGCAATGACAATCCATTCAGGAGGAAGGAGATCAAGCCGAGCGTTTCTCGCAATCCAATCCGCAAAGGCATTAAATCGACGGGGAACAAACTCAACCACGATCCAAGGAGAGACACATAGAATGGAAACAATCCGGGCAAGAGTTGCCCGGCATTGCCAAGGCCAAAGGCTCGGATCCTGAGTCAACGCAATCGTCAACCTCTGGCAATCAGATCGAACACACGTTGGGACTGGATCCAGGGCTGCCAAGATAACTGCATTAAGAATTGCAACAGCTTCCGCTTGAATCGGAGAAGAACAAAAGAATCTCTCAGCTTTCCCGTCAATAACCTGACCGTGGGAATTCGCAATAGCAATCCCATAAGCCGCCACCTGTGCATCAGAGACAAAGGAACCATCACAATGCACAACCTTACTATAAGGACCAGGCGGTGATAAGGTCGTCGATCGAGAACTCCCAGACTGAGAAGGCAAACCGACTGATCCGGAAGAAGGGGAAGTCGTGCCCGAAGTCCACGCTTCCTTGACCCTTTGAGAATCTCGATCAGCAAGAATTGCCACAGTAGGCGGGGAGAACACCTTTCCTTCAAATACCATTCCATTACGAGCAATCCAGACATTCCACATCGTACACACAATCTTGCAAATTTGGTCCGTTGATGATCTATCCCTGAGATTGAAGAACCAATCAGCAAAACTGGAGTCCGCAGCAGGGAAAAAATCCACCAGGCCAAGCCGAGACCAAGTCTCACATGCCTTGGGGCAATAGAACAAGCAGTGCATAACGGTTTCAGCATTCTCATCACACAGCGGGCACAGAGGACAAAGAGCACACTTGCGTTCAAACAGCCTCGCCCGTGTTGCAATTGCATTCTTACCACACTTCCAAACGAAAAACCGAAGTTTAGGGGGCAAATTGAGATCCCAAAGCCATTTCCAGTTGGAAATTAATAAACTTTCCTTCAACGGAACCCATTTTAGTGAAACTGAATTTTTTTTTATAAAGATGATATATATTAAATTAAGGAAACACCAGTACAAAGACTGGAAAAACAAAGGATACAAATGCATAAATGAGACAGTACTGGAAAAGCACCAGCACGGTGGGAAATGATCTAACGGAACACGACTAGGGAGAAAGCAAAACAAACCAAAAAGGAGACAACCAGGGAGAGGAAGCAGAGGCAAGATAACAAAACCTCCTTCCCCGAAACCAATGGACAAGAAAAACATCAGCTCTGCAGCACAGGAAGCAACATCTGCAAATGAGCTGGAGTCGCACCAAGGAGAAATGCAACCCGACACCGGCAAGAGCAACCACCGCAGAGGAATGAAGGCAAATTAGGAAGCACTTGAAGGGATAATGCTGCCCTGATTTGGAGGAAAGCTAGAGCTAGTAGAAACTGAAACTTAAGTAAACCTCATTGTAATGACAATTATTATTAGCACTTTGTTATGCCAATTAGTGAAATTTCCTTCAACAATTAGGAATTAATAAAAAAAATTTCAGTTGTACCCACTCCAACAAAACATAAGTAAACTTCCTTGTAGTACCAATTATTATAGCCAACACTCCATAATACCAATTATTAAACATTCCTCCAACTGAACTCATTTCAGTAAAACTTCATTATAATAAAACCAATATAAGAGCCTTCGAATGAGCTTAATGAAAAAGCATATGTTGATTTCTTTAATTGGATAAACAAACTACTCTGCTATGCTGACAACTATGTCTAACACGACAAAATCCTATCCATATTCCTACCAATTAAAGAAAATAGCATTTAAGAAGACAACAATGGAGCAGTAACAACCAAAGTTGACCCATTACTAACAGATGTTGAAAATACCATATATCATATTTCAACAAAATGCAACCATAAAATTATTTGGTTTTCCTTTCGAACACAAAACCAGTAATATGTAAAGACAAAGTAAATCTCAAATTATGAACATAAGAAGGAATTTATGAATGGAGAAGTTCCATTAACAATCTAGTAGTAGTGTCTAGAACATTCACTTTCCTTTGATGAAAGGTAAAAAAAGGAGGTTGACATATGTTGTTAGTATCTATCTAGTAGTAGTGGCTAAGTAGTTCTTCTGTCTATAGTCTCCTTTGTCTAGATACAAAGTTTGCTTTCTGAACATAGGCGGTAGTTAGAGCATGTTTGCTGGTTACAGAACTATGACTTTTTATATGCAGAGCTTGATTTTAGATTCCCAGTTGGAGCTATTCCAAGGAATCAATGCAATATTGACCACAAATCCACTTAAGATAAACTTACAGTATGGAATTGAAGAGACTAAGCATTCTTGATAGTACGAAGTAGAAAACCTAAAACACATAGCCCAAATGAGCACTTGTACGGCATGAAAAACTTACTTGAGATTTATCACTAATGTGCACATGCAAGATCCTCGTCTCGGGCAGAGAATATCACATCTATCCACTGCTATGTCTGCAATCGGAGGGAGAAAACTCTGATGAAACCGTCGGTGCGCTGCTTCATGACCGTCATCGCAAGAGTAGATGTTGGGCCTGCGATTGAGGAAGACAAAGCGCAGATGCATTCGAATCCTGTGTCATCGGCGGAGTGGACGGGAGGAGTTTCATGCTAGGAAATTGGTTGCCAGCACACCACTCTTCAAGGTACTCTGCTGCCTAGTATCACCATTGTCATGAAAGTGATTTCCATGAGAAAGAGACAAAGCAGACCCTTTTGATTGAAGAAAAGAATGAAAGAACAAACTGACCAGAGAGAGAAGAATCACCAAAACCCATTACTCTGGACCCCGTTAAACCCTTGGGCAATGGTCGTCGTGGTGCAGCAAAGATAAAAAGGCAAAAAAAAAAAACCCTAAGAAACACAATTAGCACCCGCCACCATTCTCGCATTTTGTTACCATAGACAGGGAGAGAGAGTGAGATCGAGAAGAAGAGGGAGAGATTGGAAAAAATCAAAGACATCAAGGGTATACATAGGAAGGGAATCCCACCAACAAAACTGAAAGATGTGGCCACCGAAGATGTGGATGTGCTGTTAGAGAATAAAAGAATCGATGAATGTGAGGAGTATGTTCTTCGACAAAGAGGAGTGGAGTCGTCGAGCCGAGTAACTGGGGTGGTGGTTCGCAAAAATGGGTTCTCAAGAATGGAGGCAGAGAATGACCGATGAAACAATTTTGGTCCTGGGGAAAAAGGGAAATCGGAGGAAGGAATTTGTTGTGAGAAGGAGAAGGGGGAATCGGAGGAAGGACTATTGCCGTTGCACAGGGAAGAAGAAAAATCCCGCCCGAATTTCTAGCCACGTCAGCTCCCGTAAATCACTCTAAGGACACGGAAATTTGAACGGTGGATGCAGTTTTATGTTTCCACTATAAATGATACTGTAGATTGTAAACTTACAATCCAATAAATTACGTACTCACCAACTCTTACTTTTTCCCCGCCTTTTTACAAGCCCACAACCCCTAGGGCCTAGGCAAGTCATTAAAGTTTAAAACACCAAACTCTATTTATTTGGGTATATCAACAGATTATTGTAAAAAAAAAAAAAGAGGGTATATCAACAGATTTGCAACAATTTTAATTTTTCCCGTACAAATATATCATATTAGTTATTTCATCACATGATTTAGTTCAAAATAAGTATAGATTGCAATTTTGACCTCATCTATTTTACGGGACGTGTTTGATATGTATTAGGTTGGGGCGGGCATGAGTATTCTACTTGATCTAACTCAGCTCATTCTCGACATGTTTTTATCTAAATTGTATGTAATTTTTCTCAAATTACTTCGCATTTTACTTTTATTACTTTGTATTATAGCTATAACAAAACGGTGGATATGTAAGAATCTTAATTTTGTAAATTAATTTAACTACATTTGTCATGTTATATATTGTTTCTTGACTTTTCAATGTAAAGTTCACATTTTTAATATTTTCTCTTTAAAATTTAAAGTATATACCTATATGGGTCAACCTATCCTAACCCGCGCAGGTAATAAAATTCCCGATCTGTCTCGGTCGTAACAAATTTCGACGAGTATGGATATCAAAATATTTGTCTCGGTCTGCCAATTACCATTCCATAACAAGAGAGATCCTTCTTTGTTTAAGATGGAATCTGAATTGTAGATTTCATATTTAGTTTTACCTTTTTCAAGTTTCACTAAGATAATTGTAATATTTTTATATTTAAATAAAATATTAGTACATTAGTGTTATCATAGCCACATAAGATAATGTAAACGTTATTTCACAAAAAAATAGAATTACTGGCCAAGCTTATTGAAGTAGATGAAGATCATGGAATTAATTTTTGTAGTCAATGTGATTTGGAAACTGAGTTTTAAGATATATGTCGGATTACAATCTTTTCGATTGGACTAATCAAATAATTCATATCTTTTCTATTTCGGTTAGAATTGAATTAGTTGGAAGGACTTACCTAGCGAAAGATACCTGATTTAGATACACAATAATTTGAGATGCAAGAATATCAATAGTATATAATTCATTTCTCATGATAATCAATAATAGTTCTTTTACTCAATACTTATACTCAATACTTATTATACGAAAGTTGAAGTTGTGAAATCATCACAAAACAAACACTTTTGATTACATGGTCATCGGGCAAACCCGACCATAAGGTCGGGCCCTATGCTAGTAATATTATGATACGGGTGTTTGGAGAAATATTATGATCATGGCTTCATGCCAAACCAAATGAGCGGCGGCGTTGAATACTGTCAAAAAGAAGAAGCGGGAGAAAAATGAGAACGAAATAATAGGCGCTTAATTTTCCCTCCCTTTTCGAAAATTCCCGCCTAAACCAAAACCCACTTCATCTTCTTCTCCCTCCTTCCCACCCACTCTCTTCTTCCATATACTCTAATGATCCCACTCTCTCACCACCACTCTTTCCATTTTATATTTCCTGCGAATTTCCCTCTGTCGAAATTCAAATTTCGTTTGCATCCCTCCCGCCGCCGCAGGATCAAAGCCGCCACCAAGTCTTCCAACGGAAGCTCCTCCAAATCGTTGGTGGTCAGCAGTTCCTTAAATCACCCGTCAACCCCATTTTCGCTGTCCTTCTTCTTCGATGACGGCGCCGGTGAGTGATGCTTCTCCTCCACCCAGCCACGGCGGCGGCGGTCCCGCGCCGCTCCGTCCGATATCCGAAACCCTAGATGTAGAAAAGCTGCTGCAGCTGTCCGATCCCCCGGAAGAACAACCCCCCTGGATAGTTATATCCGCCGACGACCTTGATTCTGCGCTAACCCTAGACGCCTCCGGCGTGCCTCCTCCGGGAATCAAGGCTTCTACAAGTGAGTGTGGTCGGGATGAGGATCTTCCAGAAGTGGGTGGTGATGGTGTCGTGGATTTCAAGTCTGCTTTGACTTCGTCTGGAAATGCCGCCCAACAATCATTGGCGGCGTTGGAGCCGCAACCGTCGGACGGGGAAGCTGTAATAGGCGAGTCATCAGCTGTTGAAGAGTTGGGGATGGATGATAGTGGGGATTATCAGGCTCCTGGTTCTCCTATGGAAACGGAAGCTGGGACCAGTGCCCCTTCTTCACCCAACTGGAAGCTCAGCGATGTAGATCTTGATTGTGATGAGGATGACTCAGAGTACTACCATCAGCGCCCCCTTGTTGTTGGTCACGGTCCTCGTCCTCGTTTTGGAGCCGATGGATTTCATCGCCGCGGTTGTCCTGCGGGGTATGGACATGGGTGGTGCCAGTGCCGGGCTTGGGTGGATAGAAGCCGCTCTGATTCAGAAGATGAAGATAATAGGCCTAGGGGGTTTTTCAAGCCCCGGAGAGAACCTGTTGAAGATGATAGGTCCAGGGGAGTTTTCTGGTTCCGGAGGGAACCAATTCCTACTGGCATGGTACGTGACTAGTGGGTTTTCTTTCTGATGAATTATTGGAATTGTGCATTAGACTGCTTGTTCAGATGTGTATCCATTCTTTCTGTTGTTGCCTGCAACTATGGTATAGTTTCGTTCATCTGCTTGACAGCTTGAATGCGTCTATGATTGATCATATGCAATGTTCTCATCGTGCACAATGATGAATGTTGCTTTTCAGGGTGCTGGACTTACAAACCTCGGGAACACATGCTTCATCAATGCGATATTGCAATGCTTTACACACACTGTCCCTCTTGTGAAGGCTCTACGATCCCACAATCATTCATTACCTTGTGACAGTAAGTCATTTGCTACTCTGTATTGTTTTCCATCCTCAGATAGATAGCAAACTTGACTCGATACCTTGATTGTTATGGTTGACCCACTTGGAAGGACTTACCATTTTGGTGTTTGTTGACTAAAACTTTGAATCTTTCAGGAGGTAGTGACGGATTCTGTGTTCTTGATGCACTTCGTGATCACATCGAATGTTCTCTGAACTCTTCTGGAGATACTATTGCTCCCCGAAGTCTTTTTGACAACTTGAGTTGTATCCTTTGTTGGCTTCTTTATGCTTCATGGTTGTATTAAATGGTTCTCAATCTCATTGATGATGATTAAGCAAGCATTGAATTATCAATTTGATGTTCTCTGTAGTGTAGTAAGGTATATGGTTCCCTTGTTCTCTTAAGCAGATAGTCTCAATCATATTGCTGAGGTACACGAGTTTGAACTAGGTAGTGTTTGTGGGTAGTAAATTCATTTGCTTATGCCAGTCTTCCACAGGGTTACTTAAATGTGCTCCTTAACATAGATTAGGCATTTCTTCCCTTTTCCAAAAATACCATCAGGAAGATGCACATGAATTTCTGCAGTGCTTGTTGGATAGGCTGGAAAGATGTTGTTCAGATCCCAATGCAGCTGAAGGTTCCTCATCTTCAGAAGCTGAAAATATCGTGCAGCAAATTTTTGGAGGTCGTCTTGTGAGCAAGGTAGGAGAAATCAGCCTTTTGAAACCTCTTCCTGTTTTTTAAGCTACAAATGATCATCTTATCTTTTTAACTGTGCTGGAAATACAGCTAAAATGTTGCAGCTGTGGCCACTTTTCTGACAAATATGAACCTCTAATTGACTTGAGCTTGGAGATTGAAGAGGTGGATAGCCTTCATGACGCACTTGAATCTTTCACTAAAGTGGAGAAGATAGAAGATCCAGAGACAAAGCTGACGTGTGATAGTTGCAAAGAAAAAGTAACGATGGAGAAGCAGCTTATGTTGGAGAGGGCTCCTTTAGTCACTACTTTGCATTTGAAGAGATTCAAGACAGACGGACACTCTGTGGAGAAGATTGGCAAGCACATTGAGTTCCCTCTGGAGCTGGATTTAGTGCCCTACTCCAGTCATGACCAGAATGACAATGTAAGCTGATGATTAGTCTCTTCTAGCGAAATGAGCGAAAGATACTATTCCGTTTGTGCATTACAATTTGTTACTCTTCCGAATAACTTTTAAACGAGCAGCGATGAGCGAAAGATACTATATACTTCTGGTATGTCACAAGATGTCATGACATTAGACTGTCTTTCAAATATCACTAACACTTTATCTATGCAACAGGAGGGTTTGAAGTATCAACTATATGGAGTTGTGGTGCACAATGGTTTTTCGCCTACCTCTGGACACTACTTTTGCTATATAAGGTCGTCACCTGGGAAATGGCACAAGTTAGATGACTCGAGGGTAACGATTACTATATTCAATCAAGAGATGCTTGTTTCTCGATAAATATATTTTGTTGTACATACACTGATGACATTTATTTCTATCCATATTTCTGTTCTGCAGGTCACTGAATGTCGCGAAGAAATTGTATTATCTCAAGTCGCATATCTTCTATTGTATGCCAGAGAAGGTACGCCTTGGTTTTCAAGTTTAATGGACTCGCAAAAGGTTGATCAAGGTTTGGGCACTTCAAGCACGTCTCCAAAATCTGTTCTAGAAACTGTGGACAGGGAGGAGTATACTTCATCTGATAATAACAGTAAGGAAAATGGTGACAATTGTGATACTGCTGCTGCTGTGTTTACTGGAGATGACATAGGAATACTTGAGCCCCAAATTGATCCCTCTAGCGAAACAGTAGTGCAAGATGAACAAGTTGAGACCCTTGAGCAGAACAATGAGGAAGGTCTTGAGGAAAGGCTGAGTTTTCGTGATGATGAGACCAAAGGTGCTGAGAAACCATTGTCTTCTACTCCTGCTGCTGCCGACGATGATATTCTCCAGGCAAAAAGAGACCCTCAGGATTTTGGCACTTTTGGCGATGAAAACTTGCGTCCACAGCTTCATGCCAGTCCGAGTGGCAGTGGCCAGACTGGCCAGAATACTGGTAGGGATTATGGTGGTCTGCTTGTCCAGTCCCACACACCTATCACGCATTCAGGTCGTGCTACCAATGTTGTTCGACTACCAGGTAAGGCCCCGAAACTGGGGGGAAAAAAAACCAATTTGGCAGTGAATCCATTTCTGCTACCAATGTTGTCCGACTGTTATGCAATATGGTTCCTTATGATATAAACTGAAATATATTATGTAACCTTTATCAGAAACCAGATATCGGAATGCAAGAGACCAGCAGTGCAAGGCTGCAAGTCTTGTATCCGAGGAGAGATTATCGAAAAAGGGAGCCAAGGATCCAAAAACAAGTGAAGCTGTTCGGTACATGAACAAGACGATGCCCTCTTCCAGACGGAATCAGCTCATGGCGGCTATTGGTCTCCCAAATGAAGAGAAGAAGGGAGGGTTGAGATCGTCTATGTGCAGTAGTAAGAGGTCCAGAACTCCTGATCCCAGCCGGAGAGTGCTGCGCCGAACTGAACCAATACGATGATGATGCATTTCGTTAGTAGTAGTAGGATAGGAAATTGCTAGTTAAGGAAGAGTGAAATTGTAGTAGTGTAAATGCTTCTGCTCATGAACAACTAGTTCCAAACTGTGGGGAAAAAAAATAATCTAACATCATGGGCGATGTTTCCATTCTTCTCTCTTAATGGAATTCCCATTTTGGTCACAACCTTTGATTGTACTAACAATCTAACATAGGCAAAACTTCCATTTTGAATTAATATAAGTTCAATTACAAATTCAAAGAGTTATTGTGCATCACTCAACAGTTTGTAACTTTCTTAACTTGGATGTAGAAGACAGAATCATGGATGTCTGTTGGTAATCGAGAATTTTGATCAACTCGAAGACTGGGATGAAGAAACTTGTGAAGATAGTCACCAACTCGAGAAGCTGCTTCGACTTTTTTCATCCATTAGTAGAACTCCATCCATGTCAAATTCGTGTGGAAGGTTGTGTCACAGTTGTAACATTTAACAGGTCATAATGTACTTGAATCTGAATGAATTGGTAAACTAACCCAATTACTAATACAGCCAGCTAAGCAACCCTAGTACCAAATTAATGCCTGTCCTCTACCAGTCTTTCTACAACATTACAATCCCATTTCAGTCGATCACTATAAGGTCCTTCTGAGAGTCACGGCAGAAAGGGCTGCTACAGAGGCACTGGAATTGCTTCGCAGTATGGCGGTGGTCATTGAACCCAATGCCATAGTCCTGGCAAAACAAGAAATGTCAATCTATAGAGGCATTTGAGCTTTTTAGTTTACAAAGAGAAAGCAGCTTGCTTCACGTACCCGAGTTAGCTCTTCCATGGCATCTACCTCCCTTGTAGTGAAGAAGGCAAGCTGCAAGTGGAAGTGCATGAATATCCGAATCAAATGTTCAGTTCTTCAGAAGGGAATCTAGCTGGTAAATTATTTCTCTTAGCAACGAGGAGACTTAAGAGAAAGCATAACCCATACATGGTAATATTGATGACTTGCAGTCTCCACCTCAACTGGTATCCCCACTAAGTTTGCATCCCCACACCTAATGAGTAGAAAGATAGAAAAGTAAGTCTAATCATGTACCTTACTGGTCTGAAAACTCAAGCTGATGTCCATTTAAACCAAAAAAATTCAAAACTTAAAGCTCAGAACTTTCTGAAAGTACAATGAGATACCTGTGGTTAATGAACCTTGCAACATTTCCATACTCTGAAGCATCCAAACATAGTGCTTCTTTACCATAATCCTTCAGGACAGGTTCAGAAATATAACGGCCTGCATCAAGCAGAACGATATGTGCATTCTTTTCATCCGTGATGCCTTTACTACCTTGTCTGTGTAGCTCCGACATGGTTAGTATTGCACCAACATATTCGCATACGAAAGCACCCTTCGGCAAGCTCTCAAGAGTTTGAACTCCCCAGCCTTTCCCTTCAGGAGTCCAGAACACCTAAACCCACAACAGCAGAAAAAAGTGAACACTCTGTGCACTGTTCACATATCTTTTGCATATGGTAAGTTGCTTCTAGAAGGGAAAAGTCTAACCTGCAGTTTTCTCGTTATGCCACGCTGGACGATTCTGTTGCCACACTTCTTTAAGCATCCACAGCTGTACCAGCACTCCTTTATGAAATTGCTTTCCATATGGGGCCTAGACAAGTAATGCCCATAAAAGGTGGTGTCCTTCCTAGATGACCATTCCCTCAAAAGCTGCTCTTTTACCAAACCTGACTGCGTGTATGCAAACTCCCCACCATTTAGTTGACCACACTTGCACGGTGGGTTCGTAGTTTGGCAATCACCAACACACTCTGGATAGCAACAGCCTTTGCTCGATGGAACACCAAGTTTAACTTCAATGTTGGCTTCTCCAAGGACCATGTTTTGTGCAATGTAGTTGAATCTCTTCAGATCTTTAGCACGGCTTCCCTCAAGGACTGATATCTCCATTTTTTCCTCACCCTTGCTTATGTCATCAAGATAACCATAACCCTTTCTCTGTGTGGCTTGGCCGATGAATGATCTTGAACATTTAGGGCCTTCTAGCAGCTTGGAGATCATTTTGTTGGTTTTACTACCCACAAATTCAATGCCCTTGATAGACTGAAGGAAACCAAACCCAACAAGCTTGATATGCTTAGGAACTTGTGGAGTGACCTCAATGAGATTATGAAATCTGAATGATGCTATAAGGCATGGATCAGGGGCATCATTTCCGGGGGCACAAAACACTGTGGCCTTGTAGCTGCTAGCGGAGGGATTTGAATCGGAGGGATGAAATGTGGAACTTGTGGGGGCATCAATCATGGTACTATCCATTAAGCAGACAAGGTTGCAGAAGTCATTCATCAGCTTCAAGAAAGAGAAGCTAGGATCCGTTATCTTGTAAGATTTTTTGCATTCATCTTCCATCACCTTTATGACTTCATTTGGAACGCAGATGGTGGATGGTAAGGAAGGGCCACGAACAAGGGAGAGTCTCATCTCTCCTATTGAAGATGAAGCAACACAGTACTCCTCTGCTATACAACAATGTCCTTCATCTTCCACGGAGACAACCTTTTGGTCAATGAAATTCAAGCCATCTTCACTCACAAGAGCTTCATCATTGATTGATGATTGCACTGCACCTAAGGGATGGAGAAGGCCAAAAAGTCTAAGTAAAAATGATTTTCAATTCGAACGAACTTAATCGGCGTGAGAAAGTAGCATTAAGCAATATGTATGTGTACATGCAAAGAGTGAGCTCGACTATAATTGGTTTTCTTATCTTGCTTCTGACTGTAGATATGCATTTCTATCAATCCATTACATGTCGCAGACCCTTACCAGTAATCTCAGCATCGGGAGATGTGTATTCTAGCAACTTCATGCTATCTCCTGGGTTATCAGCTACTTCTTTAGCTGGCACAAGGTTTTTGCAAAGCAAATCTGAATAAGCTTCAAAAACAAGGGAGAACTGCAGAAACCCTTAACCTATATAGATTAAGAAAAGGGGGAAATGATTTGCAGGTGTACCCAAATCAATTTGTTGGCTTACTTACAAGCTACACTAGTAATAGCAACTAGAACAAACATGATAGGTCTAAACATATTGCATTGGCACAAACTTAAAGCGTCGAGTATCAACTACTTTGAAATAGGTAACATATCGATTTCAGATACCCATTACCTGTTTCTGTAACACCTGAAAACTTGTACTCTAGTACCTTCACTTCATCTGCTGGGGTATGATCAATTTCTCTAGCTGCCAAAAGGTTTTCAGTTAGTTTCAAACTCAAAACTTCAAAGCGAGGAAAAGAGTTGAGAATCCTTAATCATCAGTCACAAAAGAAAGTGGACTGATGGTCCACATACCAATTTGTTGACATTAGAACAAACATGAATAGATCTGGAACTACATATCACAATGGTTCTTCAAACTTAAAAAAGCTCCCATCAATCGATCACCACAGAACCACAAACTAAGTCATGAACCAATTTAGGTGAATTCTGTATATGCTAACAACTTTCCTACCAAGGTCTATAATGAGGTTTGATTGTACTACTCAAAATGCATGAATTGATGAAAAAGAATAGGAAAAAAAAAAAAAACACTCATCCACAAGGTGATGAGTTTCTTGCAATAGAAACAATAAGGGTCAAGTGGTAAGAACTGGTTTCAAATGTGGGATGGAACATCTACTTACTAATTTCCTTGCTTTCCAAAATAGTTTATAAGTACCTCAGCACAATTCCAATTCTTTATCTCAGCACGCTTGTTAAGCTATACCTGGAGGGATAAAGGCTAAAGGAATGTCATCTTGGAGGTGGTTGTTGATAGTGTACGGACTCTCCATGACCATATCTCGGGGATCATTAAGGTACATGTCAAGCGCATAATCCATCGGAGAAAGATTAAGTGGGTTCCCATAGCATATTAAGCCAGTTTCATTTTCCCAAGCAGGAAGTATATCTGCCACATCCTCTCTTCTCTGGCGTTTTGTTCTCCGCCTAATCAGTGGAGTCTCAGCATCTTCAGAGTCGTCATCTGATCCTGAGTTTGGTACAATCTTAACTTGTGTTTCCCAGCCACCCCTTGCTACTATCTCTCGATGATCTGGCCTCGAAATTGCTCCAACCTTAACCTCGGTTTTTTGGCAAGACCCTTTCACCTTCTCGTGGTATTGAGGACTTGAGAGTGAAGCAGCTTTCTTCCTTCTTGTGTATAGCCTTATTTTGGTATCCTCATCTCTTGCACTTCCCTGGTTTGTAGGCTTACTCACAGTTGGACTCTTGTAATCTTCAGATTCAGCATCAAGCCCTGAACATGGTCCAGGCAGAATCTTGTCCTTTCTCCGAGCTCCAGACACCTTTTTAGAACTGGAACTTGAGGCCACTTTCTTCTTTCTTGTGCATGACCTTTTCCCTGAAACTTCTTCTAAATCCAACTCTCCAGGTAAGAGATCACCATCAGAATCTGATGAAGCTTCAGCCTTGTGATCCCTCTTCCTTTTCAATGGACTCGGGGATGAAGCTTTCCCTTCCCCTTTCCGGTACCTTGAGCCAACATGTCTAGCCTCGTGTCCAGATGTTCCTTGGGGAGGGGATAATGTACCTTTGCTGGACCTTTTTACTTGCTGGTCAAGCCATCATGCAGCAACATAGGAAACAACAGCATTAAATTGAATAACAATTATCATAGCAAAGCAGCGAGATAAAGCACTTAAAAGTTCATAAAAAGGAGAAGAGAACAGATAAAGGACTCACCTTTGCTTCTGGGTCTGCTGCTGTGGGTACCTTCTCAGGCTTCAAAAGGATGTCCATCAACAGAAGATTAGTGTCACAAAATGGGCAGAAAACTATAACAGTTAAGTAGCAGAGTTTGGAATGTTTAGAATGAAGGAGACCTGTTTCTCTTCTTCTGCAGACAATATAGCATCGATCAGAAGTGAATAGTTGGAGTCTTCAATATCCTTCCAGTTCTTTCTATGGACACGAAGTAGCTCCTCCAACTTTGCCCTAATCATATCAACAGGGAAGCGAAGATCTCTCAGTGCCCTGCAGGCCTTTTCCGTTCTTGCCGCTTTTGTTAGTTTAGGAGCCATTCCAATACTTCACTTCACTCACTTCTCAATCTTAATTTGAACGTCGCTCCTCCTGTTCTTCCCCTGAAAATTCAAATCCGCATCAGTTTCGTGGTTCCAGCTGACTTCTTTTTCTCTCCTGGAGCTAAAATTCATGGGCTCCCAGATGGTTTCCCTACCTTTCCCAGAAGACAAACAGGGTTTCTATAACCTACATTTCCCTACTCTTTGTCCTTTCCCTACCTTTTCCTCGACAGATTGTCAAGCAGGAAAGATTTATAAGCAATATTGAAAGAGGGGGAACAGAGAGCAGAAAACCATGAGGTTCGACCCGGCAATGTGAGTCTAGAAGCCATTTTTTCCAGCTCGGCAGATCAAATAATGTACAAGCGCAAGAAAGCTTAGAACTTTAGAAAGATCAAACCCAAAAAGCTTCATGGAAGTATCAAACTCAACTCACAGAAACAAGGAACCACAGTCTTTAACGTTTAAACATTTGCTTTCCTCAAACGCGGGAAATAGTTTCGATCGATAGATTTCGCCAGAAGGGTGTTCTTGAACTTTGGGCATCAAAACGCCATGGGTTTCTTTAAGTGGAAGTAAAAGCAAAAGGAGCGAGAAATGAAGAGTTGTTTCACGTTACTTACCAGCAGCTTGGTTTCGATTTTCCTAGCTGGAGATCTGGTTTCTGCCGGGTAAGCCAAAACCCTAGGGGAGTTTCCACAAAAGAGAGCAGAGGGAAGGTTGTCCTTCTCGCTTCTGACAGGTTATTTTTCTGTATAGGCCAGAGCTGAATATCTCTCAGTACATGTAGCAGAGGAAAAAGGTCCTTCTTGAACTTCTTTCCAAGAATATACTGAACTGTCTGTCCCATCCAGAAACAAGAAGAATATATTAAACCAGAGTCAACTCGGTTGAACCACGACATAGACATAGGATTGTGCCAATGCTGCCCGGTTTAGTGAAAACTTGGACTCGGTTGATTCGGGTGGTTCATCTAGAGCTCAACCAACTCAGTTCACTTTTTAGCACTGCTTGAAACAAAACATTTTCACAATATAAGAAAATAGTTAACTATCATGTATGAACATCTACTAACAATTCGGGTTATTGGGATTAGTAGGCTTATGATATGAAACTGATAAATATATACGATCATAACTCTTTATCATGTTTTCTTCAGCTTTCTTCAAAAACCAGACTATGATTCCATTAATAGAAGAATGAACTTTTCCACATGAGATCGATAACAAAAAAAAAATAGTGGTTAGGGGAAATTGAAAGAATAAAATTAGGGGTTAGGGAGTTTTGAGATAGGAAGACAAAGAAGGGGATAACTTTAACAATATTTTGTTCATAACCAAAGAATATGTCAAGTCACATGACTTGAATAAAACGGTCTATCATTTTAGGGAATAGTTGATTTCTTCAGAAAAACGATCGACCGAATGGTACACTTATTTTGTTGTAATGCGACTCCACAATGACAAAGGAAAAGAACCGGTCGGCCGTGCCATGAAGAGGTCAACGGTTAGGGCTTATGATATATTTATACCTCAAGCCAACACCGTTAAATTGCTCTAAAGTTAATGACCCTCGTCTCTAGGGGTGTAGGTGGATTAGGTGGGGACGGGTTAGCATGCTAACCCCTTAAGGGGTTGGTTTTTTGACACCCCCTTTTAATTGGTCAATTTTTCATTAATTATTGACAAGTATTAATGAAAGTAAACATAATAAATGTTCTGTTATTAAATACAAAGTAAGCATTAAATACACCACATTAATTACCACTTTACTGGTATTTGTACCACTGCACTGATACTCAGATATGACATTGCTACCAGTGCACTGATATTGCTAGTTGCTACCAGTGCAGTGGTACAACGTATCAGTGCAGTGGTATATCTACCGGTACAGTGGTACACCGTATCAGTGCAGTGGTATTTTTTTGAGGTGGTCGGAGGGAGTCTGCCGATGGGATTTTCACCGGAGAAGTGTGGCGGTCGGAGGAAGTCTAGTGGTCGGAGACTGCTGAAAAAGGAAAAATCAAATATAGTGAGAGAATTCCTAATGTGTATTTAATGTGTGTATTTAATTCCTAATATGTATTTAATAGTGAGAGAATTCCTAATTAATATGGTACATTTAATTCCTAATGTGTATTTAATGTGTGTATTAATTATTGTGTATTAATTATAGTTGTATTTAATATACTAGGGGGTGTCATTTTTCCAACCCCTAAGGGAGGTTAGCATGCTAACCGACCCCGATTAGGTGGGTCGATTTTAGACCTTCTTAATCAACTGACCCATATTTATTGATTTGGGTAGTTGAGAACCCAAACCCAATGATAAAAGAAATGAGGGACGGGATACGGTGACAACCCCCTTGGGGGTTGTCAGATTCACAACCAAGGGTATTTTGGGTATGAGAAAAAGGAATATATTAATTACCTTTTTTGTATTAATTATATTGGGAATTAAAAACCCATATTAAATACAATTTTTTTTCTGAAATTTAAATCCTATACATTAATATCTCTATCTATCTCTCTCTCTCTTCCTTTCTCCAGCAGCCACTCCGCATCGACCGACAAACTTTTTCTCCGGCGAATTCTCTCCTGCAGACTCCCTCCGGCAACCTGAAAAAATGTACCAATGCGTTAAAAAGTGTACCAATCTATTAGTCTACTGGTAATTAATATACCAGTGCTAGTGGTACGCTACCAGTACGTTAAAAAATGTACCAGTACTAGCGGTACCAGTAAAAAATGTACCAGTGCTAGAGGTACGCTACCAGTACGTTAAAAAATGTACCAGTACTAGCGGTATCAGTAAAAAATGTACCAGTACTAGTGGTACGCTACCAGTACAACGATACCACTACCATATTAGTAGCGGTACCAGTAGAGAATAACACAACGCTACTAGCACTGGTAGCACTACCACTAACATTGGTAACGGTACCAGTAGAGAATAACACAAAAAAAAACAGATGATAGTGGTACCAGATGATAGGGGAGCTACTGGTATTGGTACCAGTAGAGACAAACAAAAAATCAGATCGTCGTCCCTCCCACGACGCACGGAACCAACCCAATCGCACCGCTACCGACGCCGCACAACCGATCCCTCACGGGACACTTCAGGGACACAAGCAGAGTCAAATTTGCAGCACCGTTGAGCTTGTAGATATTGCAGCACTTGTCAGCAGGAGTTGGTTCGATAGAGTTTCCTGAGAAAGGGATCTCTGGTAGTATGAGGCTTCCAATAAAAGTTTTGGTGCACAGATTATCGAAGAGATACAAGGATGGAGGCGATATTGCAATGATCAAAAGAGATGGGCGGAGTGGTACCCGCAAGCTTTCCCCGCGTCGATGTCGGCGTGGAGAGGGACTGCCGCCGTAGCGGAGATCGGCTGAGAGGCGGAGGATTGCATGGTGAGATTCGCACGCCGGCGGCACGATCCCGTCCCAGATCTTTTTGTGGTGGTTGGCGATTACGCCGCTGCGGCCGGCCATGTTGCTCTGGCCCGATAGGATGAAGATCTGCGACGGTGAATCCTGCTGTACGGGAGAGAGGGAGGATGGAGGGTTAGGGTTTTTTTCTTTTTATATGGTAGGGGGAATGATTGGGTGTGGTAAATTTTTACCTTTCCAAAAATATCCTTCCTTTAATCTTAACCGTTAATTTAAAAAAAGAAGAAAGAGACAGGAGAGAGAGCGTATCCAAGGGCTATGAAGTGAGTTGTGAATCTGACAACCCCCTTAGGGGTTGTCACCGTATCTCGTCCCAAGAAATGAAACCCTAGTGTGGTTGACTATGGATCGGTCCTGGTGAAGATTTAGGACGAGTTAAATTGCACACCGATGATGACACACTAACTAAATTGCCTATATATCAAAGCAAAAACTAATAAGTAATAACTCTAAAGACAACACTCAGATGATTGAAAATAAAACAATACTGGAGATATATTTATAAGGTCTAAACAATTTATGATGCTAACACATATACATTATAAAGCTAATAAGATATTTGATTATTATCCACATAAAAATCCAAATTGAACATTTAAAATTGTTATGCAACTTGCCTTTGATATGGTATAGGCTTGATACATTGCAAAAAATTGTTTGCAATGAATTGTTTTTTTATTTTTTATTTTTTGCACAAACAAATCTCAAGTTTGCTTGATGTGACACACACTATCACTAAAGAATGAATGATAGTTAAATCTCAAGTTTTTTTTTAGATTGTTGAGATTGTTTGATTGAGATTGTTGAGATTTTTTTTCCTTCCGACTATATCCCTACTTTTTTATGTGTGTTGCTTTCTTATATTAAAAAACAAAGCGTAAAAGCCACATTTTACCCAAAAAGTAATATAACTTATTTAAATACTACAATAAGCATCACATAAACCAGACGATGTAAATTATAATACACCAATTTTCTTGTATACATGTGTATTATTATATGCATGCATGGATAACAATGCATCAATTTAACTATCACCAAAACCAAACTAGATTTAACGCTTATACTAATTTCCTTCTCCATAAGAAATGTGGCAAAACCAAAGAAGAAGCTACAGTTGGAGGTTGCAGCTCGCTATAAATGCGCCCTTTTAACTTTGCACATCCAACTTTCAGCTTCTGTTCTCTGCTGCCAGCTTGAAATAGGAGAAAGAGAGAGCATGAAACTTGACCATTGACCAGACCACAAACACTACGTGGCTTCACATTCTGAAATGTATCTAGGGGCCACACCACACCAGAGGTGATCATCTAGTTGGACAAGCTTCCTGGATCATCCGGTATAAAAAACCATCAACACAAACGATGAACTCTTACAAATCCATAATGCAACAAATCCATCACAAAATCCTATGATTTTAAAAACTAAAAACTTTCATTCTAAAATCCAACAAGCAAACGACCCCCTTAAAGAAATTCTTGTAAGTTAATGGCCTCCTCGTACCAAAAGAGTGGTGACACCCCCCTTCTATGGTGACACTTTGTGTGTGGGATAAATTGTGAGAGCTTGAGTTTTTACGAGTTCACGCTCTAAAACGTAGCCTAACGTGTATTTGAAGTATGAAAAATTCCTATTTAACGAGTGTAAGAGACGCCAGAGAAAATTACATGTCGAACAAACTCATCAAATTATATGTAAAATATTGAAATCTCTAGAAATGTGTTGCACAAAATATTGAAAGAGTTGCAAAATCTTACGGATCCCCTTTTAATTCATCATTCTTAGTAAGTTTCAAGGTATTCTTTGAATAAATATGTTAAGAGAATGCACATACCGAATTATCCTACTTAGTTTATATATATTCTCCAGCCAAATACCTTTTTCAAATTTCAATAATCTATGACATATTTCTATATCTTTCAACAACAAAAAAATAGACATATTTCTATATATAATATTCGAAAACACTTTTGATGTTTAACTAAACATACGCATGATAATGTAGAAATTTGAAGGAAAACCGTGAGATAAGCAAATAGATAGCCATTTTACCAGCCGTAGAAAATGTCGAAATGAGCTGTTAGGCATGATAGTTAGCAACAAAACTAATCCTCCATTAATATATGGTAGAGTTTTGTGTACTTTTCTCCATTTCAAGTTTCCTGCAACGAGAGTGAAAGTAGGAAGGTCAATTTTGTCTTTACACATTTATTATTTATTTCATATAAAAATAGCAATATCAAGATTTGAACCCGGGTCTCTTCAAACAAAGATAACAATCACAACCAGTTACACTAAACAAATTTATTGCATCCTTTTTGATACAAAACATAGACAAAGTTAATCTCTGAAAATCAGAGGGCTTTTTCATCATAATTAGCAAGCTCACTAAGTCTACCGTATGTATTATTATCGAGCTTGATACTTCTATTTTCATAGTAGAGTTTCATGTAATTTTCTCAATTTTAAATTCCCGCTCTCTCCTTAATTTTTGCTAAAGGTAAATGGGTAATTGGCTAACATGGAAGAAACTAATTATGTAACTACGTGTTGTATCCTTGCATTTTACAATTTAAATTTAAATTTTGTGTTTTTTTATCTTTGTTCTTTTCTCTTTTTAACTTCCTCCGAAATTTCATTCATCGTGCAATAGTTTGCGCCTTTCACTTCCCAGTACAAGACTGTCATTGAAAATCAATCTTCAGGTATCTCTTGGCACTACGGTTTTATTGTTGGGGATTTTAAGCTGGGCGAGTAGAAGATTTCAACTCCGATATCAATCCATGGCATATAGAATGGAGTTCATCAATAACTGGAGTTGTAGAAGGAGGATTAGAAATTGAATTTTTGGTTGAATATATGCCTCTTGAGATATAAATTTGGTTGTACAACGGAGAGTGGTGGGTATTGGATCTTTAGGTTTATGGTTTTTGCAACTGTCACAACCTATTTCTATCTTAAAATGAGGAATCATAGATTGATTGTTTGAAATATGTCGCTTCTTTATTCAACCTACTGGAACTAATAGATAAGGAGTGTCTAATTTTGCGCCTTATTACTTTGATTGAGTCTATTCGTATATTGGAGATAACCCTGATTTTTTCGTTTGCTCTCAAGTTGTGATGGTCCCCTCTTAGCTGAGTTTTTAGTATATAGATGACTTGAATCAGCAACTCTCCATTTCTTTTTGATTAATGACATATTGTTTCTAAAAGGAGAGCATTGAACCCTTTATATAGGATTGTGAGGTTTAAGATTTAGTTTCAAACTATTTATGGGTCGTGTGAGAATTTCAGGGAGCTTTTATACTCTATATTTCTTGACTGTAAAAAAAAACTAACCAATAGCATTTTAACAGGGACTTAATTAACATTATGAAAATGGGGTCAATGATACATTTTTATATTTTATATTCTTAAATGATTATGATATTTCTCCGAATGTTCGACCTATATACTATTTCTTTATGTATCATCTCGATCGAATGATTATCAATAAGATTAAACGGGTTAATAGACTTAAAAGTAACATAAAAATACAAATAATCAAATATGAGCATTCCGGCCAAAGGGCCGAGTTATAAGCTAGTAAGTATAAAATATCTTCTTTCTTCCTTTGGAGTTTTTCAAGTTTAAACTCTTTCCACCCACAGAAAAAAAAAATAATGGAATGAGCCATTCTCCTAGTTCCTACTTGCCATTCTCGCCTGCCCTTCAGCTCAAATAAACTGTCATCGACGATTTTATGGTCTTTCACAAAATTCAGATATATGTTAGAAACAGATTTCTGTAGGGTTTCTCGATTTATTAATATAATTATTATTAGGATAATTATCAATAAGGTTAGTAGTCATTTAATAGAATTAGGTTTATTATTAGGGTTTTCTAGAATTCCCTATAAATATGTACCTTACTTATTCATTCGGTATCAATAAGAAGAATAATAAGAAAATCCCGAAACCCTATTCTCTCCTAAATCCTCTCAATTTCTCCTCTATCCCTAATCCGGCCGCCGGCCATTCTTTCTCATTCTTCCCCAAATTCTACTTCCAAATCACTAATTCTATCTTCTCGATCCCTAAATTCCCAAATATCACCCAATACGAATCCCGTTAGAAACTTTGTTTCTAACATCTGGTATCAGAACCCGGTTTCGAGAATTGAGTTCACCACAACTCTCAACCGGGGACGATTTCTACAACTGGTTCGACGATGAGCTCTTCAAAGCTCTCGAACCTGTCGTGGGCAGAATTGCGGGACAGAGCCCGCCGCATCGGCCGCCGTTGGCTGCCCGAAGAGCCGACAGTCGAGCTGTTTGGCGCCGCCCCAATCGCGCGCCCCCCTTTGTCGGCCGAGACCGCGCCGCGCGCTGGAGGAGGTCGGGCCGAGCAGCAGCGCCCCGCGGTAGTCGAGGCCGCGCCGCGCACGGGAGAGGAGAGGGCCGAGCGGCGCCCCGTGGTGCCCGCCGCGATCGGACGTCGTGGTCTGTCCGAAGAGTCGCCGACCGCGCAAATAGAAGACGGCGGGGAGCTTTCCCACGCACCGCCGGAGATGGAGTTTCGTCCGTGGAAGGAGGGAGAAACGAGGAAGAAGGTAGTGGCGGCGGCGCCCGTTGCTTCGGACGACGGGGAGGTGGCCTCAGTAGCACGTAGGACATTTCGTCGGCGGAATGGTTCGTCGCCGTGGAAATTGATGGAGGTGAAGGAGGAAGGTGGCGCCTCCTATCCTCTCACAAACCCTAAGGGTTGCACTGAGCAGCATGGGCTCGAACGGACCGGGCTCGTTTTGGGCCGACTTCATCTGTTGAGCAGGCCGCAAGTAGACCAGAGTACTGGGCTGCAATGGGGAAAGAAGTGGGCTGAACCAATTTCTGAAGGTGGGCCGCAGTTGGGGAGAAAGATGGCCGAGCCAAATCTTGGTTTTGTCCAATTCTTGGGCCTTATATGAGCAATTTAACATTGGCCCTTCTGTATGGAGTGGACTTCATTCGAGTAGTGGAGCATGATTGGAAGAAAAGAAAGCGCAAGAATGGAGGAGGCAAGACGTGGATTGCACGGTAGGCTTGAAGAAATGGGTCGAACTGATCAACCTTGAGGGCAAGGTTGGTCTCAAGGGGGATGAGATGTTAGAAACACGTTTTCTAAGGAAAACGAGTTTCTATATTATCATTATTATTAGGTTTTATTAAATATGGTTAGTAGTCTTTTAGTAGAATTAGGTTTATTATTAGGTTTTCCTATCTTTCCTATAAATATGTAATTTGGGTTTCATTATCAAGGAGAAAGAACAATTATTCAGAAAAGTATCTCAAACCCTAATCTCTCTTGACATTTCCGTCTATCTATAGATTCCCCGGAGGGGGCCTGCCTGGGGTCGGTAGAATTCTCAAATTCGTCACCTATCCCTAGGCCGTCGGCCATTCTTCTCCTCGATCCCCAATTTCCTCTTCTAAATCCCTAATCCCCAATTCTGTTCTTCCCCAACTCTATCTCAATCCCTAAATATCTATCAATTCCCAATCTCATCAATCCGACCGTTAGAACCCTAGAAATAGGTTTCTAACAATATACGTGACATTTACAAATTCGTGAAGTCTATCAATTTGAAGCTAAAAATTATTAAATTCATGAGAATTTTCAAGTTTGTGAGATCCATAGTTTTGGATTTAAAAAGAAGACCAAATCTGTACACCCCACGAAATTGACAATTATAAACAATCAATAGATTTGGTACCAAATTCATGACAAGAATCCAACAAACAAACGACTTCTTAGGAATGATAATGAGTAGACTCATTGAGTAATTTAACTCCATTGTTATTACGCAAACCATTTCATAGGATTGAGGAATACCAATTACCAAATTGTACTACCACTGAACTCAAATTGCGGTATAGTGGGTATTATTCTTCAAATATAAACAACACAGGTTTTTTTTTAGAGTCTTGTTACATTATTATATACAACAATTTCATAGGTTTCTTTCGTTGTAGTTTGATGGTTGTGTGTTTATGACAAAATGGGACTTGATAACGCACTAATATGGATACGTTACTAGTACTGTTACAATTCGATTATGAATACTGACGCTTCTTGTGATTTGAAATTCTGGAAATGTGTTGCAATTATCTAACATCATCCCTTCTATTGTTGTACTTTTGACTTACACCACTTGTGTAAGCAAGTTTCTCATTACATGGCTTTGGCCTATTTTATTATGAAATCCACTCACCTTCTTCCAAAACATTTGGTAAAAACTAAACCAGAACATGTAACAATCACAGTGATCCCCATAGTTAAACTAGACAACATACTTGAGCGCACTTGGGTTGATGAAAAAAAAACCTCCATTCATTGCAAATTAAATAGAGAACTAAGTAATAATCTAATAATCTATTCTTTTATTTCTTGTATATACTCCAAACAAAATTAGTAATTACACATTATCTTATTCAGCAAAGCAAATTCTGACAACACAAAAAAGGACTTGAAATCACGAAGCTGAAGAAGATGGGTGAAATGAAACCCACCACGGTAAAAAAAAAAAAAAAAAAATTACAATGACAAAGACACATATCTACAAAAATTACAGTCTTTATTCCAACTTTGCTACACCCTGACTTAATCTCTTTGTATATTAATTTAAGTTAAAAGTATAATTAATTACTGACCCTATACTTTCAGTTCAAAGCCAGAGGAGGGGAGAGCTTAATCACATCTCCTTAAAACTCAAATTACAATATCTCCTCCCCCCCAGCTACTGAAAATCCTGTACTGTCTTCCCCTGGCTGATGATGGAAAAAGGGTCCTCAAAAATTTGTATTAGGGTTTTATGTAAACTGATGAACTGTGTTGTTATATCAATGATTGGATCGAGTAGTTGCATTTGTTGAAGGAGTTCATTTCATTGATGTGTGCAAACATGGAGTCCACCATCTCTTCCTCTTCCTTAACTGCTACTACCTGCTACAGAGTTTCAACCAAAGCAGGGTTACTGTTAGATAAGCTCTCAAATTCAACGGCGGAAAGGAAGAAGAAGCAGTTCATTACTCTTACTTCATCATCCTCTTCTTCTTCATGGTTGCTGCAGGCAGCTCTGTTGGTTTCTCCGAAATCGTCGTTCTTCGCGAACCTTCCCCTTACTCGCGGCCTGCTGTCTGCCAGCGTCTTCCGGCAAGCATACTGAAATGCAACAGTCAAAACCCATATTTAATTTACACCATTTTTTGTGATAAAGTTGCTAGCTTTTTTTCCCGAATTGGAAAGAGGGGGAGAAAAACAGAGGAGATACAGGGGAATTGGATGATAGACAGACAGAGAACATACCTTGATTTTCTTGCTGAAGTTCCTCTCGTTCCTCTTCTTCATGTACCTGTGAATCTTCTCCTTCCTCTGCTCCACCGATAGCTTCCCTACTTTGAAGCTCGAATCCTCCAAACTCGCCAACTCCGTCGCCAATGGCGTAGAGAAGTGGGATTGCTCTGTTTTTGTGTGTACCTGAAGGTCGGAAGGGTTGAAAACGCGCTGAAGAGAGTCGGATGGGAAGTAGATTCCACCACCATTGTCCCCTTGGTAATCTAGCTCCTGAGTCTGCAACAACTGATCGCCGCCCATGTAAATCCCGCCGGCGAAAATGTTCCCGGTGTTGTCGGCGGCTGAAGGCATGAAGGTGGTGAAGTTAGTCGCCAAGAACGAGGAAGAAGGGGAAGCCGGATTGAATTGGGCGTAGGATGGGACAGAGGACAAGCAATCTTCTTCGAAGAGCGAGGGGATCAGGAGTTGGGGGTTATCGTTATGGTGACTGAGGGCGTGGTGCTGTGGGTGAATGGATGTGAAGTCAAAGTTGTTGTGGTGGGAGAATGGAGGGACAGAGAAGGCTGCAGGGGAAGAGGAGAAGTCTATGGAGGCAGAGATGTCGTTGTCGAGCTCGTCTTGCGGGTCGAACAGTATGGAGGAGAGGTTGCTGCTGTTGTTGGTGGTGTTTGGCGCTGTGCCGGCGCTGGTGGTGCTTGTGTTGCTACTCGTTGAACCATTGTTGTTATTGTTGTTGTTGTTGTTGTTAGTGCTAGTGGTTGTGTTGCCAATATTGGTGTCTTGCCCGGTGTTGATGTTGTTGTTGTTGTACTTCTCCAAATCAGGAGGCAACGACAGGTTTGTGGTGTATGGAGAATTCTCGTCGTAGCAGCCGTTATTGGAGCTCGATGTACCATCCGAGTTCTGCATTGTCTCCTGGAAGAAGTCCGATTCGCAGAATTCCAGGAGCTGAGCGTTGATCGGGCTCGACACATCGTCCTGCAAAAGTAAGTAAGTCCATCACAGTCAGAAGATCATGTTAGCGCGAGAGAACCAATTCGTTGTAACAAGAATATCGATCAGTGTACCATGTTCGCAATTCGCAACCACAAAGCTTGGTTCTTTGGTTGGGAAATTTGTTACCTAGGGTTCAAACAGAGAATTAAATGAAATGGGGTTTGTAGAGATTCCTGAATTCCACTGATCCATATTGGGTGAAGAACACAGAGGGAAGTTGTATAGAGAATAACAAGAACATGAATAGTGGATGTTTTCACTAAAGCAGGAAATAAAGAATATGCTCCCATGTGACAATGAAGGACAAGTCACTTTTGTTTTGTGACCAAGATTGGTAGATCAAAGAGGGTATGTGAATAGGACAGTAACAAAGGAAGTGCAGTTGTGATTGTGCAGACCAGAAATGGAAACAAGAGAGAGTTGGGGATTATGGGTTTGAGTGGGTATTTGTCATTTGGGTCATTTCCCATCCAATCTCAAAGTTACAAGATCAAAGAATCACTAGTCTACCTGCAGAAAGAAAAAAGAGGAAAACATGGTGTTCTTGAAGTGAAGAACTATTATTGATAAAAGGGAGTAGAAAGGAGGTAGAGGAAAAAGGTAGCTGGTTTTTCTAATGTTGAAGCAAAGTAGAAGAATTGATATGCTACTGCTATAACTGCATCATTGGGAGAATGATGCATGCCCCTGTTTCTGTTTGGAAACAGAGTCATGGAAAATTAATTTATAGACAATATACATGTGTTAAGAGTTTTATTTCTCTACCTATATTTGGGGATCTCAAAACTTTAGAACTTACTCATCTCGTGCATGCATGGCTTTCCACGAAGGAGAAAAATTGAAACTTTTATAAATATCAAAACAAAGTTTGCAGAATGGCGAGAATTTGGAAAATCACAGAAATGACGATGAAAACAGGTTGACGGGAATCATACGAGACGATGGAAAAAACCGAAAGAAACCCTAAACAGAAACAGACCACAAATGCAATCGTAGGGAAGTATGGTATATAGAGAATGGGGGGAGGAAGAAACTTACGACGAGTGGAAGCTGCTCCGACGACGTCTGGTGAATCACGTCTTGCAACATTCTGTGTATGGAATGTGCGTGCGGGGAAAGAATGATGATTTCTTCTCGAAACTCGATCTTCTTATTGCGCTGAATATTGATTCCTTTGATCTCTTCTGATTTTTTTTTTTTTTACACTCTTTATATCGAAATAGAGATGGTGTATAGAGTAAATCAACGGATTAATCCGCGTGTGCCAGCTAACACCCAACTGTGATGACTCGCATTCGTTTGGCACCCTCCCTCGTATTCTCTAACAATTCCAGGTTTCAACAATATAACAAGATTACTAGACTGATGTAAACACGCAATACGGTTTATAAAAAAGATTATCAAACAACCGAACGGGAAAATAAAAAGGCTAACGAACAAAGAAACAGGAAGAACAAAAGATGGAAGTGGAGTTGAAATTGATTAACTAGAATAAGGTGGTTTGAAATGTGTTTTGTGTTGAAAAAAGAAAAGGAGGCAATTCGGTAGCTTTTGTAAAGGTAAAAAAAAAACGAGGCAAAATGGTTAAATTCCATGCCGCCGTGAAACCAGGAAAACGAGGATACGAGGAAGTAGGAGGGTATGAAAAAAATTTAAAGAGGCATGCCAATTGCATGGGACGGAAAATGTCATGTCTAAAGTTAGTTAACGTCTTGTACGTAGGGATGGCAACAAAACCCGAATCCACGGGTACCCGCCCGACTCAATCCGGTCAATGCGGGTAAAACTCGTGTTGACGGGGTTTTGGACCGAGTTCGGGTTTAAACCCGCTACACTATTCATCGGGTCGGGTTTGGGTTTAGGTAAACCCGCCTCATGGGTACCCGCCCACACACATATAATTACTTTCCCGGTATATTTAATATTCTAAATAATATATCTTCGTTAAACAACTAATATTCTTTATGTTTGTGGAGACATGTATAATTTGTTCTTTCTAATTGTTTAGAATGAAGTTGATATAATGAAGTGGAGAGTGAATAAACTTAGTTGACGAGGAAGAAGCTTTCAATTAATCTTATTGTTTATAGATGTTTATCTTTAATTTTGAACAATTTGTATTGATCATTTGCGGTTTGCTTGTATGCTCTAGATTGATGTTTTTTGTATGAATAATTTGTATGAGAAAATTTATGTTAAACTTTTATTTTGAAAGAAACTTGTTATTGTAAATTTTTTACCACAAAAACCCACGGGTACCCATGAACCCGCGGATACCCAGCGGGTTGGGTTTGAGTTTTTCAAACCCAGCGGGTTTTACCCCGAGTTTTTTGACGGATAAACCCATGGGTTTGGCTTTGGGTTTGACAAAACCTGCCTCAACCCGACCCATTGCCATCCCTACTCGTACGATCTCCTTCCCGTTGCCAGCGTGGCATCCCTCTCCCCCGAAATTCGCGCCGGACCTTGTCTTCCTACCACTTTGCCCACGTGGCTATTCTCGTGGGGCCGTCTTCCTGGCGGTGCGGTTACGTGGCTGTCTTTGGCGTTGAAAGGTTGACCCGGGGATCTTCAGTTCCGTCATCACGGTCGTTAATTGGACTTTTCAGAAGCTGACTTGAATGACTAATCTGCCCTTGTTTTCCTAAATTCTAAACGAATTTAACCTTGCCGGTTTTACCGGGGGGCTTGGATTCGCCTAGGGAATGCTTAGATCCGGTCGTTTCTTTTCCTTAAAATAATCAAATTGCGACCAGTCAATGGCTTGGAGTTAATTACGTCTGCATCGGACACGTGTCTTGTGTTTGCTAGAGTGGGTGAAACCTTGGATTCCTTTGTGATCTATCTAAAAATTCCCTTTTCCCATGCTAAATATGCGCTAATTTTTGCGCCATAATTTTCCTTATATTTTTTTTTTGGGAAACTCTTGTTTATCTTGCCAGGTTTGCAGTTAGTTTAACTTGGTGGTTTGTTAAGCTGAACTAGTGAGAGGGTTCGTTTTGAATACATGTTGAGTTGGCTTGATGGCTAGCGAGCCAACACGACTTGCAGTGTATCAGCGAGTCGATCTATTGCTTATGGTGGTTTGTTAATATTTATTCATTATGTTATATATATCAAGCCACGTGTGATGATTTAAAGCTTTGAATATGTGAGAAAATATGTCTCATTTGTGATTGGAAACATAAATGATGTATCGTAGATTAGTTACGTCCTGATTTCTTTTAATTAACATGATATAAACTAGTTAATATTTATGAACTAAATAGTATAATACCAACATTGTATATAAACACATCAATTAATGACGAAAATTAACCATTATTATTTTTCATCACTAGTTTTTTATCCGACTTGATGGTCGGAAAATTTCATTTTATCATTTATATAAATTAATTTACCTATATGTTTAAAACTTTTTTAATATTCTAATTTTTTATACTCTCACTTTATATGTGAGTATTCGATATGATTAATAATTCTCAATACTTAGCACGCTCATTTATGATGCTTCGATTCTCTAATCATAAATCAAATTGTAAGGGTTTATCACGTCCCATTAGAGCAGAGAAAATAGACCATACCGTTAGAAAAATCGTGGTCCAAACGGTACCGCACAATTTGGTCTGGACCGTAGACAGTTAAGTATGGTCTGGTCTGGTCTGGTCCATGGTCTGTATTATTTTATGTTTTGATTTCTTGGTCTAGTTTGGTCTAGACCGCGATTTAACGGACCAAACCATGGACCCAACCGACTTGTCAATACGTGTTAACAACCCATTCGACCACTCTCCCAACTCCCACAATGACACCCAAGTCTCAACCTTAGTTTTGTGAATCTCGTCCCTCTTTCATTCACAACTACATTTAACCAGAGAGTAGAGATAATTGTGTCCCCATATGACATTATGTTAATGTTTATGACGTTATGGTGCAAGTTGGGATGCTTTTACTTTGTATCTTTGTTATGTACTAAGATTTAGGGTATCAAAATTATTCATGCATGTTAGGATTAATGTGTTAAGGCAAATAAGCAATATTTTTCTTGGTTATTGGTTCAATTTTTTGTGTGGTTGACTAAACAAATTATTCATTTTTCGTTGAGTGTGGTCTATCTGGGCTAGGCCAGACCGAACCAGACCGCACAGGCGTGGTATGGACCAGACCGTATAGTCTGTGGTCTGGTCTATGGTCTATACTTCACCCTCTCGGTCTGGACCATAGACCGTATATATGACCAGACCGCACCGTTTCTTAGCCCTACATCCCATTTAAAATAGTACATAAAGATTTGTCAAATATAAAACAGAAAAATGGTTAATATTTTGATGTGATACATAAAATTTTAAATTTGGCTAATATTTTATATTTCGAAAAGTTTGGCTAATAATTTGAAAATATTGAAAGGTTTGGATATTAATTTTAATTTACTCAACATGTATAAATTGCTAATTCTTGAAGTTTAGACTAACCATCACTCATGGTTGTTGTCTATATGTTGGATTAGAATCTCAAACCAAGACAATCTCACACACTATCAAGGGTTCTCGTCTTAACATGATCATTTAGAGTATGATTTTCCAATTTTTTTAATGTGCATTTGTAAAAAAAATCTTATTTTTGGTGTTAGTTCTGGAACAAATTTTTTTATTGTATATCTTAATAATTGATAAAACATGTCTACAATGCACATAGATTTATGCACATAAATTTTCTTTAAAAAAAATTTTAAAACTCATATAAACATTGTGATATTTCACATACATATGAAGCCTTGGATTTATTGTAGACACATCTATTGTTAATATTAAGCATATATAAAGAGTTTACTTATCTTTTATCCCTAATTAGTAATTGAGAACTTTTAACCCTAAATACATATTGCTTTTTGTTACAAACTAAAACATTTTTGTTTTGACACTTTTGATATGGTAAATGTTTTTATTATTGCCAAAATTTTGTATGGAGTCACAGACTCACACTCATGCAACCAAATAACTTATTACAGTTGCCTTGTTGATTTCATCCTTATAAAGATTCTTCACTTTTAACCTATAGCTCGGTTTAGACTCTCGAAATTATAAAGACTTATGGTGTAGAAGACATTCAACTATATATTAGACAAAAATTGTCAACCCAGGTTTGATCAATGCTAGGTCAGTGGTTGATCAAACATAATGTTTATCGTACATCGTCAACAAAAATTTCTCTAACATTCACACATGTCATATAATACTTGTGCACCATCAAGTTTCTATCCAAACCTTTTGTTATATAATACTTATTTGATAGACATATATATTAGTCTAGGGTTATAGGTATAATATGCCCCAATACTATGACGTTTTATCAAACATGTCCCTCTACTATTTTTTTACATCAAATATGCTCTTGTACTTTGAAAAAATTATCGAACATGCCCTTCTGTTAAAATTTCCAATGAAAAATCATCAATCATGGTTGAACCGAGATTTAGACGACCTGATATCGACAAATGGGAGCGATGATGTTAGTTTTGTCTTTCGTTTTATTTCTCTGGGTCTCTTCAAAGTGAAATTATTTGAATTATTTGGCTATACAAAAGAACAAACAACTCGAGCGATGAAATTATTTGAATTCTAAAGTGAAATTATTAGGGATATTTTAGACATTTGTGCCGCCCAGACCAAAATTCGATCTTGGTTAATGGTTTTTGGATGAAAATTTAAACCAAAAGGCATGTTTGATGTAAAAAATAGTAGAAGGGCATGTTTGACAAAACGTCATAGTAGAGAGGCATATTATACCTATAACCCATTAGTCTATTACTACAAACATATATATTATACAAAAAACCAAAATGAACTATTGAATAAAAGGGGAAAAAATCATTAAAAGAAGAGAGATAACTTCATAAATAGATCATTAACTAACTTTTTTGTTTGTAAAAAATTGTCCACCTTGGCAACTTGTAAATTCTCCAAATGCTTATGTGGTAAGAAGTTGTTTTTGAACAACCATAATATATATTAAGAAGATAAGATAAGATAAAATAAGATTACATTACAGAATAATTTACTCGAGCATTATATATTATTGGTCCCAATAATTGGGGTTGTTGGGATAGGTCCATGTATAGTACTTAATCACTTCATCACATGTCCCCTCAAATGAAAGCCAACCCATGGGGCTTGAAGTTTGCACAGTCCCGCCATATCATGTGCTTGAAAGACAACGATTAATATTATGGGTCATGAGGATTTGAAGACGTGACCTCAATGACAAACCAAGTTCTGATATCATGTCATAAACCAGTTGGTCCCAATAACTCGAGTTGTTGGAAGAGGTATGTCAAGAACCAGTTGCTCCCAATAACTCGAATTGTTGGTAGAAGGTTATGCTGGATTTTATACCACTCTCTAACACGCCCCTTCAAACGAAAGCCAAGTCACGGGCTTGAAGTTTGCACATGCCACCATACCTTGTGCTTTAATCAACTGTTAATGTTGGGGGTCGTGGAGATTCGAACACACGACCACTTGGTCAAACCAGCTCTGATACCATGTCGTATGTAGAATTTGATAATGCGGAATAACAAGAACACGAGACAAACGATTTTACTTGGTATCCTCGATCAATTAATTGATCGAGACTAATCCACAATGAGCTCGAAATAGCTTACGACTGACGTTTTATTATTGAGGACTAAATCTTAACGACTTGCTTACGACAATCTCGTAGCTAAGCTTATATAGAGATAGACGTATGGTTAAAACCCTAATGACAACCAAGTTTCCTTCTTTTACTTTAACAAGGAAAACTAGGGACTTGTAGGACAATGAATTAATTACTTTTTGACTAAGTAATTAATATTCTCAACACTCCCCCTCAAGCGAAGACAGGAATAACAAGATTGTCAAGCTTGAACAACTCAAACAACCTCTTCCTATGACTTGACTCAGTTGCAGGTGAGGAAGACTGATGACGAAACTACTCCACTCTTGACCCAGTTCTTTTGACAGTGAACTCAACATGGCAAAATTTCTTGACATCTTGGATGAGATTGATCTGGAGATGACTGACTCTCTCTCTGAACAACCTGACAAAGATGGTTGACTGCGTCTTCTTGAACTTCGTGACGGAGACGGTTGACTGCGCCTCTTGAACGACCTTACGGAGACGGTTGACTGCGTCTCTTGAATGACTTGACGGAGACAATTGACTGCGTCTATCCGAACGTTATGGTGGAGATGGTTGACTGCGCCTCTACCTGGATGAGATTGATCGAGAGGCTATTGATTGCTTCTCTCTTGAAATGAGATAGATTGAGAGACTTCTGTCTATCCTCTCTCTTGAACAAGACTAGGGAACCTCCTTGACTGATACACCATGGTCAATATGCTGAACTGATTGAACACGTATGATGATGCCCTATTCTCCCCATCAAGTTGTAGTATGAACGACGTGAATGCCCAAATTGAAAGTTAGAATGGTGACGACTCAACATTGACCAATATTGAACGCGGAGGAGACGATCGCCTCTTTGATTGTGACAGCCTCGCTTGATGACTTGAAAATTTGGTTGACAAACTATTCTTGCTCCCCAACATTAGCTATTTGAAGTGATGACCATCGCCGATCATGATTGCCTTCAATGCCATGACTGTGATGATGGTGAAGAGTGACTTACTGTGCAACATGTGACAAGACTTTTAAATGCCAAGAGTAACCCAGGAAAAGAATCATACAACCTGTCCAAGCCTAGGGAATGGACCGTACGAGGGGAACATGAGTGGAATACCCTCGTAGACTTCTAAAATGAGCTCCCATACATAACACTTACTTTGGGGTGAAACTCCTTCACAAAATGTGAATTGAATAAAATAATGGCAGGTGGACAAACAACCCGATCTTGTACTATTTGGACGAGGCCCAAAAAGGGAAGGGTGGTCGGCCCGCTTTTGAACAGCTCCTTTAGGGTTACTTTTTCAAGTCCACCTTTTTTCTTCTCCTCTGCTGCTCGTCCCTTGGCAACCAGCCACTAGAAACAGAGCTACGGCAGGTGGCATTAATCGATGGTAGGGCTGGCAATTAAGTTTCCAGTTAGCGGTTAGCCGCCGGTTATAACCGAAAACTGACAGAAACCGACTAACCAAAAACCGGCAAAAACCGACCTCGGTCGGTGTTCGGATGCCCATCAGAGGGCTCCGGTTAGCCGAATAACCGGGAATGATTAACCGCGGCTAACCGGATAACCGCCCCTAACCGAAAATCCCCTTCTCCCCATCCAAAATTGCAGAAACCCTTCACCCCAAATCAAAAAACCTAATTCCAAATTTCCAATACCCTTCACCCCCATCCTCCATGCGAGACCGCCTGGCGCCTGCTCCCCCGCCGACAAATGCCATCAACGCGGGACCCTATCTCCACCACTCTGCCCTTGTCACCACCAACAATCCACTGCTCAGCCAGCCCTCCGCCGGCCTTCAGCTCGAGCAGAGCGGCCTCAATTGCGGTCCCCGAGAGAGAAACCAAGGATGCGATGAAGAAGACCCTGGTCGAGTGTCCGCTGGGGAAAGAGAATTTGTCGATGGCGATGACGGCGGGCATGGAAGAGTGGTTGTAGGGCGGGCGCTGGCGGCGGAAGATGGCTTTGGTGAGGCCGACGACAGCGAGGTCGAGGAGGAGGCCGAAGAGCATAGGACTGAAGAGAGGGAAGAGTGCCGGGGAGAGTGGGGAGAAGAGGAGGGCAAGGCAGATTGGGAAGGAGAATCGAAAATCGAAGGAGTTCTCGAGGAGGAGAAGGTGCGTCATTGGAAAATAGGGGTGGAAGAGGCCAGAGGGTGTGGAAGAAGAATCGAGAACTCCGCCGATTTTTTTTTAATGTAGAAAAGGTAATTTTCCGGTTGGCCGGCTAACCGACCCAAAAAACGAAACCGACCGGTCGGGTGGCCGGCTAACCGTGACACACCTCACGGTCGGTTGTCGGCAGCTATAGGGGGTGGTTCGGTTTAACCGAAAACAGGGTTTTTGGTTTTCGGTTAAACCGAAACCGACCGACTCCCACCCCTAATCGATGGTGAGAGTGAGACGCGACCGACGTATGTTGACTGGGTGATAACAGAGACAGAGAGGACTGACAGAACAGGGGCTGGCGACCGCCAACGATGTCGGATCTCTCCCGATTGTGACGATGACCGCGACTGTAAGTAAAAGATTCGATTGGTGACGAGTCGTCGATGAAGTTGGACCAACTACAGGTGATGCCTTTCAACGACGAATACGCCGCAATCGGTGATGGATGATGGCGGTTGATGACGTCGACGGTCGATGAAGAGACGGTGGATTAGTGACGTCGGGGCGGCCGGACTTGCTGCTGGGCTGAAGAACTGCGTTGCACGAAGGTGGATCGGTGCTGATGAGAAGATCGTTCAAACAAACCCGAATTTGACTAAAATCGGGGACTTCGGTGGTGGATGAAGAACGGAACGAGACAACTACAACGTTGTCGCGGAGAGGCAACAGATGCAGACCGGCGAAAGCTCAAAACCCTAGACAAGGGATCGAGTTTCGCTCTGATACCATGTAGAATTTGATAACGCGGAATAACAAGAACACGAGACAAACAATTTTACGTGGTATCCTCGATCGATTGATTGATCGAGACTAATCCACAGTGAGCTCAAAAGAGCTCACGGCTGACGTTTTATTATTGAGGACTACATCTTAACTGCTTGCTTACGACAATCTCGTAGCTAACCTTATATAGAGATAGCCGTAGGGTTAAAACCCTAATGACAACCAAGTTTCCTTCTTTTATCTGAACAAGGAAAACTAGGGACTTGTAGGACAAAGAATTAATTACTTTTTGACTAAGTAATTAATATCCTCAACAAGGTACATGTATAATACTTAACCACTTACTTAAGTGCCATTGTTAGAGTAATTTGGTGGTGTCCTATTGTGATTCTCCGAGACCGATATTTGAAAGGACGAAACACTACCAATTCCTTGGAACGGAAGTATAATGGATCGATGCCTTTCATTTCGATCGGCCTCGAAACAGGACACCCAAGCATATATTCAACGTACACTTACGGCCTCACCTTCAAAGATGGGTACTTAGCCAATAGCCATAGCTTTCTGGTCTATCACTCTATCTATACAAAGTAGCTTACTAACTGTTCATCAAAACCCTCGGAGGTGCTTTGCAACCAAAACATTGATAAAAAAAAAAAAAGCTTGTTTTGCGAGTAAGTATGTCAATTCTATGAAAGCTACACAAACGAAACCCATAAAGAATATAGAATTTGATTGGATGGAGATGAGAATCAATTCATAACAATAAGGTTTTATGGTCCTGGACATGTGGATGTCTTGTTAGAATGATTGGATAATGATTTTGGTGTTCGTGTGGATTCATGTGTTGGGATTTTCTGTCGGCTGCCCTCTCTTCTATTCTGTGTTGCACCAAAATCCTAGCTACCGTTGCGTGTCCTACCTGAATAGTGAGGCACAGAACATAGTGTAACTTCGGAATTTAAAAAAAAAAAAAACATCAATCCATTAAAAATATCCACTTAATCCAATCCATTTTATCCAAATCCAATTGGATTGGTGGATTCATGGATTGGATCCATTGATCATTGGCAAATTACGGTTTAGTACCTATAATTTTTATTTTTTACATTTTGGTACCTAAAATTTAAATTTTTATACAAAAAATATCATTGGAAAATTACGTTTTGGTTCCTAAAATTTTTCATTATGACATTTTAGTACCTAAACTTTTTACATTTTACATATTGGTCCTTGGTTGAGGATGTCATTTGGATTCATGGATAATCCACCAATCCACTTGATCCAATCCATGAATCCACCAATCCATTAGATCCAATCCATTTGATCCTTGGATCCACCAATCCAATCCATTTGCCAGCTCTACAGAGAACCAAACACAAAGGAAGAGTACATATATAGAGAACCAAATTGTTCATGATGTTGGTGTCTTGGTGTGTACGGTAATTTATCTCCAATGTTAGCTTTACATGAGAATTTAGATAGAACCATTTTAGCTTTAAACAAGTTGGTGGTGCTCAATGCGACGCCTACGCTTTTAAGGATTCCTAATAGATGAAGTGTATTTAAAATACAAGCATAATATTACAAAAATGATTTTATAGCAAGTTTATATATTTTATAGTTAGTAAGATTGCCATCTTTTTGTGATGAATAGAAAACCAAAGTGACAATTATTATAACAGTGTATAACACACACCTAAAAAAGTGAATGCACCATAAAAAATAAAAAAAATAAATAGTCAACCAAATGTTACACTTGACTAATTTAGGTTACTTGCATGTAGCTATAGATCAAATGTGTAGTCCTTTTTAAGCACGTGCATATAATTACATTTGTCTGAATTCTTTGTGGCTTTCCAAGAAGCTTTGGGGATAAAGTTTAGGGATGGTGAGTGGCATAATCAAGTACTCTTTAAGTAACCATATCATAATTTCAACCGAATCTTATGGGTTGTAGGCTTGTATCCATCAAACCTCCTTAAAAAACCATTAATAAACCTTATGTTAACTTAATTAATAACAAACTAGCCTTCATTACCCGTGCTCTGCGCCGGGATTTGTGATAAATATGGATGTACTTTGAGGTTTTTGTTTCACTTGATCATAGCTGCCTATTATTTGTTTAGAGCGCACTTATTTGGTTAATCGTACAGAAAATAATTTTTCAAAAGTAAGACAGGTTGCCATTGGGAATCGAATTATTGATGAGCACAACTTGCATGTGTTGCAGCAAGTTATGCGCAACGCATTGATGTGCATCAAAAAATATGTAACATATATTACCAATCGCTACCAAAGGCAAAATATGAGTCAAATGGTTCCAAACGCTAAACCAAGTCATTTGGCTAAGACACCCATAGGCTTTGCAGCTGTGTACTAACGTAGGTTCTAAAGCATATAATAATGGGTAATTAACTATCTGGTAAACCATTTCGATAATCCAAGCACAGGCAGGATACTATCTTTGGAATCTCAATATACAACGGGGTTCTAAAATAGAGTTCATACAGATTGATACCATACTGTCAATACACATGGTTATCTTTAGACAATTACTATCATTACTAAGACTGAGCAAGCATAGTTACTATGCCTAACTTCACAGAAGCTTCAAGTGCACAATTAGTGTAGTGACCGGTTTCCCAATTTGATGCATCCTGCAGGCGTACACAGACAAAGCATCTCGGTTCACAAATGAACCAATAAACATGCACCTATAAATTAGAATAAAAGGTTGAGATGGACCTGAAAAGTTATACTATTGCGTATGATTTGATTGTTGATGATACCAAGGCATTTGAGAAAGTAATTAACTTGATACAAAGCATCAAAGAACATGCCCCTTGGCCTACAAACAATCTAACAGGAAACCGAAACAGACATTATATTATGGCAGTGTTCAAGAAAACGCGCATAGGCGGGCGCCTAGACGCGATTAATCGCTGAGCAATGAGAAAACTTGGAGTTTAGCTCTAGGCGAAGCTGCTGGGCGTGTAAAACGCGGAATCGCGTGGAAAGATGCCTAGGCGGCGACTAGTAGCTCGGAGTCGCCATTCCAAGCTGTTGGGCGACGCCCAGGAGAAGAGGGAAGAGATGCTGTGCATTTAATGGAAGGCCCAAAAAACCCTAATACTCTTTAATTCTAATCGGGTAGCAGACGAGCAAGCACATCTCCCTCTCTACAGCCGTCAACCTCTCCCTCCTCTCCGGCCAACCGACTGCATCGTGCCTCCTCTCCAGCCAGCCTACCGCCGTCGTGCCTCCTCCCCGTCGTCCCTCCTCTCCAGGTGATTGTCGCCGTCTTCTCCAGCATTGCAACAGGGTCGTCGTGTCAGCATCTGTTGGGCCTCGTCCTCGCTGCCGGTCTCCACAACTGTCTGTCGGCGGTCGCCTTAGGTTGGTCTTTCTCTTTCCACTAGAGGGGGGGTTTTATTGTGGTTAACAAGTTCAAAAGAGAGGTTTGGGGAGACCTCGAGGTGCGATAGATAAAGAGAAATTAGAAATGTCACTTTTACTTTGCCTGCTAGAGAATTACTTTGCCTGCTAGAGAATCAGTCTGTTTGGGGGGAGTTGAAATAAAGATAAATGTGACTTTTAATTCTTTTTGAATTCCATTTTAGAGAGTAATCAGTGAACTTATGACTGTTATGTTCGCTCTTGCATCCTGAATTTAAATATTTATCATATTTTTTTTTTCAACGTTAAATCTCGCCTAGGCAACGTCTAATCGCCATGGGCGCTGGGCGGTGCCTCCCCGCTTAGGTAGCGCCCAGCGTCTTCTTGAACATTGTATTATGGTAGTCACATTTGACCATCCATTACTAAATCTGAACAGAATGCTTTAGGGATCATCAAATATGCACAGGAGATCAAAGAAAGACCAGCATGGAAGATGGCATCGATAGAAATATAATCAAGACTTCCAATGTGTATCACATACGAAAGGAATCAAACAAAATTGAAAGAAGCTTCAACACACTCTGAAGATTATCTACCATGTACCATCAGAAGTTAGTGTTTTCCAATTCAGATGTTTCCATTGAAATGGTACATAGCAATCAGACTACATCATCTCACAGGCAATTACATGCTAGACCAATAAAAACCGCATTGTTCTAACATTGCAGAGAACAACTTCATTGTGCTCTTATGCAAACTGGAAACTGCAATCCTGGCAGTCAACAGCCCACCAGTAAAACGTACCACAATCATAGCCAATCAATGCACAAAAGCATATATCTCAGCATGGAAGTTAAAACTCACTGAATCATAATCAGAATAATTAGCAGGTACCGAGACCATATGTAAAATTCTTGAGCCGAGTAACGGTCTTGCAAACTGGAGCCGAAGGCTGAAGCTGAGAAGGAACTAACTGCACATGGCCAATAAAAAACATGGATCAAAGCACCAAAATGGGCAACTCGACTCAATGTTTGGATCTGAAAACTCAAAGCAGAAGCAGAGTGAAACTACCTAAAGCTTCATGTATACTGGGGAAAGGCGCAAGTAGTAAAAGGAAAAATTAGGGAATCATTATTCACAATTATAGAGCCCCAAATTTCCTAAAAAGCAAAAATCAAGTGCTCACGTCTTTCGGAGGGTCTTGACCAATCTTTTCAATTTCTTCTTGGATTTTGCTGCTCACATTGACGAATCTGAAACCGAGAAGGGGAAAAGAAATCGATTAGAGCTTTCACCAAAGAAATCCAATTGAGGAAAGAGAAATAGAGGAGCAAGCAGAATATATAGTCCAGTCACCTCACCCTTTTCTTCTTTCTCCCTCAACGTTGCCATGGCTGAAACAGTACATCTCTCGCTATAGTCATAGTCGCCGATGGGTGTTCGGCAGTTCTCCGACGACTGTTCGATCTGGCGAGTTGAGAGATAAGGGAGAACATGATGAGAACAAAAGATGATGAAGGGAACCGCAAAAAGAGGAAAGCAAGTTCAACAAAGAGAAGGCTGAATAACCTTTAATCAATGGCACCCCCGGGTGGTCTAGATCTTCTCCGGGCCTTCCAAACCTGCCGATCGCAACTCCGCCATCTCACGAGAAAAGAGAAGAAGACCCAACGCAAAGAGAAAAGAATAACAAAGAGAGAGAGAGCATTCGGAAGGAGAGAAGAATGAAAATAAGGTAGAAAGTATGTTCTGATCTCACAAACTCTCTCCCCTGGCTTTGACCCCTCTCTGTCTGCAATTGGGCTTTCCCATCTGACCGCTCAATCCCCGAAACGCAGAGAGAGAAACCCCTAATATCTACCAAGCCTCAGTCGAGTTTCCCAAAATCAAGACCCCACCATCCTCCCCTTGCCTCTCCCCATGACAACCCCAGTCACCTCCAACACCTTGAGCCACGAACCTGGCACAACTCCCACCTCCAAACGGAGACCTAAGCACTCACCCTCCAGCTACTCCACCAAAAAAGCATTGATCTCTCCGTGATGACGACACCACCCACCCAATGAGACCCCACCCAATGTACAACCAGAGTGCCTCGACCAACGCGCCCGATAGGGCCAAAGACACACTGATCTCTGATGACCAACGCGCGTTGGAGCCACCAAACGACCCCAAAGAAGGCCAACCAGAAGCCAACGACCAGTCCCACCCCAACCAAGCTGTCAAACTCCCGTCAGAAGTCAAAGAGACCTCACCCAACTCCAGCCCACACCAAAGGACACGCCAGTTTGAAACAGTAAATCTCAGTCACAATGGACAGTAAAAGGTGTCTGTGTGTACAGTACCAGGGGCTGCGGTGGGTTTCTTTCTTTCAATTCTTAGGGGTCATATGGTTGCTCTTTTTTTTTTTGTCCAAGATATAACAAAAGAGAAAAGTTAGCTCCAATCAAATAATACACTCTCAACCCAAGAACACTCCCAAAGAAATACACTAGTTGGGCCACTCTAAGGAAAAGGAAGCTAGCTCTAAAGATGGCAGCAACATGATTTTAAGCTACTCTACGGACAACTCAGTTTGCCATCCGCACACCGAAAACTTATACAACCAGATAGAAAGAAAACACAAAGGTTGGCAATCTCGTAGAATGGGTCCGCCTCATCGATCATCATAGTCAACCTCCAGGAAATCATTGGCGAAGAGACTCAACCGCCAACACAACATGCTTGTCCGATTAACAAATAGACAAGTCAGGGGAGACATTGGAGGTAGGGGTGAACAAACACGCCCGCAAACCGACCCATCCGTCCAACCCGACCCAACCACTCGTATTTATTGCAAAAACTAATGGCCTATTTTAATCATCTTCGTCAAACGGGGTCTGTTTTTCGTTATCAAGAGGATTTCGAAGAATTACGATCGAGGATGCTCCGTCTCAATCCAGAGCTAAATGAGCACTATTTCATCCTCAGCTTATTGGGGGGGGGGGGGGGGGGGGGTTTAGACGATGAAATCCACCCCAGGGTGCAGATGCTCCATCCACCAACACTGGCTTGTGCGTTCTATCAAGTGCGGTTGGAAGAAGCGGCCATCGACGCTCGTAAACGGAAGACTCTCGTCTCAGCACCGAATCGCTGGTCAGGTGCTTCGGCTCCATCGTCCACCAAGTTGTCGTCTCAATCTCCATCAGTGTCTTCTTTCGAGCGTCCCTCTGTTCCCCATGGGCAGGGACTTTATTACAAATGCGGAGACAAATATTACCATGGGCATGTCTGCGCAAGGAAGAAACAAATCCAAGTGATGCAAGCTGAAGACTCCCCTTCGTTGGTGATGAGGATGGGGGAGAGGAAGAATTCCAGGATGCGGAGCTTGAGGTCTCTTTGCAATCTATGGGGTCCGGTTTTGCGGGCAACTCTCTGCTTATTCCAGCTATGGCAGGCAATAAAGAGGTAACTGTTCTTATCGATACTGGTAGTTCGCATACCTTCTTTAATGCGATTAAGGTTGAAGAACTGAATTGTCCGACTGAATGTGTTGCTCCAATGAGGATTAAAGTTGCTAGTGGGCATACATTGCTTAGTACTTCAGTTTGTAAGGGTTTCAGTTGGAGGCAAGGGCGGGAGTTTGGATTTGATGTTCGGACATTAGATTTGCCATCTCATGATCTGGTACTGGGTTGGGACTGATTAGAGACTATTAGTCCATTTCAAATGGATTTGAAGCAACGGCAGATTTCATTTGATTGGAAAGGGGGCACTTTGCAGCTTCAGGGCCTATCTAAAGAGGGTCAGTGCAAGATGTTGACAGGGAAGCATTTTCAGCAGCTGCTCAAGCAACCTTCCTCACACTTAACTGGAGTTGTATTCGCCATTGATGCTACCCCTGCCCCTAGTGTCATTCCCCCCTTCCTAAAACCTCTATTAGCCACTTACTCTGATGTGTTTGCCACTCCCACCTCCCTGCCTCCTACAAGAGCCTTTGATCATACTATTCCACTCCTCCCAAATTCTAAACACATTAACATAAGGCCATACCATTTTTCCCACCACCAAAAAGATGTAGCCGACAAACTGGTGGCCGAGATGCTTCAATCAGAGTTTATCCAACCCAGCCACAACCAATATGCCTCACCAGTCTTGCTTATAGGGAAAAAAGACGGGTCTTGGAGGTTCTGCGTTGATTATCGAGAACTCAACGCTGCAACTAACAAAGATAAGTTTTCGATACCACACATCGAAAACCTCCTTGGCGAGTTACATGGGTCTATCATCTTCTCAAAGCTGGATCTTCGGGCTGGCTATCATCAAATTCGTATGCATCCCTCTGATCAACACAAGACAACATTTAGAACTCACCAAGGCCATTATGAATTCAGGGTTATGCCTTTCGGCCTTACAAACGCCCCTGCATCGTTTCAAGCTCTTATGAATCATGTTTTTGGACCTCATCTGCAGAAATTTATTTTAGTCTTCTTCGACGACATACTGGTGTATAGCAGGATAGCGGAGGAACACTTGCATCATTTGGGAGTAGCTCTTCAGCAGCTACGTGGCCACAAGTTGTATGCCAAGGAGTCTAAATGCTCATTCGGCCAATCTCAAGTCGAATATCTGGGGCACATAATTGGTCGAGATGGTGTTTCCACTAATCCAAACAAGGTTGCAGCTATGAATTCATGGCCTCATCCTTAAACGGTCAAGCAGTTGAGGGAATTTTTGGGTTTAACAGGTTATTACCTCAAATTTGTGCAGAATTATGGCAACATAAGTCGTCCTCTAACTGAATTACTTAAGAAGAATGGCTTCCACTGGAGTTCCGCAGTTGAGCATGCCTTTGAGGAATTAAAGAGTGCTATGTGTCAAGCTCCTGTTTTAGCCTTTCCTGATTTTTCACAACCGTTTACGCTCGAGACGGATGCTTCGGGTACTAGTGTAGGAGCAGTACTATCTCAAACAGGGCGCCCCTTGGCTTATTTCAGCAAGTCTTTGACTGTGCGTAATCAAGGACTCAACACTTATGAAAAGGAGTATCTCGCTGTGTTGCTGGCGGTTGACCACTGGCGTCACTATTTGGAAGGGCGTTCGTTCACGATTGTCACTGACCACGAGAGTTTGAAATTTTTGCTTGGTCAGAAGGTACACACTGCGATTCAGAAAAAGGGGTTAGTCAAATTGATGAGATTAGATTTCCAGATCAAGTACAGAAAGGGGCGGTTTAATGGCGTTGCTGATGCTCTGTCTAGAGTATTTGAAGACACTGTTTGCGAGGGGAGCTGCAGTGCTCTGTCGTATGTCTTACCTAAGTGGATAGTAGAAGTTGAACACACTTATGACAACGATGAAGACGTTGCTGAATTGATTGTAGCTACTGCTGTCAGTTCCCTGGGTCCTTCCTTATGGTCCTACTCTTCGGGGATTCTCCGATTCAAGGGCGCTATTGTTATTGGGAAGAATGGTTATATGTGAACTAAATTGATCCATCTGTTTCACTCGTCCCCTGTGGGAGGCCATTCAGGTGCGCAAGCAACTTACCAAAGACTGAAAAGTCACTTCTATTGGCATGGAATGAAGTCGGATGTCACAGCGTGGGTGTCGACTTGTGAGATTTGTCAGCGTTGCAAGGCTGAAAATGTAGCCTCACCAGGGTTGTTGCAGCCCTTACCTGTTCCCATTCGAGCATGGCGTGACATCAGCGTGGACTTTGTTGAGGGTTTGCCGAATTCGAAGGGTAAACAAGTACTGTTGGTTGTGGTGGATAGATTTACCAAGGTAGCCCATTTTTTCAGCCTGCACCATCCATACACAGCAACTGATGTAGCTTCACTCTTCTTCGATGGGATCTTTAAGTACCACGGTATGCCAGCCACCATTATTTGCGACAGAGATTCAACTTTTACAAGTCAATTTTGGACATAGTTCTTTCGGCTTCAACACACAGACATTCACTATTCCACGGCGTATCACCCGCAGACGAATGGGCAGACCGAGCGAGTGAACAGGTGCTTGGAAGATTATCTCCGCTGTATGACCTTTCATCGTCCTCATGAGTGGTCTGATCTCACTTTGGCTGAATGGTGCTACAACACCCACTATCACCTCAGTTTGCAAATGTCGCCTTTCGAAGCCCTTTATGGATTTCCTCCGTCACACTTTGGCTTGGCCCCAACTTCAGCTACACCAGTGGACGCGGTTGAGGACAGAGTCAGACAGGAGCATCAGTTAGTCAAATTTCTTACTGATAATATTACAAGGGCTCAAAACCGGCAAAAACAGCATGCTGACAGAAGGCGTTCTGAGAGGAATTTGCAAGTTCACGATTGGGTATATTTGCGGTTACAGCCATATCGACAAGGCTCGGTGGTGGGACGACAAGGCAACAAGTTGGGCGCTCGTTACTTTGGCCCATATCAGATCGTGAATAAGGTGGGCGTTGTCGCTTATCGGTTGGCATTACCTTAGCACTCCAAGATACATCCAGTTTTCCATGTGTCACAGCTGAAGCTCTGCCGATCCACCGTTCCTCCTGCTCTTTGCATCTACCTGCTGCCGACGACAACGGTGCCCTGAAGTTAGCTCCGACACAGATTTTAGCCAGGCGGTTCGTCAGTCAGGACAATCGGACGGTGACAGAGGCCTTGGTTCAGTGGACTCATCAAACACCAGAAGAAGCTACGTGGGAGAATTTGGCCAGTTTTAAAAAGTCGTTTCCCGCCTTTCCAGCTTGAGGACAAGCTGTTGCTGATGGGAGATGGATTTGTAACAACCCATAGGCAGCTGGCAGCTGACGTGGACTACAGATAGATTGTATAAATAGGGAGAGAGAGTCTTACACGACTCATTTTTTGACCAATAACAGATTCTTTAGCTTACTTTAACAAATTAGCTAGTTATCAATAAAATCAGAACTCTTCTCCTTCTTTCTCCATTTCCATCTTCTTCTTCTTCACGCCCAGTTCGCCAGATCTCTCTTCCTCGGTCCTTACAGTTTGGTACTGAATACTGATACAGATCCAACAAAACATAGGACACAATATTTTCCATTGATCTAGCTAGCTTGCTCCAACGATTCAGCTAAACATGGGTCTCGTTCAGCTACTTGATTCCAAATCTAGGAACCCTAGTTTCGGAACACAACACTTATCGACTGAGCTTTTCACCGAGTCAATTGAATAACGCGAAGAAGAAAAGAAGAAATAAAAAGCGCGAATTGAATCTTAGAAGGGAAATTTCTTCGAAACCAACGCGATCCGGGGAAGGGACGAATTAGAGAGTGAAGTATTACCTTGCCGGTTAATTTATTCATGAACTTGGTGTTGGCGGCGAAACTCATAAGAAAGACTGGAACACTGACGTACACGGCGAACTTCCCGACCTCTAGAATTCCCTTGGAAAATTCGATGTTTGACATTTTGTTTCGCCGGCGAGGAGGAAACAAAAATCTCAGGTGTAAGGAGGAAATTGTTCACTGCGGCCTCTCGCTAATTTATATTGAGGCGGTCCTGTGGGAAGGAGAAAGGAGAGGATCAGGCCTTCGCTACGTGGCAGAGTAGGAAATTGTTCACTGCGGCCTCTCGCTAGTTATTTTATTCTTTGCACCCCAAAATTAATTTGTAGACACAACCAGGAACCAGCCCTTGGACAAATGAGTGGGCTAGCCGCACCTACCTAGGTTGAAAAGCAGATAGCAGTAGTGGGCCTCGCAAAATATGTTTGTAACGTTAACCATAAGATGGCTTTGTACTGTTGGGCCTTGCAGAGCCCAACCTCTTGCCTGTGGCTGGTTGAGTTTTTATTAGTTCCCCGTCGGTCCACACCCAAAAATCTCCCCTTTTCCTCGCTCGCTGTCTTCGGGTTGCGCTTCTACTCAGAGACTGCGCGCGGTGCTCTGCTGCTTCAGTGCGGATTTCCCCAGTCGCCGTCTTCCTTTTGCTCTCCACCCGACGACTTCTGGTGCTTCCGTTGAAACCCTAGCCATCTTCAACAATGCAGTGCTCAAGTAAATTCCGCCTCCCCCCTTCTCTCTTCCCTGAGTTACCGATTGTGGAGCTCTGTTTCGAACAAAATTTCAGCTGATCTAACCTCGTTTCTTCTTCGTGCGTGCCAGTATCTGGCGACGTGCCGGTGGAGCCCGTCGTGAACGCCAAGTCTGGGCTTCTGTACGAGAAGCGCTTAATCGAGAGGTTCATTGATGTGCGTCATCTTACCCCTTCGTCTTCCTCCTCCCTGTTTTGTTATTTTCTAGGGGTTTACTAATCTAGGGTTTTCGGTCCTACTTCGTCTTTGGCCGAAGGGAACGGTGGCTTTAAATTTTGGGTTTAGTTTCCTTCTTGTTGTTTGCTCGGGGATAATATGTTTGCTAGGGTTTTGTCTTTTCAATTTGCCATTCTTCTTTTGTTGCTTGTTTGGCTCCGGGGGAAAGAGAGGCATCAAATATGCTTGGTCCAAGTTAGCACTTTGCGTAACAGTATTGTCTTTTAGAGGATTATGATGCTGGTCTGAATTTTCTCTCTTCTTGTTGTTAAGTGAATCTGTCACGAGTTAGATATAGGCGTCAGGATTTGCTGAGAGCCCGGACAACCTTATTCTGTGTAAATGAAATCCTGGAATCTCTTTGAAGTGTTCATACTGTCCTGACAATGGGAATGAATTAGCTTTTATACCTATGGAATAGGGCTTCAATTTGTTTTTGCAATGAGAGAATTAAAGAATCAAACCTTTTCATGGCAACCTCTTCACCATCCACTTGTGTGTCTACAGATAGTTCTAGGCGATCCTGCTGAAATTGTTGAAAATTTCAATTCTTGTTAAGTTGTGGATTGTTTCCATTTTTCTTTCCTCCAGGATACTGGTAAATGCCCAGTTACGGGGGAAACTCTTACAACAGATGACTTAGTACCGATCAAAATGGGCAAGGTATGCAAGGGGTATTGTTTTTGCAAGTTCTCATGTCTTAAGATTCACCAATATTTTCTATGTTGACTGCTGATGCTGCTTTTTTCTGTAGATTGTGAAGCCCAGAACTGTTCAGACAGCTAGCATTCCTGGAATGCTAGGCATGTTCCAGAATGTATGTATTATATTTGTGCTTTGATGCTATCTGTTATATTACACAACTTCTCTTACTATTCTTATCAATCATTTTTGGTTGTTATTCCTCCTCAATGAGTTTTAGGTTCTTATCCTTAGGTTTATGTGTAAAAGCAGTTTGGTTAATCTAATTGCAGGAATGGGATGGACTCATGTTGTCCAATTTTGCTTTGGAACAACAACTACATACTGCACGTCAGGAGCTCAGTCATGCACTCTACCAGGTGAGTTTTCATGATCTGCTATATTTGTTCAGAAGTTGTAAAGGTGTAATGACCTCTAGGCTGATGTCTGGCCTCAATGGGCTGTCTCTGAAATAACTCATGTCTTGATAATTGGTTGTTTTTCTTCCCCTTCATTGTCTTAGTAGAGAGCGTCTACAAATGATGATTAATGATTAGATTAAGCTTTGCACGTGCAATTTCCCCCCAAAATTACAGGATCACTGCAGATTTTTGGTCATGTTTGATTAGTTTCTCGAACTGTTGTAGAGCCTTTTGGTTTTATTAGTGCCATTTCTCCTTGACTGGCCTTTGTTTGGTTGTGCTAGACTCATTCTTTTGGCGAGGTATTGCTCATATATTGTATGGTACTCTGATGAAAATCTTGTTTTCCCAGCACGATGCAGCTTGCCGTGTAATTGCAAGACTTAAAAAGGAAAGGGATGAAGCAAGAGCGTTGCTTTCACAGTCGGATAGACAGATTCCTATGTCGGCCGCAGCAGCTGGTGCAACTAACGCTTCTGCTGTTGCTAATGGAAAAAGAGGTTTTTCCTGTTCTGTTGTGTGGTTTTGTTGGCCTATATTATTAAGTGTTCTTCTTAAGTATGTCTTCTTTATACTTATGTAGCAGCGGAGGATGATGATTTGGCCCCTCCTGGAAAGAAGCTTCGCCCAGGAATTTCAGCTGACATAATTACCGAGTTAACTGAATGTAACGCTGCCCTTTCACAGCAACGTAAAAGGCGACAGGTAATGTTTAGGGATTTAGGTTGTGGGGCTTCCTACTTCCTTGTGTGTTTCATGCTGGAACTGTATGTCTTTCACTCAATTTTTCTGGAGGCCTTAATTCCAGTTCATTAACTGTTGACTAGATTCCTGCAACCTTGGCGTCTATTGAAGATTTGGGGAGATACACCCAACTTTCCAGTCATCCACTTCACAAGACTAACAAGCCAGGAGTCACATCTATTGACATCCAGCATTCAAAGGTATAATAAACCACAATGATCAATCTATCTGCTGCTTTCCTTTACATGTGCTGTCCTTGACTAATTAAAGGGTTCACATAATTACACATGCTTGATCACTGTTGGATGTACTATCCAAGTATTATTTTTTCTTCTTAGTTACTTTTCTGTGATTCTAATTTGACAAATGCATTTTTGTTTTCCCCTTAAGTTAACTTCTGAAAAGATGTTACAAGGAGCTAAGAGCTAAATCACTTAACTGCATTGCTTATGTTCTGTCAAAATTATTATCTATTTATCTGATCCTCATTTTTTTTTAAAGCATTTGTCTGCATTATTGCCTTATATTGCTTTCTATCCCTTGTCTTCAGGACTTTATAGCCACTGGAGGAGTTGATTCCACAGCTGTAATCTTCGATCGCTCATCAGGACAGATCCGATCAACCCTTAGTGGACACTCTAAGAAGGTTTTCTAACTTTATTGCTCGTGATGCCTGTTGTTCAAGTAAAACTATATGTTCATGACATGACTTTTCTTTCAGGTTACTAGTGTAAACTTTGTAGCTGATGGTGGGACGTTCTTGACAGGATCGGCCGATAAGGTATGAATAGTTATGCCGTCGTCATTAATTTCATAACCTTGTCCCCCCCCCCCCCCCCCCCCCCCCCCCCCCCCCTCTTTATTACCTACCATGAATAGATCCTCATTGATTGTTTGACCCGATAGATTTATTTTGTAATCAGCATTCTTGTCTACAATATCGCAGACTGTTCGTATATGGCAAGAATCTGAAGATGGGAACTATGATTGCCGACACATTTTGAAGGATCATACTGCCGAGGTAGGTGATCGTCTTTTGGGTGTAGCCCGCCGTAATAGTTTTATGGGTATGCATATCTATTATAAATGATATTCTGTTTTGGTGTGCTTGGCAAGTATTAAAACCTGATAAGTCTATGCTCTATGACTTTATGGTATTGGTTGTCCCTATATTAGGGAGATTTGCAGCATAGCTGAAATTCTTGTGTTCATGCGCAGGTTCAAGCTGTCACTGTCCATGCCACTAATAACTACTTTGTCACTGCTTCTCTTGACAATACATGGTGCTTCTATGATCTTTCCTCAGGTTCATGCTTAGCACAGGTGAAATTTCCGGAAAAATCCTTGTATTCTGCCAATCATTAACCACTATGCATATGTTCAGGATTTGTAGTATATTTTTGTTCCAAATGAAAGAAAACTAACTAACATAAAATAACACTCATTTATGGTACATGATTGACGTTGTAATCATTGGTTCTGTTGGTTCTAAATCTCAATTGTGAATTACTAATTTCAAGTTATGTAATATTTTTCATCAGTTCACTTGGCTGAAGGTTTTGTAAGATTCATTTGTAATGTCAGCTTCCATGCATTAATGGTTTAGTACAATTATGAATTTGATTCTGCAGGTTGCTGCCGACACAGACAGTTCGAATCTTGTAGGGTACACAGCTGCTGCCTTCCATCCTGATGGTCTAATTCTTGGAACTGGCACCTCTGAAGCTATTGTCAAAATTTGGGATGTTAAAAGCCAGGTACTAATAATTCAATGTTATTGAGTATACTGGTAAAATTGGCACCTAACTGTTAACTTTGCATCAGCTTATTTCTTTTCTGTTTTTGATTGAAGGCCAATGTTGCCAAATTTGAAGGGCATGTTGGGCCAGTAACTGCCATATCTTTCTCCGAAAATGGTTACTTCCTTGCTGTAAGTTTCCCTGCTCAATTAAATTGTAGAACATGCTGAATCCCGATATTATGGTAGTTTTGTGACAATGATATGGTGTTATCTACATGGATTGGACAGACGGCTGCACATGATAGTGTTAAGCTTTGGGATTTGCGCAAATTGAAGAACTTCCGGACTCTCAATCTTTATGACGGAGATGCACCAACCAACTCCGGTAATGCTTCTTTCTTAAAATGGGTCCTCGTTAAGATGTATTGTCATCTCTCTCTCTTTTTTTTTTTGCATGATCTCAACTTCTGATGATGTAAACAATCAATTCATTAATGGTAACTAATTTTGTGTTTGCAGTGGTATTTGACCACAGTGGCTCTTACTTGGGAGTTGCGGGCTCAGACATAAGGTAGGATGGTTTGTTGTTTCTAATCCAGGATGAAAATTTCTATGAATAATTACAGGGTGTCCAAGTTTCGCAAAAAAACTTTTACGGGTTCCCGCAACAAATGATCTATTGATCTCTTCATGGATTCTTTGTGGATCTTTCTGCTTACTATCTGTTGTTGCCTTTGGGGTTGCGCAGAGTCTTCCAAGTAGCTAGTGTGAAAGCAGACTGGAACTGCATCAAAACTCTTCCCGATTTATCCGGAACAGGTTACTTGCTTCTGTTGCGTTTTCCTGAAAACTGCTCCATTTTAAAGCGTTGGTCTATTGACTGGTTTTGTATTCTGAATTTAACTGCAGGGAAAGCAACATGTGTGAGATTTGGTCCAGATGCGAAATACCTTGCTGTAGGATCAATGGATCGTAACCTCAGAATATTTGGGCTGCCTGAGGAGGATGTGGAACCACCACAGCCAGAGGCTTAAGAGCCAACTCATCAGAGAGAGAAGCAAGCCAGCCAATCTTTTTGGCTTTCAGGAGCATTGTTACATTTTTGCTTCCACTGGGGTCTGAGGAATTTTTCAGTAAGGGAGCGGCAGAGCAAACGGTGGGATCTTAAGTGTTTCAGTATTAGGTGTGGTTTCTTTAGACTCCAAGAAAGATCGTCGGGCGCATTAGTGAGTTTTCTGTAGAACATTGAGGTGGAAGAGTCACTGGAACACTGGTTGGTACAGCTAATGAGAGTTCGATTTGTATGGTGCCTTGTATTTCGCAGATGACGATACTCTGTTCTTTTTGGTTGCAAGAGAAAATTTCTCCAGACGTTTCACTATTGTAGTTACTTTGCTTTTTTCATCTATTTCTTGGGCATTAGTATGGTTCTACACTCGTCTTAACTATGTGTTGGTTAAATTAGATTCTTTTTCTAGACATCGTTTTTCGTCCTAAATCCGAGTGGGTGAAGGATTACTGCCCCTACTCAACATCTTGAAATATGTTTTTCAACTCCAGAATCAGAACTGCAATTAGTGCTTACCATGACCATATGTATATGTATATTGTCTACTGAATCTAAAACTAGAACAGAGCTGAGGAATGAAGATCTTCCTTTCCCTAATCTATAAGCTATTCTTCTACAATGATAGCATCCTAACAATAAGCAATTTTAACAAGGAATTTCACAGCACCATCAACCCTAAAAGAATAAAGAATTACAGTATCTATAGACTTGTCATCACACTCTTGCTTGTGTCGCCGTGCCCTTCAGTATTTTGATGAGTATGTAAATCCCCAAAGCTGCACCAATGAACAAGCAAACAACCTTTAGTTTAGAATCGAAATGACAAGTCTATAGATACTCCAAGTCCCAACTTTAGCAAAGCTCCTAAATTGATCTTGGGATCAAAAGAAGCACACCGTGAATGATTCTTGGGGTATGTGTGGAAAGAAAAGATCGATTAATGTGAGTAGGGTAGTAGAGATGAATGAGAGTTGAATTACCTCGACATGCTTTAACTCGAATTCTGAATCGTGGGCCAAACATAAGTTCCCAAATGTTTCGCAGGGGCCACTAGTTCCGTGCAACCTGTTTTCACAAATAAAGGAGGAAAAGGGTGAGAAAAGGAAAACAATGCAAGGTATCAGTAAAACAACCGTGTAGTGGAGGATGGGGAAAACAGAATGCAACTTACAGGTCTCCATCCAATCGTAAAGCGAAGTTGCCACCGCCACCAAGTGCTAGCAAGTCATCCAAACACAAGTAATAATATCGGTTGGCACCTGTGCACAAGAATTCAGTACCTAATGTTGGACAACTGGACATAAAAATTATCTCATGTAGTGAACTAGAAGCGTAATTGCACTCATTCACAACATACTGAAAGGAAACACCATTGGGAGAGAGATCATCCATCAGTGCTCCTAAATTAACACCACAAAAAGGTTGTTGATTATTTGTATTAGAACACTACTATGACATTATCTCATCAAAGGTGTCAGACGATTGACTGATTACAGGAATGACATTATTGACAAAAATCCAAGTCTTTGTCGCTAGCACACAGCATTGGGGAGATACTCCAGCAATAAACATCTAAGTGCTACAAACATAGAGGCTTTCATTTAAGTGAACGGAAGAGCGCCATGCTCTCACACAAACCAGCAAAAGGCGTTTATCAAAACAACGCCAGTCTATGCACACAAATGTGAGTGACGACCAAAAGTCCAAAACCTGACTGGGCTACATGAACTCAAAAGGTGCATTCATACACTAACAGCAGTTGTCAAACTATTCAAATCCTAGAGCTGGAATCACAACTTAATATCCAGATGTTTGTCAGATTTCAGTGGATAAAAATGAAGGCAGAGAACCTACCAGTTGGTCGAAATAGCCTTGGTTCACCATATATGGTAGTGAATACAAATGACTGATATGTCCCCTACAGAACACAACATTTAAGTAAGTTTCAGTTATACCTAGGGAAGGTACATAAAAGCACATAATGTAAAACACAAACGAGAAGAATAAAGAGAAGAAAAAAGTTCACTTGATATTTTCTCTTGGAAGTGGCTTGCAGTGGGCAGTCCAGAAGTCCACCAAACACAGCACCTTGTCTATCTCCAGTAATCTAAGAATAGCATTCCAAGAACGGTAAAAGCACTGAAATAATGAAGATGGAAGAGGGGAAACAACACAATAGAGAACTACACTTACCAGTAAACATGGACCAGTAATGTCAGCACTCTTTCGAATGAGTGTGCGAAGAGATATGCCATGCTTCATCGTACTGCCCTTACAAGGGAAGGAAAGAACCAAATAGTAAACAGAACTTCATTAGCAAGAACATCATAAATTTCAGTGGCAAATGCATTATCACTTGTTGGTTGGTTAATCATAAGCAACTTACCTATATAGCAAAACCCAGTCATTCCCTTTCACCATGTTAGGGAGCGATGACATTAGGAACTCATACAAGTCTGATGATATAAACGTAGACCCAGCTTTCAGATAGGGTGTCCTCGGAGTACTCTGCTGCTCACATGCTTCTTCAAAAACATCACTGTCGCTGCTACTAGTTCGAGAAGAATAATCCTCATTTTCATCAAGAAATATGGCTGCTTGACGTTCACCAGCTTTCTGGCACTCATGATATCTCGGCTCCTCTTCATGGTCAAATTCTCTACTTCTCCATCTTACTGGAAGTGAAGGAGCTGGTGCTAACTCAACTTTCTGGTCCTTGCCATTTTCCAAAGTAGACCTCCCAAAGCCCAAGGAAGGAACAACGGATGAAAAATATGAAGAAAACGACTTTTCGCCTTGACTAGCTATCCTGCCCTAAAAATTCAAATTACTCAGTTGCCTATCTCAATATATCAAAACCCTGGACCAATTTAAATGAATCTAGAAACACAAATAAACACGGGAGAAGTAAGCAGTATTGGCTTGACAAGTTCAGGATGAAACCCCCTTATTTCTCAGTAGCCAAACAAAACATTTTCTCTCTTCTGAACCCCCATACTACAAGTCGTACACATACATGTCCAACAACTAAACTTTACACGAGAAACATAGAGATGCCATTAACCAACATGACGGCTAGTTCATGAGAAACATCCCCTCCAATTCCTAAAATATAACAGTTCCTGTCAAGATTGTACGGGGAGTAAAACCATTGCGCCCTCAGCAAAATGAAGTTACTTACTCTATGCCTATGGCTATGAGATTGTCTAAGAACAACGAATGCCGAGAAAGAAACACCATATATATATGGTATGAATATGATGGAGAGAAAATCATTCTACAGCGACATCAGCATTGTCTGAAAACTGGTAGATCTAGGCATCTAACTAAGGTTCTCCGAAAACGAAAGACGAGAGCTGAAACAAAGGAAAAGGGGGGTTATGAACAGAATTACCTGAGAACTATGAGAAGGGGAATTGGGCGAATCGGCAAATAAGCGAGACAGCTGATTGGAGACCTTCTCCTTCAATGCGATCATCTTCTTTCGTTCTCTCCAACGAATCAGCTGAAGTTCAGCAGGTAAAGATCATCACCCTTCTCCACAAGTTGGGAAAGAAAATGCTCTTTGCTGAAAGCCAAACAGCAAACGTAAAGTCTGCACCTTTCCGCGTCGAATGCGATGTGTGAGCTGCCTGGCCTTGTGGGTCTCAATCTGAAGGAATCAGGAGGGCAAAAGTTTCGTCGGTGGAGACGGGATGTTTACGTAAGAGCGGTAAAAAGGAAGAAACCAAGACAGCACTGCAGCAATTCAGCCGAACTTGTAAGAGAAAACCATAATGGTATTTTCTGTTTAGAATTACTCGTTATTGTTCTTGTCATTAGATTTTGGGTCTACGGGGTCATTTGGAAGTTGCGATTGTTTTGTTGAGATTGTCATTATGCAATTATGCATGTATTGTTTACAATGCATCTGTTACCAAAAACAATACATGGATTGTTTCTGTGATGTGATAGAAACTATCACTCATTTTGAGTGATTGTTATATCTAAATTTTTAGTTGTGATTTTTGAGATAGTTGAGTTGAGATTGTTTTGTCTCAGCTTTTAGCTGATGCGACATACACAATCACACATACCAAACGTTGTATTCTACAATGCATCAAATTCGACAATACATGTATAATATTAAACATGCATTCTTAACAATACATCTATATAACAATGGCAACTTACAAACCACCCTACATTACCAATTGAATTATGAACGGGAAAACGTTTTTCTTTCACGGAAAAGGACAACAAATTGCATATTTACCGTCTACTCTTTTGACTTTTCATTGTCTATGATATACTCTAGGTTAAAATAACGGCTTTGCTAGAGTTAAGATTTTGATAAATCGATTGATACAGCTTAGAAAATAATTGATTGGATGACACAATTGCTCATTAAAAAAAAAATTGGTGGCCTACCGATTGGATTTACTTTATTAGTGTTGAATATGATTTCACCACTATAAAGGTTTACAATACTGAAAAGTAGAGGTGGCAATTTCAATCCAATCCACCAATCCAATCCATCAATCCATTAAAAATATCCACCTAATCCAATCCATTTAAATTCAATCCATTTTATCCAAATCCAATTGGATTGGTGGATTCATGGATTTGATCCATGGATCATTGGCAAATTACAGTTTAGTACCTATAATTTTTATTTTTTACATTTTGGTACCTAAAATTTAATTTTTATACGAAAAATATCATTGGAAAATTACATTTTGGTACCTAGAAATTTTCATTGTGACATTTTAGTACCTAAACTTTTTACATTTTACATATTGGTCCTTGGTTGAGGATGTCATTTGGATTCATGGATAATCCACCAATCCACTTGATCCAATCCATGAATCCACCAATCCATTTGATCCATGGATCCACCAATCCACCAATTCAATCCATTTGCCACCTCTACTGAAAAGGATTTTTCTATCACTTAACACCTCAATAAATAACAAATGTACTTAATTAGCTTATCACTCTAAATGTCATGTAAACTAATTTGTGTGACTTTAGAGCTTGGTGAAGAAAAGATGTCGTAACATCAAAGGCAGTTGTTGGTGCAATAAGTGTAGCTCAACATGTCAACCACGCTGGTTATCCGATTGACCTTTCATGTGCAATCACGAGGTTTATCATCTTTAGAGCACTCTTCACGATGTTGGGTTGAGGTATGAATATATATTTAGCACTAATCGTTCGAGTTCTTCATATGGCGACCGATAAGTTTATTTCTAAACATCGACATTTTCATCATAGTTAGTAAATACTTCGTTTAATACACATATATGTACCCGTATGTATTTTATCCGTTTAAAACTTCCGTATCTGTATTATTGTCAAGTCGTTTAATTTTTTCCATTCGTTTTATGGCTCCCGTACTAATCACGTATAAAACTCGTATAACACGTTTAATATCCGTATTTAATGAATTATATTGTTAAATTAACTATTATTTATATATTTGTTTAATTTTAAAATAATTAATTTTTATATATTTATGATTATTGACGTACTATTAAACGTAACATTATTTTAGAGACAAAGTAAAATACCTGTATTTATTTTATACGTAACTTTCCCATACCGTATTTTATTAACTATGCTTTTCATCATCAGATCAACCGCAACATATAAGCGCTCAACCTTTTCATCATTAAGATATTAATAATGCCAACCTAGCAACCATAAAAACCTAAAATAACTTTCACCTCTCTTTGTCAGAAATTATTAAATCTAAAGGACCTCACTTTGATATACATCCTTTCATCAATCGAAGCACGCCAAAATGGATGGCTTAATGAGAAGTGCTTATATAATCATACAATTGAAATCATAATGAGCACATCTTCACATTCACATGTTTATCTCACAAGGAACTGAAGGGGTTGTGTAAGAAAATTCACAAATTCTCAGTATTCTATTGTTTTTATATAGTTTGTAACATAAACCTTATAACAAACATTAAATAAAACTTATTAACACCAGTTAGAAAGCTTATTTCAATAAAAAGTTTTTTTTAAGGGGAAACTAATGTAGACTTTCATTGAACCGGTCAATAAAAATTTGCCTCAAGGGCTACAACATCAGCAATACACAGAGGCATAGACTCCTCCCAACTCAATTCACCGTCGCAAACAAAGAAAGTGTGAGCAAGTAAATGGGCGATGCAATTTGATTCTCTAGGTGTAAAGTTCCACTCCCTCACCCCTGCTTCATTTCCCAATTCAATTATGCTTCTGCAGATACTTCCAACTTCATTCCTCTTTATCCTTTCCACAAGCCTCTTACAATCTGATTCAATGATCAGTGGTGTCAGTCCTCTTTCCATGGCCTTTCGAATCCCAAAGATCATGGCTCTTCCTTTTGCAATTTCGGGTGCCCATTTGATCTCCTCACTTCTTGCAGCAACCAACACAGCCCTACCTCTATCATCTCTTATGATACAACCCAAACCAGTATAACCTCTGTTGTTGATGCCGGAATCCACATTAATCTTGAACATACGATCAAGAGGTCTTTTCCATCTGCTTTCCTTCCTGATAATCCTTTGCTTCATCTCTTTTTCACGACCATGTACTTCCATAAAGTCTTGGATATAGTTATCAGCTCTCGAGAAAACTTCCCATTCCTGCAGAATTTTATTGTTGAAGAGGAAATTATTCCTTTCCTTCCAAAAAAAACCACAACAAGGAACAAAAGCTGCCTAGCTCCACGTCATTTGCTTCCTTAAGGACCTTCCCAATCCAAGCTCTGCAAGATCGGTTTTCAGACATCTAGAAAAGCTTTTTAATTGGAGTCTTGCTCCAAATTCTGGTCACCCAACTACATTCCACCACGCAGTTGAGTGTCTCTTTCATCCCACAATTTGGGCATTTGTCACCTTGGCTTTTCACCCTTCTGCAGATTTTTGCACCAACTGGTAGGATATTGTGAGCTGCCTTCCATAAGAAAACTTTCAATTTCCCAGGAGTGTTCATACTCCAAAGCTTCTTCCAGTTGAAGGACTCTTCATGCGTGTTCATTGTTGCTTCATTCCATGCTCCATTGTTTTTGTTGAGTTCCGTGTAATAACCAGACTTCACTATGTATTTTCCATTATCATTCTCTGTCCAACAAAGTTGGTCCTTATCAATCGTAGAGGCAAGGGGAATAGCCAGGATGACCTCTTGTTCTTCCTGGGTGAAAACCAGCTCAGGTATAGCTCTTATCCAGCTTCTGGTTTCTTGATCGATAAGGCAAGAGACCCTCACATCTGAATCCATGAAGGGACTATAAGAAAAGACCTGGTGGTTCTCCAAATTTGGTACCCATTTATCTCCCCATATTTTGATATCCTCTCCTGATCCCACCTTCCATCTGCTCCCTTCCTTAATCAAGTCAACATCTCCCAAAAGGCTTCTCCAAACATGGCTTGGTTTCCAAGCCAAATTTGCTTCCAGAATGTTACTTATAGGAAAGTATTTTGCCTTTAACAGTCTGGCCATAAGAGACTCAGGTCTGTTATGAATATTCCAGACTTGTTTTGCGAGGATAGCTTTATTAAACACTTTCAGGTCTCTGAATCCCATCCCACCCTCCTCCTTTCTTCTACACATTTTCCCCATCTCTTTCAATGAATTCTTCTCTCAGTCCCTTTCTGCCCCCACCAATAATTTGCCATCAGACTATGAATATCCTCAATAATTCCATTAGGAACCTTGAAAACTGACATAGCATAGGTTGTTTGTGTCTGTGCCACACTCTTAATAAGAACCTCCTACCCTGCTGATAGCCCGTTAGTTACACATGTTTTCACCCCTGTTCTTACACCGTTTGAGATGTGGTTTCTCGTGTTTTAGACCGATTTCACGCTAGGTTGTGCTTGTTTGTGATATTTCAGGTCCTGGCAAGTGAATGAAGGTTTAGGAGCGAGTTCGGGGTCGATTGGGCGAAGATCAGGCGCAAGACAAGTCGCAAAGGAGGTCACACGGGCTACCCTGATGTTCACACGGCCGCGCGAGAGGCCAGTCTAGCCGTGTGACATTCTGCGAGAGCAGACACGGGCAGAGCAGCAGATTGACACGGCCGTGTAAGTGGCCGGGTTGGCCGTGCCACATTCGCCGAGAGCAGACACGGGCAGAAGGAAGTCACACACGGCCGTGCCACACTGGCCGTGTAAGAAGCCTGGAATTCGACTAAGTGATACGGTGCGTTTTGTCTCACACGGGCAACTGGGTAGGCCACACGGCCGTGCCACCCTGCCCGTGTGAGTCGGGATTTCCTGGTTTTAAGCCAAATTCCGAACCAAAGAAGAGGAGAGCTGGGTTTTGGATCCCAAACACCCAAGGGACGAACCAAAGAGAGAGAGGGCGATTTGAGGGCATTCTTGGAGTGGAGTTGGAGGATTTCTTCGCCTTGGAAGCTCGAGGAACAAGCCCGGACTTGAAGACTGATCATCTGAAGATTCTTACTGCAGTCTCTCTCTTCTCTATGGAGTAACTTCCCTTCACTTAGGTTTTGAGGAACCCTAGCTATGTTTGTTTGATTGGATGATTGTATGAGTACTCTGACTGGATAATCTTGAGTTCATATTCAATCTATGCATGTTTTCATGATTCAATTCTGCTTTAGTCGAGATTATTGATTCTGCTTTGATTCTATGAGAGGGAATACCTGATTAGGTCAATAGAGCACCATAGATTGATAGTAGTGGATCGATTGCTTTAGTCGAGGGTTGATTCACTGCTTTGTATCGATTGAGAACCTCTTTCGATAGAGGGAGTCTAGTTCAGAACGCCTTGATCAGTTGTTCTAGAGAAGGATACGTCCCTCTAGGCAATTGACTCAAGAGGGCCTTGTTCCTTTAGTCGAGACTCAAGGTCTAGTCAAGGATTCTCCGCATTGTGAATGAAAGTGAAACAGGTTAGAGATCATCAATCATTAATCTGGCTAGTGGCTAGGGGGAATCATACCTAAGTGAGTTCCCAACCTGTAATTAGATTAACTTTAACTGTAGTTTGCTAGAGTAGTTTTAGTTCTTTCATCTTAATCTGGTTTGCTAAATAATAAACTGAAGCTGAGTAATAGTAACTCTAGAGACCCGTGGATTCGATATTTATCACTTGAGCCACAATACTGCAGTCCCTTTCATTGGTTACACTTGGCCTTTGTTAGGTGTTGTGTCGTAGCGAGTCAAGTTTTTGGCGCCGTTGCCGGGGACTTTCTAGAGTATTAGGAAAGGCAGAAGTTTGTTACTTTAGCGTTTTTCGTTTCTTTTCTTTTCCACCCTTGCTTTTCACTTGGGTGTTTTTGTTTTTGTTGGTGCAAATCTGAATCATGGATCCTAATGGCTTCTCCAATCATTGGGGGTATCCACCACCATCTGGGTGGTATTACCCCGAGACTCCCTGGAGCAATCAAGGCGGAGAAGACTATGGATTCGGGTTCCAGTACCAACCCCCTTACTACGGAGAACAACCGGACCCCTGGGCATATCAAGAACAACCTCATTATCAAGAAGAATTTCTCCCACAACCAGAAGGGCCATCGGCGCTGGAGTTACTCATGGAGCAGTTTGCTCGAGACTGTGAGAGAACATGCTCCAGGATGGATCAGTGTGTCCAGGCCTATCGTGAAACAGATGAGATCCTCCTGAGCCTTAAGAAGAGCGTCGATGATCTTGAGCGATCTTGGGCGCAACATGCTCCAGATCACCCTTCTGCTACCATACAAGAAGAGGAGGAGGAAGAAGAAGGCTACAAGGGCATTGTGGAACACACTGAAGTTGTCACGGAGAGCTCCCGTGATGATCATGATCAGGCGTTTCATGTCGTAGCCGACCACACCTTCCCACACCCCAAACTGAGCTTTGAAGAGGCGGGCATGAGTGAGGAGATGCAAGAAGATCTCATGAAAGAAATTGCTTGGCAACTTGCTCTCCAATCCGTGCTAGAAGAAGAAGAGCAACAAAGGGTGCAGAAAGAAGTTGTGGAGGATGACGAAAGTGAAGCAGGAGGAGTTCTTGATCATTTCCCAGGGGTGATACCACATGAAGAAGAAAGGGGGGTTGAAGAAGCAATTGGCGTCCAGGCTGAGGACGAAGTTGAGGTGGAAGAGGCTTGCACCGGCCATGAGTTACATGTGATATCTTCACCAAACTTCGAGGAACTGCTTAGCAAGGACCCATTTGCAGGGTCTCTTTGCCAGACCAAGGCCACATCGACATCGGTCCCTCTTGGTGGACGCGATGGTGGCCAATCGATGCTGTCTTATCTGGTTTGGAGCAATGAGACGAGAGAAGAGAAGAAGAGGTCTCGAGGGTGGAGACTTCATCTGCATCAAGTACATGAGCCTTCATCACCTGCCACATCACATGCTCATGACTTGAGACTCCACCTCATCGACGAGAACCTCAACTTCAAGGAGGTTCTAGCATGGACCGAAACTTAGGAGCCATCGTCCGGCTCACGACGTGAAAGAAGCGCTTGTTGGGAGGCAACCCAACCAGTCGGTTTGCATCTCTTTCTCTATTTCTCCTCGGTTGAGTCAGTTTTGTTATTTGATTTTAGAGTCAATAACTCAACCTTTGTGAGATTTTGTGTGGTGTTTGTGTTCTGATTACTCTCTCTTTCTGGAATGCACCGCCTGACCCGTACATCATCATTCACCCTTGATCTGGTAACTTCGTTCTACCCTCCTTATCTTTCCTCCATTGAGGACAATGTCGTGCTTAAGTGTGGGGGGATGTTCGATTATTTATGCGGGTGAATGTTTGGCTGTTTGTGTGCTTGGAGCCTAGTCCACTGTCCAAATTTTTAAATTTGAGGGCTCCAAGTACGTGTTTCCTTGCAATTGCCTGCTCAGTATGCTTTGAATTGACAGTCTTTATAGTAATATGCAACCTAGGGAGGTAGTGTAGCACTATGGAGGATGTTGAGGCATTTAAGAAGTCTCATTTCTTCTTCATATTGAGTTGGTTGATTGAGTGAATTAGTGATCTTAGGACCCTTGAATTGTGTGGTGTTGTGGATTCTCTGCCTGTCATGGACTCTTGTATCATGTTTTGAAAATAACAGGTGCTCGAAAATGTGCTTCAAAATAAACGTCTCCCGTGCGAATAGGGCGAAAGTGTGTAAGGGGAGACGGGAATCCGTTCCCAATTTCCACCTACTACCTCCAGCCCCCTTACATGTCTTTCCCCCGCACGAGGCTCGAGACATCCGCTCCTGGCATGGCCGGTAAGAGCAGGTTGGGACCCTTGAAAAGAAAAGAAAAGAAAAATAACTGAAAACAAGCAAAACAGAAAGAAAAGGGGTTCCAACCATCTTCAAAGAAAATAGAGCACCTTGAAAAATGTGAGTCCATGATCTTTTATTTTAGAGAATCTCTTCATCCACGATTCATTTGTCCTCTGTTCACTGTTTGCCATGATGCCGACTCGATAAGAAGCTTTGAGATGACTTGTGCGTCGGTTGACCTCGTAAGTTGCTAAATGATCTAGGAAGTCCTCTACCTACGATCTGGGTTGTTTGTTGCTATAGAGGTCTGGAGAGTTGCATTGGTTTGAGTTAGGTTTGCTTGGGGACAAGCAAACGGTTAAGTGTGGGGGAGTTTGATAGCCCGTTAGTTACACATGTTTTCACCCCTGTTCTTACACCGTTTGAGATGTGGTTTCTCGTGTTTTAGACCGATTTCACGCTAGGTTGTGTTTGTTTGTGATATTTCAGGTCCTGGCAAGTGAATGAAGGTTTAGGAGCGAGTTCGGGGTCGATTGGGCGAAGATCGGGCGCAAGACAAGTCGCAAAGGAGGTCACACGGGCTACCCTGATGTTCACACGGCCGCGCGAGAGGCCAGTCTGGCCGTGTGACATTCTGCGAGAGCAGACACGGGCAGAGCAGCAGATTGACATGGCCGTGTAAGTGGCCGGGTTGGCCGTGCCACATTCGCCGAGAGCAGACACGGGCAGAAGGAAGTCACACACGGCCGTGCCACACTGGCCGTGTAAGAAGCCTGGAATTCGACTAAGTGATACGGTGCGTTTTGTCTCACACGGGCAACTGGGTAGGCCACACGGTCGTGCCACCCTGCCTGTGTGAGTCGGGATTTCCTGGTTTTAAGCCAAATTCCGAACCAAAGAAGAGGAGAGCTGGGTTTTGGATCCCAAACACCCAAGGGACGAACCAAAGAGAGAGAGGGCGATTTGAGGGCATTCTTGGAGTGGAGTTGGAGGATTTCTTCGCCTTGGAAGCTCGAGGAACAAGCCCGGACTTGAAGACTGATCATCTGAAGATTCTTACTGCAGTCTCTCTCTTCTCTATGGAGTAACTTCCCTTCACTTAGGTTTTGAGGAACCCTAGCTATGTTTGTTTGATTGGATGATTGTATGAGTACTCTGACTGGATAATCTTGAGTTCATATTCAATCTATGCATGTTTTCATGATTCAATTCTGCTTTAGTCGAGATTATTGATTCTGCTTTGATTCTATGAGAGGGAATACCTGATTAGGTCAATAGAGCACCATAGATTGATAGTAGTGGATCAATTGCTTTAGTCGAGGGTTGATTCACTGCTTTGTATCGATTGAGAACCTCTTTCGATAGAGGGAGTCTAGTTCAGAACGCCTTGATCAGTTGTTCTAGAGAAGGATACGTCCCTCTAGGCAATTGACTCAAGAGGGCCTTGTTCCTTTAGTCGAGACTCAAGGTCTAGTCAAGGATTCTCCGCATTGTGAATGAAAGTGAAACAGGTTAGAGATCATCAATCATTAATCTGGCTAGTGGCTAGGGGGAATCATACCTAAGTGAGTTCCCAACCTGTAATTAGATTAACTTTAACTGTAGTTTGCTAGAGTAGTTTTAGTTCTTTCATCTTAATCTGGTTTGCTAAATAATAAACTGAAGCTGAGTAATAGTAACTCTAGAGACCCGTGGATTCAATATTTATCACTTGAGCCACTATACTGCAGTCCCTTTCATTGGTTACACTTGGCCTTTGTTAGGTGTTGTGTCGTAGCGAGTCACCTGCATCTGAGAAAAAACGGCTTTTACAATTTGTGAGTTTGCTCCTTACTCGCTCAACCAGGGTGGAGAAACCAGCTTCTTTGATTTACCAATCATCGTGGGAAGGCCCAGGTATTTTGCCAGCTTGTCAACCTCCTTGATTTGCAGTTCTTGGCATATTTTTTTTCCTATTGGCATCGATGTTCTTACTGAAATAGACTTCTGACTTCTGTAGGTTGATCCTTTGGCCTGACTCCACCTCATAGATATCTAGGATCTCTTTGAGTCTTCTTCCTTCCTCCAGATTTGCTCTTGCAAAAAGAATACAATCGTCAGCAAATAGGAGATGTGATATAACAGGAGCTCTATTGCAAATTTTCATTCCATGTAACTTCCCAGTCTGTCCATACTTTTTGATCAATCCCGAGACACCCTCTGAGCATAACAAGAATAGGTATGGAGAGAGCGGATCTCCCTGCCTCAGCCCTCTACTCGGTTGAATTTTTTTATTTATGACCATTAACTAAAACTGCATATGAAACATAGGAAACATATTGCATAATCAGATTAATCCATCTCTCATCAAATTCCATTCTCCTCATAACACGTTCAAGAAAATGTCATTCAACTCGGTCGTAGGCTTTTGCCACGTCCAGCTTGAGAGCCATTGATCCCTTCCCTCCTCTAGTCTTTTTCTTCATTGCAAAAAAGCATTCGAAAGCTGTAATTATGTTATCAGTAATTGACCTTCCATGCACAAAAGCACTTTGTGCTTCACATATCAACTTATCAAGAATTCTCTTTAGTCAATTTGCATTTTGCAATTGTCTTTGACGGGACTTTATAAACCACAGAGCACAGACTTATCGGTCTGTAATCTTTGGGAGAAGTGGGATTTTTAACTTTTGGGATCAGAGCAATGAGAGTCATATTGAGAGAGTCTGGAAAAATACATTGATGCAGGAATTCAGTCAGTTCGCTTGTGAGCCTCGGAGCCAACGTTTCCCAGTTCTTTTGAAAGAAGAGAGCAGAAAAACCGTCGTCCCCGGGAGCTTTTGTGGCCCCCGTCTGAAATAAAGCCGATTTGATTTCTTCACTCGGGAAGGGCTGTAATAAGAGATGATTCATATCTGCAGTTATTTTAGTTTCGATGGCTTCCACTGCCTTCCAAGGGAGTGTTGCTTTGGAAGAGATCAATGTAATACTCCAACATACATTCTGTTACTTGTTCCTAAATCCTGCCCAATGAAAATCTTACCCTGCTCATTGCGGAGTCTTCGAATTGTATTCCTTTTCCTCCTTTCAGTAGCCCTGGCATGAAAAGTAAATATTAAAAACAAAATAACATCGTTCAATATGTATTGGTATCAGCCATACAATTTACGAAGCAAGTTTACTCACAATAGTTCTTATTGTTTTAACATGTAATGTGACATGTCGGGTCGTTGAATAAGTAGGAGCAAGGCTCAATGGTACATCTCGCTCCATGCAACACATTGAAGAATAACCACATGTTTCTTGGAACCTCAAAACTCAGTCGAGTACCATGAAAACTTGTACTAAATGAGGATCAAGAAAGCAAACACATGGAACATCTAGAGGTTTATGAAGAAATTTTTCATATTGTGTTTTCTTTAATATATGTTTACTTCGGAAAAAATCCCAAGTTACACATCTTTTTAAAAAAAAATCTCAAAATACACACGTTATGAAAATAATTCCCAATCTACGTTAGTTTGGGCCATCACCGCTGTCGACGAAGACAGTGATTGCATCACTGTTGTCGACGAAGACAGTGATTGCATCACCGCTTTCGACGAAGACAGTGATTGCATCACCGCTGTCGACGAAGACAGTGATTGCATCACTGCAGTACACGGCCGCGGTGAAGGCCTGACCTGCGTCGAAACTTGAAACAAACGTAACTTTGTGCTCGGTTATCCGATCGTAGCAAAATTTTTTTTGATTCCGCATAATTTTTCGAGATCTTGCAAGTCGCAAATGGCCATAGGAGGTTTGGTCCCGCCTTCGTCTCGAAAATATGTCGTTTGCTACCCCGAACGAGCCTTTTTTCGATTTCGTCAAACTTTGAATGACCATAACTTTGTGCTCCACAATCCGAAAATCATGAATTTTTTTTTGATTTCGCATAAATTTTTAAGGACTAAAATATTTAGTAGGAGAGAATTTTCAAAAAATGAATTATTTATGGATATAAGGGGTTTTGGGAATAACTTTACCTTCCTTTTCAGGAATCCAAGTACATTCCGAAAATATGTCTATGATAAAAATTGTAGTCCTTAAAATGTTATGCGAAATAAAAAAAAATCATGATTTTCGGATTGTGGAGCACAAAGTTATGGTCATTCAAAGTTTGACGAAATCGAAAAAAGGCTCGTTCGGGGTAGCAAACGACATATTTTCGAGACGAAGGCGGGACCAAACCGCCTATGGCCATTTGTGGCTTGCAAGATCTCGAAAAATTATGCGGAATAAAAAAAAATTGCTACGATCGGATAACCGAGCACAAAGTTACGTTTGTTTAAAGTTTCGATGCAGGTCAGGCCTTCACCGCGGCCGTGTACTGCAGTGATGCAATCACTGTCTTCGTCGACAGCGGTGATGCAATCACTGTCTTCGTCGACAACAGTGATGCAATCACTGTCTTCGTCGACAACAGTGATGCAATCACTGTCTTCGTCGACAGCGGTGATGGCTCAAACTAACGTAGATTGGGAATTATTTTCATAACGTGTGTATTTTGAGAATTTTTTTTAAAAACATGTGTAACTTGGGATTTTTTCCGTTTACTTCAGTCAAACTTTAACTGAGATTCCTTTACCATTCGCAGCACAGTGCTACTTTTTCCATTTTTTTATGGTTTACTACAGAGCTCCTTCTTTTCCTGTTCTTGTCCTTTTATTTTAGTCTGCCCAAGAAATTTCTGTATAGTGGCTATATTTAGTTCTCATTCTATTCAAATAGTAAACAAATTGAAGGCCAATAATTCACAATCTCAAGGAAAAATTTCCTTTTCTTTTCATTATTTTTCTGCCTGTGTGATTTTGTATATTGTACATTTGTACTGCTAATCTTTCTCTTCTCTGTTTCCAGCGATTTGAAACAGTGCAAAAGGATGCTCCTCCTGCTCCCCTGACCTCTCTCTGCATCTCTGCACATTTTCAGAGAAAAGAGTGAAGTCCCCAAACACCAAAAAACCAGAAACCGAAACCCTCTTTACCCTCTTTCCTTTCAATTTCCTTTCTTCTCGAGAAATTCAAACCACAAACCCAAAAGGCAGCAACTTGTAGACTGTAGTAGTAGTAACCATTAGCCAAAATTTACTGACCAGCTCAGCTCCATCTCAAATTTTCAATCTTTTCTCCAAACCCACCTCCTCAATCCTTCTTCAAGACCTCCAAACCCCACCACCATGATACGATAGAACAGAGAAGAAAAGGGAAGAATTTGTTTTCCGAAAATGGGTTTCCCCTCGAAACCCTTGTTCTACATTCTCCATCTCCCTCCCATCTTCCTCTTCCTCCTCCTCTTCTCCACCAACCCAACTCAATCCGCTCCAGATTACACCTCCCTAGTCTACAAGGGCTGCTCAAAGGAAGCTTTCCAAGATCCAACCGGCCTCTACTCACAAGCCCTCTCTGCCCTCTTCGGCACTCTAGTCCAACAATCCACAAAATCCAAATTCTTCAAAACCACCACGGGGACAGGCCAGACCACAATCACCGGCCTCTTCCAGTGCAGAGGCGACCTCTCAATCGGCGACTGCTACAAATGCGTGAGCGGCCTCCCCGTCTTGACCGACAAAATGTGTGGCAAGGCCATTGCTGCCCGCGTCCAGCTCTTCGGCTGCTACATTCTCTACGAGGTTGCTGGGTTCACTCAGGTCTCAGGGATGGAGATGCTGTTCAAGACCTGCGGCCGCTCCACCGCCGCCGGGAGTGGGTTTGAGGAGAGAAGGGACACTGCGTTGTCTGTTCTTGCTAATGGGGTTGCTAGTGGACATGGATTCTTCACAACGAGCTACCAATCGATGTATGTTTTGGGGCAGTGCGAGGGAGATATTGGGGATTCGGATTGTGGGGAGTGTGCCAAGAGTGCTGTACAGAGAGCTCAGGTGGAGTGTGGGAATGCAATCTCTGGCCAAATCTATCTTCACAAGTGCTTCATTAGTTATAGCTATTATCCCAATGGGGTTCCCAGGAGGTCTTCGTCATCTTATGGTTCACCTTCATCAGGTAACACAAAGAAAGAAAGCTTCTTCCTTTACTTTTGGGTATGCAAGAAAAGCTGCTGCTTGTTAGGGTTGGTTGGTTGGTTCGTTTGTAGCTGTATGTGCTATTCTTGGCTGCTGATTTTGATTTGTGAGTTTTGTTGTCCCCAATGGAAAAGGATTTGAGTGATAGAATAGTAGGATTTGGTGTGGAGTTGGTGTCCCTTTCATGGATTAATGCTAATGATGAGATTGGGACCATGCATTTGTATATATAATAGATGGTTAAATGATGTGTTTAGTGTTTTTGTCGATTGTGGTGGTGTGGATTTGTTTATTGAGGATGATAGAAATTGAAATGGTGTAGGGACAGGGCAGAACACAGGGAGGACGGTGGCTATAATATTAGGAGGGGCAGCAGGAGTGGGGTTCTTGGTGATCTTCCTCATGTTTGCAAGAAATCTGCTGAAGAAACATGATGGTATGCTATGAACTTCCTTTCTTTATGTCCCAATGAAGAACATCATGTCAAACAGAAGAGATCATGATTAGATCTCTGTTGTATCTGCTGCTGCTGTTTCATTGGTTAATGTAGTAATGCTTTGTTTGGTTTCTTGTTTCTGCAGATTATTGAGAAACAAAAAAAAAAAAAAAAGGGAGGCTGGTGGTGGTGAATAAGGGGAGCAGGCTTCAACAATTCTTTTGTTTTTGGAAGAAGCTTGGTGGGATTGGTTCTTGTGGTGGAGAGGGGGAGGATGCACAAGTTTTTGTAGAGTTAGGATTGAGTTATCATCAATTGAAAGGGGAAGGGTGAGTTTTATGTGAAGGGAGGAAGCAAATTAGGCCATGGGAATTACAAAACAAAGCAAAAGAATGTCTGTGGTAATATTGAATATATTTTTATTAGAGAGGGACTTGGGTAATGGAGTTTTTTGCAGCATCAAGAAAAGAGAGGCATATGGGTGGTGGAGAAAGAGGAGGATGCTTGTTTTGTTGTCTCTTCTCTTTGCTCTTTTTCTCCAAACAGACTGATGCTGTTCTGTTTTGCTTCATGGCTTCCTTTCTCTGTCTATTCTTTTCTTTTCTTTTTTTTCTTCCCCTCCCACATCTCCTTCGCTATGCTTTTCTTCTCTCAGAAAAGTTGTAAACAGGAAAACCCACTTTTCCTTCCTTCCCCTCCCTCCCCTGCATCTACTACAGAAACAAGATGTCATCAATCAATCAAATGCATACATGAACTGCTATTTGGTACCCAATTAACACAACGTGATTTCGTCAAAGACGACGACGAATTTCGATCCATGAATGCTCAACCGAGTGGTTAAGATGAATCTACAGCACCTGTTAGCATAACGTTCCATAACGTTCCCACCCTTGGCCTTTTTCCTAACTTTCACCACCAAACCAAACCTGGCCTGGCCTCTTGCTGTTTACCTTCCAAAATTTTCCTACAGCTGTTTTTTTCTTGACTGCAAATTTGAATATGGAAACTGTGATGATTACTAATTGTTCATCTGTTTGTATAACGAAATCTTGCTTGCATTACAAGATCAGCTTTTTTTAGCTTGATACTATATTCTTTCAGAAAGGAAGGTTATTGACAAGGCGCATCTAGTGTAGTGGTATCATAGTACCCTCCCACGGTACTGACCGGGGTTCGATTCCCCGGATGTGCAAATTTTTTTCTTCCATGTATCCATTTTTCCATGTACCAGGGTTTCAATACTATCTGATCTGGTTTGATTCATTGCACTCTCCTTTTGAACATTTGTAAGGGAGTGTAAAGAGGGAGAGTAAATGCACTGTTTCAACTCCCTTCTGAAATTGGGGTACAAATGCACCATCCTACATTCTCGTCCAAACAACAATACAGCTCAACTTGTACCTTGCATGCTCGAACTTGAACCCCGCCTATTTTGCCATTTTCTTCCATGTATCCATTTTTCCATGTACCAGGGTTTCAATACTATCTGATCTGGTTTGATTCATTGCACTCTCCTTTTGAACATTTGTAAGGGAGTGTAAAGAGGGAGAGTAAATGCACTGTTTCAACTCCCTTCTGAAATTGGGGTACAAATGCACCATCCTACATTCTCGTCCAAACAACAATACAGCTCAACTTGTACCTTGCATGCTCGAACTTGAACCCCGCCTATTTTGCCAAAGAGAGTGAGTTTATTGAAGGATTATATGACATGTACCAGGATTTCAATACTATCTGATCTGGTTTGATTCATTGCACTCTCCTTTTGAACAATTGTAAGGGAGTGTAAAGAGGGAGAGTAAATGCACTGTTTCAACTCCCTTCTGAAATTGGGGTACAAATGCACCATCCTACATTCTCGTCCAAACAACAATACAGCTCAACTTGTACCTTGCACGCTCGAACTTGAACCCCCGCTATTTGCCAAAGAGAGAGTGAGTTTATTGAAGGATTATATGAAAGAGACAATGGGAGAATCACAATCAGATCGAAACTGAATCATATTATATACATAGGTCCATATCAAATCCATCAAAATATAATTCGTTACAGATCATTTCGGACCTGAGTTGTCCACTCCCACTACTACCAACTGAACTCAATTGGCCAAGCAACAGGAAGCAAACACAGCAGCAGGCTTTTACTATTGCCTCCAAATCATGACGATCGACCACTATCAAAGTGCAACTTATTACCTAGTTACAACCACCACATTTCTGTGGTAGCTGGGGAATGAAGGACAGAATCAACCCCAGAATGTCCAGGCCACTCGATGATGCAACAGAGATTTCTACTCTCTCTCTCTCTCTAACACAGGATTGACTGCTTCCTAGTAAGATCTTGTGCTCAATGCCATCTCCAAAACAATTCTGCAATGCGAATATGACATCTCATCTCACTCCTCTACTCTCCTCTTCATTAACCAACCTCTATTCTGCCAAGTCTCCTCTGCTTTCTTTCTTCCATATCTTGGCATACAAAGATGATCTAAGGACTTTTAGGGCTCAGCTGATAAATCCACACAAAGATGATCTAACCCTAATCAGCAGACGACCCCAATGACCAGATCAAAGCTAGTTTGGCACGCAAGTAAATCGACTCGAGCTGCAGAAGAGGATTAGAGTCAGAAACTGAAGTCAAACCAAGAGAATCATAGAATGACAGTTCACAAACCATCTACTGAGTTAATGAGTTTTGCTCACTCACACCTACAGATGAACCAAGTGCCATTAAACTGGGTCCAAGTTGAGAGATGTCTTAATGGGACAATCTTACTTTCTTAGAGTTCTGAGCAAAGAAACCAGCCAGGCTAATGCAATTCACTGAATCAAAGCATTCATTTTTTCCCCTTTTATCTAATGGGTTGAAGAACAACTAAAAGTCGTAAAAGGGATTGAGAACTCAAACACATTGCAACAACAATAAAACCCCTAAAAGATCTCCAGAGTGGTAATGGGGAAAAGTTGAATAGGATCCGTGAGGAGAAAAACCCTAGCGTACAATTTAGGAAATCGAAAACCCTAATTCGTTCTTCCCTTCTGCAGACACAAGCTTATACGAGGCGGGTTGAAGGGAGAGGAAAGATGATAAGAGAATCACTCAGGACATGGTCGTCGGCGGAGCTCCGAGGAGGTGAGATTGCTGCGCTTCGTACTCAGTGAGCTGTGCTTCCCTGTCCATCTCTATGATCAACGGAACTACCAGGATCAGAAACGTCGTCCCGGCGATCCACGCCGCCTTTCCGGTGCTTTTCGCCAGTCTCTTCGCCACGTACGTTGCGTCCCCCGCGAATTCTCTCGACACTCCCAAGATCCGCGACTCCGACAAGGTTTGCTTCGCCCTGGCTAGGATCCCGGCGTCTTCGCCTCTGCCCGTCGACAGCCGCTTCTTGCCCAGAACCGCCATTGCCGACCAGAAGAAGAAGAAGAAATTTCTTAAAGCAGAGTAAACGGGGGCGTCAGAATCCTAGGTTCCTACTGCAAGCCAAAAATAGGTCAGCCTTAATCGAATCAGAGCTCTGTCACGTTGGACTTCTTCTTTGGGCCTTTCGTCTCCTCCAAGGCTGTTATGGGCTTTGTTTATGGACTCGGTTATTAACTATTTGGGCCCAAGAGAAAATCAATTAAACGAGCTCGAAGTCTCTTTTGATATACTCCAGGCAAGAAAAGGGAAGGTTTACATTATTCTCAACTTCAGAAGACCTCGACAGAAGATTTCCCAAGACTGCATCTCTACAATTGCCGCCATTATCACCAGCCTTCAGACCTCTACAAACAACCAGACTAACATTACAGACCCAAGGAACCGAGACGGTGAACGCTGCACCGATCCCATTCCCTACTATGACTTCCTTGTACGCTCTGCATACTTTGGAGACGTGTCTGGTCATCGGCAGAGGCTGGTCGAAGAAAAACGAGTTGGAAGAGCTTGAAACGGAAGGTAATTCAGAGGAGTGGAGGTTCACCACTATGGCGCCGTGTTCTGGGTGCAGGTGTTGACTGAGGGCTTCGAGAAACGGCGAATCTGGGTCCCACAGCTTGCGAGGGAAGATGTCGTCTCCATCGTAGGCATCGATGAAGACCATGTCGTACACTGTGGTCTTGCTGGTGGTGTTCAGGATGAAATTCTCGGCATCTGCTTCGTAAAGACGGAGCCTTTCGTGGATGCCTTTCCACAGAACGACGTCCATGGGGCTGGCGTTTGGTGTGGCGCGTTGTCCGGATGGGTTCGTCAGGGAGAAAGCTGGGAACCCCATTGCTCGGATTGATGTTGATATAACTACTGGATCGATTTCAACTATGTCAACTTCGGCACCTGAATAGCACAGCATGGTGAGTTAATACAGTAAAGTATAATGACATCTAGTGAATAATGACAACTAGCATCTCACATCATAGCATGCAAAACATATAACATGTAAATTGAGACAAATAGGATGCATTCACAAAGAACAAACACAGCCATAGAAATGAAAAAGCAAATGAATCTTTACCTTGCAATTTGCTGGCCAGGAATAAGGGCAAACTTCCTCCACCATGACCAATGCACAACACACGCATTTTCTTCTTTCCGACTGCAACACCAGCAAGGTCGTAATCACAGCACGCAAGAGCATTTAAACCTGTCGCTGCCATACTCTTTAAATCTGCACAAGTACATACAACCATGCAAGTCCAGTCTAAGAACTAACTCTAGTCCAATTTTCCTTCTGCAACTTGAAGAGCAAGCTTAGCAGAGTCAATTCGACAATCGAGCCTCTGGGTTGAAAACAAGAGGCAGATTGTAGCTTGAACAACATGCAGTAATTTCAAGAGCAAATGGACGAGAGCAAGGAGTGTCGATTTACATGGAACAGCTAAACAATGAGGCTGTTGCATCAAGAACAGAGAGCCAGGTTTTGAGCCGTGGTAAGCAGCCATTACTTTAGCAGTGCTCTGGCGTGTGGTTTCGTTAAAGTGCAGCGTGCGCCACTGATATCCAAGTATCTTTAAACAACCCTTTTTCTGATGACTTGGATGCAGAGCTGCATACCTTTCCTGAAGCCATCTCTCAGTTTTAGGCCATTCAGTATGAGCCTGCAAAGTTTGCATACAGAATTACCCACAGATACCACCAACGGATAAAAAATCTAGTTCGCAGCGAGGTTGACAGTTCTAAAAGGAAAGGAGTGCAGTCATAGCCTCATAGGGACCCATTGCTTAAAACAGCAGCATCTGACGAAGTTTCCATATCGGAGGGTGGAAACTGGAAACTTTTGTACCTAAAGCACTAAAAGGAGACAAAAGACAACCATTAAATCTTGTGGTTTAAGACCTCAACTTTTTAGCTCCTCTGATCAAAAGGAGATGGAATTGCAGCCTCTAAACATGCTACCAATCACCATCATTGCGTTGAAAGATCGGAGACCCAGCTATCAACAAGCACTAGGCAACAGAAACGATAGTGGACAAGGCAGTAAATAAGTCGAACACTTGGTGGGCAATATTCACAGAAGAGAAAAGAGACTCACGGGTCGAGAAGAGGGATAAGCCAGAACAGAGACGACGCCATTCCCGTGATCGGAGTCGGTGCGCAGAACAGTCTGACCATCAGAGTCCGTCCCCCACCACTCGGAGGAGTAGAACCAGTCACCCTCATCTTCAACCTGACGTCGGCAAGTTGCGGTGCAGAACCGCCGGTTGTACACAACGTTCCGTCGAATGCTCAGCCCAGCTCTGCGCCACGACATCACACCTCTTGAGTAACAAAACAAATGACCCACTTCTCCAAATCATAGAAAAATCAAAACCCCTCCTAGAAATTTCGTTTCCTCGTTCGCTGTTGACTGCATTATCTCCCGAAATGGTAAAAAAGAACGCCTTTAAACGTTAAACCCTAGCGCCTGGAATTGGGTCCGCCGCCGCATAGAATTTAGAAACGTTTCGAATGTAGTAAATCACTGTTTCGGACCGTTTGAAACCAACCAAAAGCCCAAAAAGAAAAGGATGAAAAAGAAGAGAAAAGACGGCAGAATGGACGAAAGGCGAGGAAGGGAAGAGGTTCTTCTCTCTATCGGCGCCGTATCCGACTCGAAGTCAACTGGGGCATAAACAATTGGCGGGTAGGACCCATTTGCGCGAAGAAGACACGCTAAACATATGCATCTTCAAATCGCCATTACAGGTGCAATTTGGGGGAGTTTGACCACGTTTGATTCTAGGCTTCCGTCTCTCTCTCTCTCTCTCCTTTCGCTTGCGTTCCCCAAATCTCGTTTTCTTTCCTGTCCAGGCCGGACAATCGGAGGAGGGATTGAAGAGGCAACCAACTTTGGAGCCTACCCTTTTCATCATTCCTTCGACATCTTACTTCCACAGGCATTCTCCAACCACCTAACTTTTGTCTGCTGCTTCCTTCCTTTACTTCCTCCCAGTACCCACCGCATAAAGTTGCGTGCTTTGTCCATTTTCTGTGTTTTTCCGTTGGTTTCTTCTTTTGGATTTCAAATCATCGAAGGAGGCCAGATAATAGCTCGAGAAGCTGAAACCCGGCTGTTGTGTAGTCGGATCCTGGGTTGATCATCATACAAACAAGTGGGTTTTGCGGTTAATCTTCTGTGGTTGGTTCGTCAACTTCTCTGGAGCTCTTATGTTGTGGTCTATGTTCTGATATGATTTGTTTTCTCCGCTTCTGTTGGCTATCTTGTTCCAGTGTATCCGAAGGTGAAGGTTAGGATGGGAGATGAAGATGATCGGCACTGGGGCTCCTTGCTTTCCTTGAAGGATATCCAGTTCCTTTCCATTCAGGATTCGCTTTTCCCAGGTAATCTCTTTTGTTTTGTTCTTCAGTTCATGAAAAGGTTGACCAATTTAATCTGTTGTCTTTTGAACTCTTATCGCCTCTTAAGACTTCTAGGACCAGAATTTCAATGTTTTCTTTGAACCTACTCGATCTTAACCTGGAAATTGAATCCTGATGTGGGTGCTTGCTGAATCTTTCTTTGTTGTAAAAAGTTCTTATCTTTGTCTATGAACTTCTTCTATGCTCTACCTCCTGGGGAAAGATAGAATTAGAAACTTGCAAGACGCGGGAACTACTAAGCCATAGAGTGCATCTGTCTAAAAGCTTCATTTTCAGTTAGGATAAACATGGATGTTGAAAGGTTGCCCTTTTACTTCATGGTGATGCTCCCTCTAAGCTTACCCTTTGTATAATTGACTCTTTCTCCTAATGGTGGACCCTGTTATGGCTTGTAGTTAAGTTGCTGCAAGATGTTTCGCAATCTCCGAGTCCCAAGGCCAAAATTCCCAAGTCTTATGTGCCTAGCCTAATCCTGCCTGAAACACCAAGAACTCCACTTTCAGTCTGCACAGAAAGTTCAGGAACAGACACCAAAAGCAACCTAGATGAAGAAGAAGATGATAGACCAAATATTAGAGCCAGTTCAATCCCACCACCTCGAGCCGTACTATCCAGTCCTCGTAAGCAGCTCTTTCGATCTGTCCTTGTTTAAAATTCAAATCTACAAGTTTCTCTCTTATTCATGTCCCCTTTTTGGTGATTTGTTCTCCTACTCAGAAAATGATGCGTTGATTGGAGACAAGTACATGGTCAAACCTGGCAAGCGGCCTTCCATACTGAGGAATCAGAATTCGACTCAAAGCAGCAGTCGTATTCACTGTAAAGTCATGCCGAGGAAAGCCACTGATGAGAACCCGGTAGTTAGGAGTAGGAAGTCCAAAGATCAGCCATCTGATGACAGGAGTGCTCTCAGAGAGAAGAAAGGGTCAGCCATTTCGAGTCGCAGAAGGCCTGTAGTCGAGTGGGTAAACTGAGATTAGTTCTTGTTATCATAGCACTTCCTTTTGCTTCAATGTTTTTCTGCTAGTGCTATTAGTGAAGTCAGTTTAAGAGGCAGAAGCTTCTGTGTTATGAAGTTTAGGTCCCTATACCTCCTAACTACTGTCTCCAAATTTGCGCTGGTTTTAGACTGATTGAGTGATGAATCATAGAGAGAAATCTTGCAGCTGGACATGAACTTCGATTGTGACATGATTGTTCTACTTTTTCTTTATGTTCCAACTCCAAATTTAATCAGTTTAAAGTTGAACAGTGTTAGCAAGACTCGGTTGAGCTATGTGCCTTCAGCCAACTAACAAGCCCAAAACGAACAGCCTCTATACGTATTCTATGTGGAATTCTCTCCTCAAGAATGACCTGATGCAGTAAACCAGACTGAAAATCCAGGTTGAACCCACCTTATCCATATAAATGTACACAATCTTGCCACGTCACCTGCTGCAGCCGTGTGTTCATCACTCTTCCCATCCATCAACATCCTCAAATGCATTCAAAACAACAGGCTGCTCCCGCCAACCACGGACTCTCTCCTCAGACTGCCAACCCCAATTCGTCTACTTCTGTCTGCTGCACCACGCGGCGGTGGAGATCCTCTTCCCATTGCTGCATCAGCATTGTGGCGGTTGCCCAAGAAGGTATATGCGGTGGCCGTAGCTCAAGAGGAGGCAGCGGATTTGCTTTCATGACTATGAGCAGTACTGACTACTGTAGTGCAGTGATCCAGAACCTTGACGGAAAAGTAAGCAAATGAATAATCCCTCTAATGAGCTTACTGCATTCTCAGTTGTTCCAAATCTCCACTGCATTGTATTTGTACTTTGTAGGGCTACTATCGCTATAAATGTCCTATCCTTCATCGATTGTGTAACTTAGCAAGTATTTGATGATTCAACTCTAAAACATGACGGCCTAAGCGAACGATCCCCGATCTTGCAGTTGAGAGATCAACGATGCTTGTACGATTAATATTTTCTTTTGTATAATTTTCTGCAGCAATACATGGGTAGGGTCTTGAGGGTGAACTTTTCAGACAAACCTCACCCAGAGAACCTCTGTACCCAGAGACAGAACACAAGCTATTTGTTGGTAACTTATCATGGTCCGTCACGTCAGAGAGCTTGACAGGAGCTTTCAAACCTTATGGCAATCTAGTTGGCGTCAGAGTGCTGTACGATGGGGAGACCGGGAGGTGGTATGGATTCGTTTGCTACACCACCAAATCAGATATGGAAACAGCTCTTGAAGCTCTTAATGGACTGGTAACAAGACCACGATGTTTGATGGTCTAATGCATATTATGTGATGTTGTGGAACGGTGCTAATTTCTTGAATGAGCTTGGTGATGGGTGTTTCATTTGTTGATGTAGGAAATAGAGGTACCCATAAGGGTGAGCCTGGCAGAAGGAAAGAAATCATGAGCAATGGTAGATGGTGAACTTCAAGATCGCAAATTGGTGAGGATTGCTACATGAGTTACAGATGAATTTGCAGCAGCACATCGAAGGAAGAATTTTTTCATGAAGTGGGCACCAAAGGCATACAACAGGAAAAGAGGCAGACTTTGGATTCTGCCCCTGGCATGACAACTAATGCATGAAGGTGGGGGAAAAATAGGTGTTAATGAAAAGGATTAAGCTCAGGCATGTTTGATTGTTCTGGTTAGTTGGACAGTAGTGGACTGCTGGATGTATACATTTAGGATTTTGGAGATGTAACTTCTGACATCATTGGCTGTGAAAGTCAGTACTTCAACATTGCGAGTTCTAACTTGTGAAGGATATCTCTCTTAAACAAAATGCTCAGTTGGATATTCGTATTCATCTCCATTGTAATCATAATACAACCTCTCTCCCTTTGGTATATCTCTGTTAGCAATCAGCAGCACCCGACACTCGCCATTAACAGAATACCTCACACATTTCAGGTTCTGCTTCCTCCTCCCTTCCCTGCATCACCGTGAAAAAGAGATAGGTTAGTTGTAGAAACTCCTTTTGAAAGGCTGTGGAAAAGTGGGGAGTTTAGAAGCCTAGCATAACGAACTCACGGGGTATGGTTGTTGATGCCATTGATGAACCTTGCTATATTTCCATGCTTGTAAGGGCATATCACAAGGCTTTTTGCAGGATCAGCAGCTGAGAGAAGTGTCATCATGCTATCTCCGCCGTCATCTTCCCGGTTTTTCAAGTAGTCTACATCTCCAACATACTCTGTCACAATAGTCCAGTCCTTGATGAATCTATCAGCCACCACTGTGAACCTGTTTTGCGACCTCAACATCAATCAGTAAAAAAGATATTGTTGGAATCCATCAAAGCATTGGTAAGACTCGTGATGTGTATTTCATTCCATACCCTTCTGTAGGATCGAAGACGACCATTAGAGGTGGGCATTCCCCTCTATCCATCATCCGCTTGCACATGTTCAAGGTTTCAGCATCTTGCTTTGACAAAACCTGTAATCCAAGCCAGGTTCACATGTTTCAGCTAGTCTCTCCAATTAGCAATCCAACCAACAAGATAGCAGACACAAACTGCAGTCTCTCGTCACTATTCACTAAAACAATAGACCATTAACTGCATTTGTTTTCTCATTTTTGCAATTAAAGTATGAATCTTTATACCTGCATTCCTCCCTTCTCTAAGGCAGCACGATTGGCAGAGCGAGGAGCCCCACCGGGCTGATAAGTGAGCTCATCCCTGAACTGGGTTCCTGAGGCTATCAATGCAGTTGCTAATGATCTCATTTGCTCTAGCCTTCTCTCAGGATCCTCGCTTGGATTGAAAGGCAACAATTTTCTTTTCTTCTTCGACATAACCAACCTCCCTGACCTTTTCCGTTTTCTTTGTGAATCTAAGGAACCAGAAGACAAAACCATATCAGATTGCATATCAAGAGCCAACTCAATTTACAAACAGCATAATGCATATAACCTCCTCCTTTCTCTTTTCACCTCCACACACCGTAATACATTTAATTGCCTAAGAATCCAATAGTAATTTCATGGACTTTTTATTCACTTGAAGTTTCAATTCGACTGAAAAAAATCACAACTAAGGATTTACCTTGACTTAGTTCACTCTGGACGGGGCCTGGAGCTCTTTGAATACGGAAGAAATCGATGATTTTGGTTTGCACCAGGGGGAAAGCTGCAGAATCGTCAAACAAGAACAACGACCCAGTTAGCTAAATAGCTACTAGAAATGGTAATTGGCAGGTGGTAGGGAAAATAAAAGGGAAGCGATTTGGAATCCCGAACTCACATTTTAGCTTGCTTTGTTTTGAGGAGCAACAAGGGCAGAACCAGGATCCTTTGGGAACGGCGACGAGGATGGGCCGGAGACAGAATAGATGGTACCCTCTATCGCATTTGTCGCAAAGGAGCAGCTTCGCCGGCGACTTTCCGGATCCACATTCTTGGCAGCACACGTCGTCGTATTCTTCGTCGGAAGAGGAAGCGTCGTCGGTGTCATCAAGTGCGGGCGCGGAAGAGGGTTTCGGGGCCTGGGTTCTCCGTCGGAGTGTGGTTCGGGTTGGAATCCAAGAAGAAGACGGAGCCATAGCTGTTTGGCGCCGGCAGTGGGGAGGAGAATGGATTGGTGGTCGGGAGCAGGCGGCAATGGCGGTATTGGGAGCTGAATTTAAGAGAAGAGGAGGCAGTGAAATGATTTTGGCGCCACAGTCGTTTTCGTTTCGCGGGAAGGCAGATTTTCGCGCCACCGTTATTTTCGAGTGTTATAGTCAAACTGCTCACTTGGTCCCTTAACTATGAGATTTGTACAAATAGTCACTTTTTCCCCTTTTTAACTAACTCTGGTTAGTCAACTACGAATTATAACAAAATGGCTAGTTGTTGGGGCACGCCTCATGTGTATCTGGTTAATCCGTAAGGATTTCCATGACAAAAAAAAAATGAAGAACAAAGAAGCTAGGAATTAAGATAACATATGGTTAAGTGTGGGTCTATTGAGTCGTAATTCACATTCTATAGCATCGATGATCTAATACGTAAGCATTGATACTATGCAATGCATGTCTGGGTAGCTAATCCTCCCATACATGATACACCCATAGGGAAACGGGATACCACGAGAGAGTAATTTGTTAACAATCTCAATGATATTAAGCACAATATTGTAGTAGCATATAATAGAATCCTAAGCATTGATTAACTAAATCATACAAAGACTAAAACATCGAATTGCATAAACAATAGGAAATACAAGCATAAATTGACTTAACATCGATGGTAAAGATCATTGAACACAATGGGAATCATCATTAAACCATTAAAAGCGGTACATAAAGCATCATAGAGTCACGTATCTCAACAATTTCGACTATTAACACAAAGGATAATAGGAAGGCATCACAATGATAAAGAACATCGACGGTGAGTAATCTTCATCGAACACCAGGAGGGGTTCGCCTCCTCTCTCTAGGGATAGTTACTCGTGCACTTAGGGCAAAATGTATGTCAAAGGTGTGTTTATAGTTCAGGTCTAAGCCTCTATTTATTCTAGATACGTAAGGGGGTTTTCTGGTCTTTTGTCTCTATAAGTCTGCCAAAACCTTGATTGTACTACTCGAACTCGGATTTCTTCGACTTGAGGACTAAATAAGGATCTTCTGGGAGATTATGAAGCTTAGTCTTAAGTTGCGGTCAGACACGTTACTGAGCCCCATGTTGTCTTCTTGCAATGGGTTGCTTGGCCCACAAGCAACCTCTCCAAATTTGAGCATGATTTGACTTATCGAACTCCGTTTAGACCTCGGTCAAAATTGGGTCCTTCTTCACTGCCAAGTCTACTTGTTTTGGCCATAAAGCGAGAATATGATGTTCAAATCCATCTCAGTTTGAGCCCACGGGCTTGTAATCTCGTCCTCTTTCAGATCCATTGAGTCCCTTGGTGATCCATATTCGTCTTGATTGTCATTGTTCTTTAAGAGCACATAATAATACCAAAAGGCGAAAAATCGTACAAAAACACACTCAAAGCCCATCATAAGCTCACGAATCAAATAGTTACGAATTTCATATAGAATATGATAAAATCTACTAAGTGCGCATTAATTAAAGGAGAAAATGTATCAAATATGAAAGTGATAAAAACTATAAATTGAGCATCATCATGTACCAACCTTCGAGAGCTTGATTTAACCATATGAAGCTTTCTTGATCTCATAGACCTTATCTTCCTCCCCAAGAACCACAAAATCTTGTGGTTGCTCAACATAGACACCCTGAGTAAGCTCCTCGTCCCGTGCATAAATTCACTCTTCACATTCAGATGCCAAATAGTGAGTCCATGATGAGCAGCTGTAGCAACCAGTGTTCTAATGGTATCTCACCCTATTATTGTACACAGACTTCAAATAGTCAATGCCAAGTTTTTGAGCATAACCCTTAACCACTAGTATGATCGTGTGCTTGTCAACAACTCCACTTTCTGTTAACTTAGTTTTGAACACCTATTGTACAATGTCTTCATGACACGTGGTTAGTTATCGTATGTTGTTTTTCTTAGTGGAATGTGTTTCATGTTTCATTTCTCCATCTCATTTTCATCCCCAACAACATCCTAAAAAGTTTGAGGATCTTCAGTTGTCGCAACCATGACTAGCCAATTTGATTGTATGGAATCCATATGAATGCAATCTTGCTAAATAAGAAAGAACCTCTGAGATTTGCAATTACCTAGAAGTGATGTCACATAGGATCCCACTAGATAGACAATGGGGTATAAGCAAAGCTTCAAAGGTAGTCTAACTACCAATATTTCAAGTCAAGTATACAGCACAAGTTTAATTTGTAAAATAAAATATATTTCTTTTAGCTAGCTTATAATAGTAATGGTAGTAGCGCAAGACGGGGCAGGATGGGTACCTCAATATTCACATTTGTTCCGTACTAAGCGCAAGTCAAGGCTGCTAATACCCGTGTAGGTATGGATCGAGGCAGGTCGACCCATTCTTACCTGTAATTTGGAAAAATGAATGTTGATATTTCACTATATTGCAATAACACGTGTAAAGCCCTTCATATATGAACGAGAAATGTTGTAGATATAATATTTGAATCTAAATATATATGACTTAACAAAAATCAAAAGAGAAGAAATGCATGTAGATATTAATGCAAATCATTATAGAACTAGGGGCGAAACCAGGAATTTGACACGAGGGGCAAAAATTGAATAGTTATATTTAAATCAAATAGTATATATAAATTGAATAATTGTACGCATTTCTTTACTTCGAAAATATTAGAAAAAGTTACGTATAAAATTTAAATTTTCATGGTAGGATTAAGAATTTATTGTAAAATTGTTAGCAAATTTATGTCATTTTCACAATTCAAAACGCATATTTGTCAGTAAAACTATATTTTGAATGAATCAAAACAAAACAAGATATCTAGCGGTACAAATAATAAATACTAACAGAAACAAGATTCAAATTAAAAAATGGATACTATAAGATTTTTTCAGAACTTTTAGTGCCAAAATTAGACTACTCAATTAGTACGATATTGTTCGATTTGGGCCAAGCCCGCACAGATTTACTCTTGGGTATCCTCCCCAAAAAGCCTCGTACTAATTGGGCTAGGTGGACACTAATATACAAGGGTCCCTTCCCTTGTATTACCGATGTGGTCTGCTAGACGTCTTGTATCGATGTGGTACTTGGATTGTCCCATAACAATCCTCCCTCAAGACAAGGACCACGAATTTCGTGTCCTCGCCTCAACTAATTTATCTTGATCCGCCAGGCACCTTGTATCGATGGGTTGCTCGCTACAAGGATTTTTTCCAGACGTAGAACTCTCTTTGATCTGCTTCCAAATGCGGAACTCTCTTTGATCCACCAAGGCCAAACGTGGATCTCTCCTGGATCCACCAAACAGACGCGAATCACATTTGACCCGCCAGACAAACGCATATCTCAAATCCCAAGGTCACCGAATGAGGGTCCACCAAACTGACGTCCACCGCCCGAACCGAACCAAGCTCTGATACCACTTGTCAAAATCAGGCTACTCAATTAGTACGATATTGTTATGAGACAATCCAAGTACCACATCGATACAAGGCGTCTGCATATCAAGATAATCACTGGGGTGAGGACACGAAGTTCGTGGTCCTTGTCTTGAGGGAGGATTGTTATGGGACAATCCAAGTACTGCATCTGTAATACAAGGGAAGAGACCATTGTATATTAGTGTCCTCCTAGCCCAATTAGTACAAGGTCTTTTAGTGGGTATATCCAAGAGTAAATCCGTGCGGGTTTGGCCCAAATAGGACAATATTGTACTAATTGAGCAGCTTGATTTTGACAAGTGGATGTAGACCAGATGCAGAACTCTCTTTGATCTGCCAAATAGATGTGGACCTCCACTTGTCGAAATCGGATAGCTCAATTAGTACGATATTGTTCGCTTTGGGCCAAGCCCGCACGATTTTATTCTTGGGTGTCCTCCCCAAAAGGCCTCGCAATAATGGAATTGATGGACACTAATATACAAGGGGCCCTTTCCTTGTATTACCGATGCGGTACTTGAATTGTCCTATAACAGTCCTCCCTTCAAGACAAGGACCACGAACTACGTGTCCTCACCCCAGCGATTATCTTGATCTGCTAGACGCCTTGTATCGATGTGGTACTTAAATTGTCCCATAGTTAGATACTATATGAAATTCTCTTTGATATTATGAGACACATCCTTTACCACTAGGATATGATCAAGCAATAAATCAACACACCTACTCTTTGTTATTTGTAAATTCCCTAGGGCTTGAGCGCCCTCCGCCCCTGTATGAAACGTACTAAAAATAAGGCAGCGCGAGGCGATACATATCAAAATAAATCTCCATACCCGTCCCATACTACTATGAATCAAGTAATACCCGAGATTAAACCAAATTTAGTAGCACGAATCAAGTAAAAAATGACCATCACTAGCCTATAAGCAAGGTTGTCAAACCGGTTTATACCGTTGTGTCGGTTTGGCAAGTGGAATGGTATGGCCGGTGGTATAACCAGTTTGTGCCGGTTCATGTCGGTTTAAAAAAGTGTAAAAACAATTAATATCCAATGTATTTAATCATATATAAAACACATTTGTGGACAATTAAGTTACAATCCAACAAATATCATCAACTTTTAACTATTAAATTCATAAAATGAATGATAAATTAATTTTTATATTAATTAAATTCATTAAACTGATGTTAGTTTGCTTAGAATACGTAAGTCGGTTATACCGATGATGTCATGCCGGTTTCATAACCGACACAGGTTGAACCAGGTTCAACCGGGTGGCATGCCACCGGCGTGACAACCATGCCTATAAGTTATAGGGGTCGTTTGGATGTGGAAATCTACAAAGGTGGTAATTAACTCAAATTACCACAGTTTGTAAAACCTAGCAATTGGCTTCTGAAATTGGATCAAAATTCCTACGTTTGGCTATGGTTTGATTGAGTGTGAAATCTGGTGTGGTATTTATGCTTTTTGGGAGAAAGTACAACAATATCCTCAAAAGTGAATGGAAAAAGGTTCCCCTCTTCTCTTGCTTTACCTCTACCCACGAAGACCCATATCATTTGCTCAACTGGCCCTCCGCCCCTCCCTAAAAGCTCTTCTCCTGTCTACTCGTCTTCCCCTGCAGCTTCCTCCCCATCGAGAAACTACCACAACTTCGTTCTACAAAGGCAGCAGGAGTGAAGAAAGAAGGCCATCGCGTCTCCCGGCAAGGTTGTCAGGTCGATGGCGGACACAAACGAAAGGAAGGAAAAATTGTGTGGGTGTGGGAAAATAGCTGCTGTTCGGACTTCGAAGACCCCAAAGAACCCAAATCGAAAATTCTATTCTTGCCCGAAATACCCATCAAGTGTAAGACTCCTAACTGCTATTTCGTTTGTGTGAATTAGGCAAAGATTGTGACATAAATGTCTATATAGATTGATGTCTCAGAGAAGCAGATTTTGGTTGTTGATTTTGAAAGGCTGCACGCATTTATGGTGTGTTTTGGCTTACAGGGATATTGTGACTTGTTCGAATGGTGTGCTGCTACTGATATGAGTGGCAAAGAAGATGAATTGTACAAGTTGATTGCCAATTTGCAGATTAAAGTTCAAGAGCTGGAGGTTGAGAATAATTCCCTTGTTCTAAAACTTAGCGGTGAACTGGATGGTTCATTGGTCATTCCAACAAGTTCAAGTAGTTCGAACAACACTAGTACTGTCTCATTGGACTCCAAAGTTGTAGCGGCAATGGAAAGAAGATTGTCTCGAGTGGAGAAGTATCTTGGCTTCTATGAGTGATGATGTCTTTAGTTTGGTTGAATGTGAAAGGTTGAACCTTGTTAAAGTAGTTGATAGTTTAGAGTTGTAATGAATATGTGAATGGTTTTTCTAAACTGATGCAACTTTTGCCTTTCATTGTAATCAAGTTTTATTTGAAGTTGCTGTAACTGGATCCTGAAGCAATAAGAAGAACTTAACTGGATTTGTTGATGTACTACTAACTTTTAGATGCTAACTTCTAACCTTGCTTCTGGAAATGCACACTGCTGGTTCATAAGCCTACTGCTAATTAGCGTTGCTGGTTTTTGTTAAACTGCTATGGGGTTGCCGCTGTTAGAGCAAAGAAAACTGATGTTGGCAACTATCAAACTACCATTCATTACATGCCAACTAACTTGGAGCTACAAATTCCATCATTGTCATTACATACATGCAGCTGCACTTTACATTCAAAAACAGCAAATTCCATCATTGTTATTACATACATGCTGCTGCACTTTACATCCAAAAACAGCAAATTCCATCTTTGTCATTATATACATGCTGCTGCACTTTACATACTTAAGCTGCTGATCAAGCTTTACAAAATACAGTTGTCTTATGTTTGCAAAGACTGTCATTGTAAGTCTGAAGCAATGACAGTAGACAAAAAAAAGCAAACAAATCTTTGCAAACTAGACAACGTCTTGATCTTCTACCCTGCACATTTACATATATCGTTATATGTCAGTACTCCATTCACTTCTCGAGTACGTCAAGCACAAGAGTGAGCCTGTCTTCCTCATCCTCCATGTCATAGAAGCACTTCAAATCCCCAGGATCCTTGCAAAGCCTCCTGCAAGCTAACACCATTTGTGCCCTTGTGAGTCCAGCCATCTGTCCTAGGGTATCCATAAGCTTTGCCTTCATTTCTATATGCATCTCACTCTCACCCATGGCCCTAGCAATTGTATCAACTGATTCCCTTATTAATGGCCTCATCCCAACCATAACTGATGCAGCTTCATCTATGAGATCATCTGTTTTCAATTTCTTCTTCTTTCTTGTTGGAGCTGATGTTGGAACCTTCCTTTTACCTGATGCCTTAGTAGTAGCTGTTTCAACCCCTTCATTAATGATATTGAACATTTCTTCTTCTGCAACAGGAGTATTCATCTGGGATAACGGGTCTGTGGGCTCGACATCATCATCATCAGAACTGACATCGAGGTTACCATCAGCTCCCTGGAACCCCATTTCACCTGTCGCCCGCCCTGTACCAAACACAGGCACCAAATCCCAAAACTCTGGAAATGGTGTATCTCTATAATTTTTGAAGGTTGGATGAGTCTGCAAGCAACATTCAATGCAACCAACATCCATCAAAGCACAAAGACTGTAATAAATGGCGATAAGACTTGTAACTTCTTCCATACAAGAGTGCAACAATAAATGAACATATGACATGATATGGAACAACAACCTAATGATTCAGCAGATGAGAGTAATAAATGGCGATAAGTCTTGTAACTTCTTCCATACAAGACTGTAATAAATACCTTGACATATACTTTCCAAACATCGTCAGGCACGATGACGTGGTTATCCACAGTATGCCACCCCCATCCACTCTCCTTCTTCATTGTCATCGTTGCATGGAACCAATGCTTCAATTTTCTAATTCTTGTTGTTATGGTTGGTTTTGCCTTAATACCACAGCCAGGTACCCTCGTTTCCATCATGCGCTCCAGCTCTTTGTAAACGCCATTCTTGCATTGACCATCCTCGATCTGTCCTTGTTCTACTAGTTCCAGCAAGCATTCGACAAATGGCTTGTCATGATTCGGCTCCCAGTGGTTGTACTCTCTAGATGTCTCATTGCCAACTGCCACCCCCTTCTTCTTCCTTACCATATCTGCACAACAAACATATTCGACAGCATACCTATGAAGAGAATGGAACTAACATTGACCATCAAAAAAAGAAGCAGCAGATTTAACACAACCACAAGTACCATATAATAATAATAATGGAAAGTACCATATAATACATTACACACATAATTTTAGTAGCCTATAACACATAACCAGATTTAACATCAAGCTATATTGTGCCAAATTACATCCTCTCCATTTAAAACAGATTTAACAACTGGAACAGATAGCTATCTATATACTTCTAGTGGAGAAACACGATTTAGATGGTATCAAACTATTGGAACAGCAGGTCTAAAAGGCCAATTCTCCCACTTATCCTTTGCCAAGTCATCTCTAAATCGAGTCCATGCAGGACAAGCGTGAAAGTCATCTGGAGCAATGTTCTCAACCTCGTTCACGACACATTGTTCTTCTTCTGGCTCAACATCTTGATATTCCCTTTCAAATCTGTCAGCCCCTTGTTCCTTCTTAATGAAATTGTGGATTATGGTGCAAGCAACTACAATACGAGCCATATCACTAGGGGAGAACCAGCTAGAATCCCTAAGAATAGCCCACCGCATTTTTAAAATACCAAAAATCCGCTCTATCACATTCCTAGCCGACGCATGCTTCATATTATAATACTCTTCAGCTATAGATGGTCGTCTTGGTCCCCACTCTTTAAGATGGTATTTCTGCCCACGATAAGGGGTTAAGAAGCCAGTACTATTCCCATAGCCACCATCACACAAATAGTAACACCCTTCATGAAATAGACAATCTGTGAGTTAAAGAAAAGTTGCAAAATTTTATTATCTTTAGTTAACTTCAAAAGATTTGAATACATCCTTTTACCTTCAGGCACACTAAGGCCATTTGGCCTAGTAAGGGCATCTTGAAGAACCCTTGCATCATGGGCTGAACCTTCCCAACCCGACAAGCAATATATGAACTCCAAATCAGGAGTGCATACGCCAAGCACATTCATAGAAAGATGGTTCGTCCTATCCCTGAACCTAGTTTGGTCCTCTCTTCTAGGACGCACGTCCACATGTGTTCCATCTAAAGCACCAAGACAATTCTATGCAAACAGAAAATTGACACATTAGGCTTTTGTAATTCTTAATCCAATGAAAAAACTAAGGGCAGGGTATTAAAATCTTATAATGAAGCAATCAGAACCTTAAAGTGTTTCCACCTATAGTCGTTGTTGTTGTCAGCGATGGGAATAGGCTTCTTCATCAAGAGACTATTGAGTCTAATGACAGCCCTCAAAACCCGATGAAATGATCTCGATATGGTCTCCCCAGATCGTAGTAAGTTCACTGCCAATGTCCTGTTCTTCTCGTTGTGTGAAATTGTGCACAGAAACGTGTAGACCATTTCATCTATGTTTACGTCTCTAGTTCTTCTCAACCGTCCCTCAACAGCAAGAACCTCACAGAACCTATTGAATAACGCCCGATCCATTCTAACCAGGGAAAAACATATTGTATCACACCTTCTGATCCTACGATCTAGATGTCTTTGCCTATCGTAATGCCTCACTGTGTAGCTATCCATTGGTTGCCTAGCAAGTCTACGGTTTGCATTTCTTGCTTGAATAAGCTGGGTTAGTTCCTGTCCTAGGCTGACATAAATTATTAAAAGGTTGATGAAAGAGCTAACTGCCGCAACCACTTGTCTCCTACGCCGTGGGCTCAAAATCGATAGTCTTGACATCCTTATCGGCCAAAAACAAAACTCAATAAGTGTTTTTGTCTTTAATAAAGACAGATTGAAAAACTTGACAGTCCATTCATCAGATCGTTTGCTGTAGGAGCAACAATATGTTATAGATAACCCTAACATACACACCCAACCTTATGAACGAAAAAATCCAAAGGGGATAAAGTTTACCTGAAATAGAAGCGTCGCTTTCCAACCTCTCCCGCTCGTCGCCGCTGTCTTGATCCAACCACTCCAACTTCTGATCCAACCTCTCCTGCTCGTCGTCTGCTCGTCGTCGCAGAGAAGCAAAGCAAAGAACACGCGAAAAAGAGAAGGATATATGAACTCGTGTCTGCCAAATAAAACCTAAAGCAACAAAAGGACAATTGTGGGTTTACAATGAAATAGCAGGGTTACAATTGGAAGAAAAAGTAACGAGAACGTGGGAATGTAAAATACAGGGGTGGGGGTGCCGGATTTTCAATTGCAACGTTGGTGGGAAAGTGGCCCAAATTACATGGGTCAATTACCATACTCACTTGGCCCATCCAAACATGGAAATTTATTTTAATTGCTGCATTGTGTGGGAATTTAGCACAATTCCCTCAATATTTTACTGCATCCAAACAACCCCATAGTGATATTTACATAGCTCTTATTCTATCGACACAAAATCTAGGGCACACAATCGTCCTCAACAACCAACCTGCCACGCTGGCTGATGCGTGCCCCACTCTAGTGGTTCTTTTCCCTTTTTCCTGTTTTCTTTTTCAGAAGAAATTTTTTCCCTTTTCTGCTGCCACTGAGAGGAAAAAGGGCAAATCTAAAAAGGAATAACAGCGGGTTGGAGGGGAGCGAGCGAAAACGTGAGGCGGATTGAGAATGGCGGCGGCGGCGGCGGCAGTACCAGTAGTAGCATAAGCAACAGCAAGAAACTACTCAACTTCACAGCAAGCAGAGCGTCGTTGTTCTTCGTCAAGATAGATAACGCCCATTGGGCAAAGGGAAGAAAACAATCTTCTTTGGCAAAAGGGAATCCGCCGCGTTATCCCGTTCCGTCCCTCCTGGTACCTATCCATTCTACCTTATCTGTTATCTACCTATAGATTTCTCACTTCCCCATTTCTATTCCTTCATTCTTTGCTCTCCCTGTTGCGCTCTAACGGAAATGGTGGTGGCGGCGGATGATTGATACCGCAGATCTCGTTGCAGGGAGGGCGGCATTTCAGAAAAGGCGCCGCCTTTACTAGATTAGGGTTCGTTCTGTTAGTTTCGGCGGGAAGGAGGAAAAAGATGGCTGCCCCCTACGTTATTCCAGTCACCGCTGCTCAGGTTTTTCTTTCTATCTCCCGCCACTTTTTTCTTCGCGTCAATCCTGTTTCAGTGTCTGACTGGGTTGCTTCTTTTCTTGATTGATTGAGTTTAGGTGGGTACTTACTTTGTGGGGCAATACTATCAAGTGCTGCAGTCTCAACCGGCCCTTATCCACCAGTTCTATAGTGATTCCAGCTCCATGCTTCGTGTGGATGGTGTTACCCGAGAGTCGGGCTCCACAATGCTTGTAACTTTTCCTTTCTTTCCCTTTTATTGGGTTGTTAATCATGCAACTATTAGTAGTTCTGGACTTTTAGTTCTTTTTGGGTAAGAACTGCTTGACATGAGGTGGGTTGAGTGCGGAAGTGGGTTTGCCTCTTTTTGCAGAGTTTCTATAGCAAAATTGTTCTGAAACGCCCCAATGATTGGATTAGATTTGCTCAATTGTAACAGACTGTCTATTTTTGCAGGATATTCATTCACTCATTATGCGACTTAATTACACCGCTATTGAAATCAAGACCGCGCATGCCTTGGAGTCTTGGAGTGGTGGGGTTCTCGTGATGGTGTCTGGTCTACTGCAGTCGAAGAACTTTGGGGGCACTAGGAAGTTTGTGGAGACGTTTTTCTTGGCACCACAGGAGAAAGGGTATTTTGTTCTCAATGATGTGTTCCACTTCATTGAAGAGGAGCCAATTCACCACTATCCGGCTGTATTATCAGCAGCTCATAGGAATCTTGATTCAAAACTCAATAATGCTCCTCCACCTACCGTCATTGCTGAGCCAGGTGCCTTTAACCGTTTCATTAATTTGTTGATCATAAGGGACTGACGATTGGGAATTGCTGTTAATATTCTTCATTGGATCTGTTGGTCATCAGTTATGTTTTGACGACTGGCAATTGCAATTTGGTATCTGGGATTCATTCTGCTTTCTTTAATGCTGGAAGTGATCTTCTGCAGTTTCAAAGTATTTGCTTGGTGGGGAGATTCAGTCTAGGGAGTTCGTAGCTTCTAGTGATGATGCACAGGGAAATGGCCAAGTTGACAACTACACCTTTCCTCAGCAACAGTTCCAGCAAGTTCCCGAGCCCGAACACATTGCAGAGCAAGAGGACGTATCAAATGGCTCACATCAGAATGCACTGGTGGATGCTGCTACTCGAGACCATCTTCCTCCTACTATAGAGGAACCTGCTGAAGAACCACAAAAGCACACTTATGCCTCGATTGTATGTCAACATTCACACTCCCTGTGATTGCTTTTAATGAATAGTTATCTGCATGCTATATGTATTATTGGACTTTGTTTAGCTGCTCATCTGTTTCTTCTACTGACAGTTGCGGGTTGCTAAGGGGCACCCAGCACCTCCAGCCTCTTCAGAAAGGAATCACAGCTCTCCAGCCCCTGATCAGAAGGCGACCGTGACAGCGACTGTGACATCCAATTCCTTTGAGAATTATGGGGCTGACAATGTTGATGAGGCTCAGGGTGTGGAAGATGAAGGTTAGTTTAGTATCTTGTTCATGTTCCTCACCAATATGAAGTGTGGAAACACTAAGAAATTGTTTTAATGGCCTACATGAATGTGATATTATTTGGATCTGACCTGGTGGATGAGTACGGTCTAATTCTGTCATCTGTCTTGTCTTCTAATTGTTTTTATTAACTTCTTAATCATCAGATGAAATCAGATCTGTATACGTGAGGAACTTGCCACCTATTGCCTCTGAGGAGGAGATTGAGGAGGAATTCACTAAGTTTGGCAAGATTGCACCTGAAGGTGTTGTCATTAGGAGTCGCAAGGTCCTGCCCCTAATTATGTTTTATTTCAGTAAATATGTTGTCTTGTCCCTGTTCGTTCCTTGTTTGCATTACAACTTTTGGTCCTCCTTTAGCCTCTTATACATAGAATGCTGTCTCTGGTGCAGGATGTTGGTATTTGTTATGCATTTGTTGAATTCGAGGACATGAATGGCGTTTATAATGCAGTGAAGGTCGGTCTTTACAAAATCAAGAGTTCTCTTCCCTTTAGTTGGTTTTGTATTTAATCAAATGTTCTTCTTTGTTCTTCTTCAGGCGGGCAGTGCAGAGGTAGCAGGACGACAGGTTTACATTGAAGGACGGAGACCAAACAGTAACATCCCGCCTCGATTCGGAAGTATGTATTCTGATTGCTACTTGTCTTGTCTGTTTTGTGATGCCTGCTAGATACTTGACCAGTACTTGGTGATTGCCTCTTGTTCTGCTTAATCCTCTTGTTGTCCATAGGCTGGTTTCTGTTTCACTTGATGAAATAATTTCTTAAGTGGCGGCTTCTTCTTCCAATTTTTTCAAGCAGGAGGTAGAGGCAGAGGGCGGGGAAGCTACCAAGCAGATGCCCCTCGTGGCCGTTTCGGTTCACGGAGTTTTGGCAGGGGAGGCGCCAGCTATGATGGAGACTACTACAACAGACCACCAAGAGGAAACGGATATTACAGACCAGTTCAGCGCCAAGACAGCGCAGAATGAATCATCATCAGATTATACAGCTTAGTCCTTGGAGCTGAGGAGCAGCAGTCATAGCGAAGAAATTTTTTTTGAGGCCAAACCTTGAGGAGTAACTTTAATGCAATCACCTCTGAATCTAATAGCGATATACTCATAGTATCTCTTACCCAATTCATATCTTCATTCAGATTGCAGCACCAGCAGCAGCATACTTGGTTAGGAAAGTGAGGTCCTATGATGTTTACTCCTTTTGTTTGTTCCAAACTGATCATCCAGATCAAATAGGCAATCCAACTCAGATTTTGTGAACAACTCCTTGGAGATAGATGGCCCATGTTTGTGACCCGTTCATTGGTTCTTCCATCTCTTCCCATTGTTCAGCAAGCATTTTGTCTGCGGGTATTGATGTTCAGGCATCATTTGTTGCAGAAGAAACCAGTAAGAATCGGAGTTGTTCATTCTTTGGTAATGTGGAGTGCGTCAAAATACTCAGTGAGTGGAACTCTACTTCACTTCGATTCGATACAGAACGAATCTGGGTTCGGCCTCCCTGTGTTCATCTCATCAAGTGGGGGAAAGTGGACATGGAAAAGGCAACCGAAAAAGCGATACATTCGTATTCACCAGACTTCAAAGCTAAAAGCATCAGCTTTTTCTTATTTCCAGTGGTAACCAAGTACATCAGCAACAGTTATTTAGAAATGGCAGCAAGTGATTACATGTAGATCCGACTCTGCTTTCTCTGGGCTCCTAAATTCTCGGTTGAAGAGAGCCAGCCTCTTGTCACAGACTCACAGTAAGCTCGATATTCTTCACTCTTCAGTTAGCTGCAACAACGTTAGCACCCTCCAGTTGAACAGACCCGGGGAGCTGACTACAAGGCTCTGTCGCTTCTTCATCTTCTTCCAACTCCCAGAGGAAACTAGCGTATGCCGCCAGAACATGGCTGCAAATGGGCACACATATTAACATTTGCCCAAGGCTATACCTCCATTTGAAACAAAACACACACACACACACACACACACAGAACAAATAAGCTTATGGAGTTGAGAGCGCTGGGAATAATTTTTGTGGTTACCTATCTGCAGGAGCAGCTTCAACCGCTCTCTCAAAGTAAGGTGACGCCTTTTCCTGGTCACGGTGAAGTTCCCAAACGAGTTTTGCATACTGAGACATGATCTCTCCATCGCTAGGATCGGCTAGTATTGCTCTCGAGTAGTATTCCTCTGCCCCTTGCATGTCTCCTTTGGTCTGCAATTGAGAAAGTAACAGATATTTTACTTCTATGCTTCAATGGCTTAAAAGGGCATCTCATTATCATCCAAAGGCTGAACCTCTTAATCCTCTCAGCAGCATTCAAACCAGAACCTTACCCGAGAAAGAAACTGAGCATAGTTTCTTAGGACGAGAGCATTGTTGGGTTGCTCCCTAACCATCTGTTTATAATAATCTTCCACATTCAAACTTCCTTTGCTGCCAGGTTCTCCATTGGTGGAGAGCAGTACATGAACGTGTTCTTTCTGCTCCATTTTCTCTTCTTCATCTCCCTCATCCTCATCTATTTCCCAGAGAAAGCTAGCATATGCGCCAAGTACATTGCTGCAATATGTGCGAGTTATTGAGGAATATCAGCTGCAGGTTCATACGCAGTAGAAACAACGCTTGAGGTTTAAGTCTGAAGCAAAAGAAGTTCCATTACCTGTCTTGAGGAGCAGCCTGAGCTGCACGTTCGAAGCAACCCATAGCTCTATCGCAATCGCGGTGCAGCTCCCACACCAGTTTTGCATACTGCATCAAGATCTCACCATCTCCAGGCTCCACCTGTGTTGCCCTGTGATAGTATTCCTCAGCACCATGGAGGTCTCCCTTGGACTGAAACAATCCAGAAAAAGTTTAGTTGAGAATCAGTTTGTCCCACTTCAAAAGAACAGGATCCAAGCTAGCAAATAAAAAGAACAGATTAGCCTGTAACCTGCAACAGATGAGCATAATTCCTGAGGAACAAAGGGTGTGTAGGGAATTGATCCAGCATCTTCCTGTAATACTCTTCCAGATCACCACCGTCATCAAAGTCGAGCAAAGATGAATTAGCTTGGAAATCAATAGTACTGTTGAGCCCAAGTCCAGTAGCAAGATACATGGGAGGGCTAGCAGGTTGGTTCTCATCTTCAACAACACTCAGGCTCGGAGGGATCACCACACGTTTATTGAAAGTCAAACCTCTCATTTGATCTCCATCATCATCTTCCCCAGTCTCCTTCTCCTCCACTTCCTCAATCAATTCCATGCTAGTTTCCTTCCCCTTCCCAAAGCTGAACTCCCCACTCCCAATATTCTCCCCAATGGTCACGGTTCTCATCAAAACCCCATCTTTCTGTTCTTCTTCTTCGCCCACTTCTTCATCATCAGTAGTAGTGAAGATGGAGAAGGAAGGAGCTGAGTGGAGCATCTTTTTTCTTGGTGGATACCGCCTCGGAGTTAGAGACTCTTGTTGTAGCTTAGAATCACAAGCAGAAGAAGCTGCAAATCTGTCAATGTTACTATCAGACCAAGCCTTTCGAAACCCTCCTCCACCACCTTTACCAGCTTCTCGATTCAGCTCCGATGGAGATGTCTTCCCGCTGGTGGAGGAAGTAGAAGAAGGAGAAGGAGGGGAGAAAGGCGGCAAGCTGAGGTGAGATGGTGGCGTGTTTTTCTGGTGGTGCCTGCTGCTGGAATTGCTAGTGGGATGGTGGAAGCCTCTTACTGGGCTTTCTGAAAGGACAGTAAAGACTGCTCCTTTTATTCCTGGGCTTGACGACGTCCTCAGAAGCATACTGATTGATCGAAGATTGGTGTTAACCACCTATCTTTAATACCTGACTGATAATCCTGCTGCCCGCCCCTTTTTGGCCTTACGGCTGGCAATGGAGGAGAAAGAAAAGAAGCTCTTTGTTTGTTTGGATCTAAAAGATCAGATCTTTTTTTAAGAATCAGCAGCAGCAGCAGCAGCAGGTCAAACCATTGAGGTGTCACTAGTTGACGGAATGGAGGGGAGGTGGCCTGGTGGGTGGCTTTGCTTTATGATGACTACACTAAAAAGTGAAAACTGCAGCAGGATGCATATGATCTTTAATCAATCGATCTGAATCTGAACACCATTGACTGCTAACTCACAGGAAGATTGGGGGGAGAGGAATATGGCTTTCATGGTTCCTGGTTGACATTTCCATAATGGTGGAGGCTACGTTTTCCCATTGGGAGAGTGGGTTTGTTAGTTTAGAAGAGTGAGGATCATAGATTAGTAGAATGCCATGGATGCCGGATCTAGACCACGTTGGTGATGGTGTTGGCTTGGTGTTTGGAAAAGGGAAGAAGGTAACTGATTTCTCACTCCAACCCAAAATGCGCACAAAACAGGCAATGATGGTGCCTAATCTATCTAAACAAGATAAAAAGATTGCAGAAAACACAGAGAGATGCTGAGAGGATAACTTTTAGTTTGGTTCTTGAAACGAAAGATAGCTCACCAAACTTGGTTAACGAGGATAAGGGTCTACTGATTTTATGGGCGCCCATTGTCTTATTATTCTATTGGCATGGCCTCCTGATTTGCCATTATTTTACCCTTGCATTTCATTAATCATTAGATCAATAGAACCAAACATAAGCCACGTGTAACCTTCTGCAGGGTTACACCTGTTAAGCAGCCATTGATAGATTAGTGTAGACTCTCTGACAAAGACGGACTGTGTCTCTGTTAAGAGAGGAAAAGGATACAGAAACGGAAACCAGATCCAAGACATTAAGAGAGCCTCAAATGATACAGAAACTGCAATCTGGCATATGATCTTTGCTTTTGCATACAGTGAGGTCGATTCGACCGGCCAGGCATTACAAAACAATGTTTCCTTTGACAAAAGAATGAAATGGAGATGAGGACAGCTCAATTCTTACAAACAAGCCGGGCATAGGAAGAGGATTGAAAGAACCTACAACAATATAACTGCAGAAGGGAGATTGATGTGGTGATGGTCTTCATTTGAAGGTGGAAAGCCGAGGAAGCTTGTCTCTCAGATAATACAACCTTGCCCTCCTAACCTTTCTGTGAGAAACTACCCTGATCTCCTTGATATTTGGTGAGTAGCTGCACATTAACAACGTAAAACACTTGTATCAATAACACTACAGCAGAAGGGAACACCAACAAAGATGTAATAATGCAGCTTAACTGATAGTGACAAAACCTTGCCCGACTTTATCTTTTTCTAGCCTACTGAGCAAATTACCATACCAAGTAAGAATTCTCGCTTCCCACAAGTGTTAGCTGGTTTCAATCAAAAGGTGAAGTCAACATAAGCCTAAGCGCTTAAGTAGAGATGCTTTAGGAGTTTGTTAGCCAAGCTTAAGTGTGCATAATGGTACTCTGCCAAAGCCAAAAATAGCTCATAACTAGCTGTCATATGTCTCTGCTTTGTTTGTTCGACATCACTACTCATTATCCATAGCCTATCATTATCAGTTACAAATATGATCGTACTATGGAAATAACGAAACAATGTCGAACAAAAACCCTAAGAAAAGGCTAAATTTTTGACTCGTACAGCTTGTGTCTCACAGCAGACAGGACATGTTCATAACACCAGCTTTTAAGAAGCTAGGTAAAGATAAGTTCACGCCAATTCCAGATCCAGAACCATTTAGCTACCATGGATAGTAATGGCATAATGAGATCAAACATACTGAACCAGCCCCATTAACTGATGATCCAAGCAATAGATTGTGTAAATCATAAAGGAGGTACTCACAGGGGGAAGACAATCTCAACACCTATGCCGGCAATGATCCTCCTGATGCGGATAGTAGTGTGGATGCCAGCATTTTGCCTCGACATGACAATGCCCTTGTAAATGGAAAGCCTACGCCTATTTTCAGGAACTTCCTGCAAAGTCATCAATCCGTACTCCGCAGAATTAATGGCAAAAACCAAAACACAAAAAGCCATATACACTATCCCAAAGAGGAGAGTAAACCCTCGAAGGAAGAACCCCAGAATTAATTACCAATTTGATTTCAACTATATCACCAGTTCTGATATCTGGAATCGGCCTTTCAAGCTCTGATGCCTCAACTGCTCGCTTGTTCAATATCTGCTCAAACACCAACCAACAATTCAATTCAAATAACAATTATGATTGAACTTCTGAATCTGCTTCTCATCATATAACAATCAATCAAGAGTAAACAACACATAGCTACCATTAAAAGCAGTTGATAGATTATTTACCCCCATAACATCGCCAAGCTTGACTCTTGGCTGCCATGGCGTTTTCTCTACTTCTCCACCCTCCACGGGATCCCCTTCTTCTCCTTCAACACCCTCACTAGCTTCCGCAAGCACCTCTGCTCCTTCTCCCGCGGGCTCACCGCTGCTTCCTTCCGCCTCTGCCCTGGCGACAACTCTGTGTCTGGCGAATGCCGCGACAAGTTCACCAAGACCCAATGAGTTGGAAGAAAACCCAGAACCGGAAATGCGAGCAATCGAACAGCAAGAGGAGGAGGGAACGGCGGCGCGATTGTTCGAGTAAGCAAACCCCAATCTCCTTGCCGGCGGAGATTGCGCGGCGGCGGGGTTTGACGGAATCGTAAGCAGTGCTTGAGGCAGAATTTTGGACGCCATGCTTTCCGGAAATAGATCACTTGTGAAGGAAGAGGGAAAAAGAAAGAATGCCTTATCCGTTTGGGAGGTGAGAGCAGGCCAGAGGGTTGGGCTTATCTCCGGCCCGATTAGAATTCCTTCATGGGCCGGATATCCACTAAGAAGAATTCATAGCGTTTGACCATTATCCTTTTGACTTTCTGTTGTCTCCACAAATTTTCTTTCCCCAGAAAGGAGCGGTTTCAAGAAGTTCGCGCCAGAAATAGCAAAACCTCCAAAAAAGAAGAAAAAAGGTACAGCCATGGCGACCACCAGATTTTCCATCAAAATGCCTCCCCATCCCCTTCCCTTCCCATTCCACCTGCTTCCCACAGTTGATGCCCCTGGCCACCTTCGCTCGTCGTCCTCTGATCGGACGGCGAGACCAGGGCGTCCATCCTCTCGTTTAATTCAATTACATCTCCATCTGCCTCCGCCGCCGCCGCCGCCGTCGCCGTCGCAGCCATGTCTCGGATCTTGAACCCGTTTCAGCTCCTGGAGCTCACAATCATGTCCGGTCAGGACCTCCACCAGACCTCCCGCAAGATGAAGACCTACGCCGTCGCCTGGGTCCACCCGAACCGGAAACTATCCACCCGGGTCGACTCACTGGGCCACAACCGACCCACGTGGAACGACAAGTTCGTCTTCCGGGTCGACGAGGAGTTCCTCTACAGCGACACCTCCGCCGTCACGATCGAGATCTACGCCGCCCACTGGTTCCGCGACGTCCTCGTCGGCACGGTCCGGGTCCTCGTCGGCAGCGTCGCCCCGCCCCGGAACCAGACCCGCCCGAACAACCGGGTCCTCCGACCCGGCAACAAGTTCCTCGCGCTCCAGGTCCGCCGCCCGTCGGGCCGCCCGCAGGGCCTCCTCAATGTCGGCGTCGCCGTCCTCGACAGCTCGATGCGGAGCATGCCGCTCTACTCCGGGTCCTCCGCCGTCGGGTACCGGGATCTGATGGGCGGGAAGAAGAAGAACAGCAAGAAGGGCGACGATGAGAGCAGCAGCAGCAGCGATGGGGAAAGCAGCTTGTATTCCTCAATCCCTAACAAGAAGCAATTCTTTCTCCCCTGGATCCCTACCCCCGAATTGAGGCGGACCAAGAGCGATTCCAGCTCAACCCTAGATCTGCCGCCCACGGGGAAGGGGAAGAACAATCAAATCGGCAGATCCAAAGCCGGATCGATGTTGAGCGGGCTGGAGAGTTACCGTAACGGCAAATTCAACAAACCCCGTCAGCCCGAATCCCGAGGCAGCCAATCGGAGGTCGCCGGCTTGATGAAGAACAACAAGCCAAATCCGATGCCCTTACCGCCGGGTGCGAGATTCCTTCACGGCTCAGATACAAGCTCGTCATCGGACGGATTTTCCTCTATGGTGAAGAATCCGTATATGGGCCGCGCGCCGATAACGAACTCGGAGCTGGGCCCGTCCGCGTCGGAGGTGGCGGCGGCGACGGTGGCGAAGTTCCGAAACCTAAATTACAGATCTGAGAATGGGACGGAGAGCGACGAGATGGGCTCGTGGAGCCTGGAGAGCAGCATAGAGGGCCTGCAATCGAAATTGGAGCGGTGGCAGACGGAATTGCCGGCGGGTTACGCCGGGAGCGAGGTCCGGAGCGATCCGGCGAGCAGCAGCGGCAGCGGGAGCAGCATGGTCAGCGGGCCGGGCGGGAGCAGCGTGGTCAGCGGCGGTGGTAACGGCAGTGTGGTGAGGCACGGGAAGGGAGATAAGGGGGAAGGTGGATTCACGTGCTTGACGAACATTTGCGGGTTGCAGTTCACGATCGTGTGCGGCGGCGCCGCCGCGGCGAAGAGGAAGAAGAAGGCTAAGACACAAAAATGGGACAAGGCCAGCTCCATTTCTATTTGAGCAGGGTGGAGATTTTAATTTCCCTTTTTCTTAAAGAGCGCTGGGTGCGTACGTTAAAGGCAGCGTCGAAAGGTATTTTGTACATACTGAAAAGGCCGGTTTGGGCCGGGAGGTTGCGGTGCAGGATAAGGAAGTACGCACCCAGGGTGGATGTTAGGGGAGGTCGGCGTATGTTAGCTCATTTACCCCATTTTATTCAAACTCTTTGTCATCTTCATATTTTTGGTCTCGTTTTTTTTTGTTTCTTTGTTGTTTTTCCTCGTTAATTACTCAAATTAACTGTTCGGAAAACAGTGGGAATCAAGATTTAATTTTTTTGGGTAAGAATCAATATTTAAATTTAAGCTCAAGGAGTATAAGGATTCAATTACAAAATGGACTACCAGAGACAATAATACGTAGCTAATCAAATTAGCGATAAAAGAGTATGTTTACTTTTACCGTCTGTTTGGATAGGCTAAATTTTGAGGAAATGGATTTCAATTCTCAAACTTTTCATGATTCTCATGTTTGGAAGTAAAAAATAAAAAGGAAATGAAATTCCAAAAGGTAAAAGTTGGAAATTCTAAATCCTACCAAAAGTGGCCGGAATTGGTGGAGGAGTGATAGAATTAGTGGACCCCACATTAATTTTGACTCACCTTTACAAGAAAGCCCTTACTACTTTTGGATTTGAAATCATTAATATCAAGTGTTTGTGCCTAGTAGATACTAGGCGGTTTGTGGAGCTGGGGCGAGACGCCTGATCTCGGATGTCGGGGATCACTCTTGATACTCTGCAAAACAATGGTCCGGGGCGGTTCGCCCGGGACACTCTCCGAAGCTTAAGTTAGAGAGAGAAGTGGGAAGATGAGAATTTATGTAGAGAGATGAATAGTAGTTGGTCTCACCATTAATGCACTCACCCTCTATTTATACCTGGTTAAAGGGTGGTTGAGGCATTAAATGCTGTGTCGGGCGCCCCAGACCTGGTCGGGCGCCCATTCAGGCTTTTCGGGAAATGTCAGGCGTCCTGGGCAGGCTTTCAACCTTTCTGCAGGCCGCCTGCGGCTGGCAATAAATGCTCAGTCTTGCCTGACACCAGATACGCATCTTCAACGGCTCTCTGCCCCTCTGCGCTGCTCAGTTGCTTTATGTCAGGCGCCCTTATCCTATTCCTCGGGTTCGCAGTCGACCTTGGACCGCCCGCTGACCCGATCTTTCGATCGGGCCTGGATTCCTTATTGGGCCTTAAACTCCGACTCGCTTCTCTTGGGCCCGAGGCCCAAACACGCTCAACTATGCGGCCTAACAATTGCCCCTTAGACGGGAAAAGCCTAGGGTTTTGGCGGCTACCTGTAATGCTCTCAGCTTAGTTGAGCGGTTTGCTCCTCCTCCTTGTCCTGTTCTGCCCCTGGTCGCCAGAGACCTAGGGTTGCTTCTGCCTAAGCAGCGCTCTGACCGCCCTACGGGTTTTCCTGGTGGAAACACTTTATACACATGGCCGTGCATTGGTTGCCGTGCTCTGACACCGGGCAGGCAAAATGTCCTTTCACATGCCCGCTTTTTGAATTTTGCGGCCTAAAGCCTTCCCTCGGGCACTCAACCGTCACATCAGTCTCTTATGCCGCTATATATACCCCAAGTGTTTCTGTTGAGAAGAACCTTCGCATTCTCTCATTTCTTGTTCCCTATTTCAAAATTGCGCGGTGCTCTAAGTTCTCCCTCTCTCGTTATCTGGAGACTCATCCTTCCATCCCTGTGGAACGACGTCGATTTCTATCTTCCCTGAGAAGATCCCAGAAACGAGACAAGAAGAATAAGAGGAAACAGTTGTCCGCGATGGTTTCCCAAGCAACTACTCCCTCTGATAGTCAGAACCGCGGCTTTTCCGGTGACTCGGCGCCGCCGTCTGCCTCCGACGTTGCCACCAACACTCCTTCCGCTGGCGCGACGACCACCGCATCCGACACGGCGGCGGCCACTGCCGCCGGCAACGTCGCCGCTCCTCGAGTCAGCGCTGGGGCCGCACGCACTTCTGCTAAAACCGCCAGCGTCGGCGGTCCTGCCCCCGGAGCAGGTATGCCCGCTTTCTCCCACTCTTTAAGTTTATCCGACATAGAATGGGACTCAGAGGGTATTGAATTGCTATGTGGGGGTGGTAATGCGGTTGTCGCGAGCGAGCGTGTAGATAGATTTGACGGTTGCATTTTAGGGTTAGGAGTGGGCGTGCTAACCGACACGGCTACCTCTTTGGTTGACCGCGGCGCGACCTCCCGGGTTGGGGACAACCTGGTGGAGCTATCCTCGGAGAACGTGCCGGAAGACACGCCTCGCGACTCAGACAAAGAGGACTCGGTCGCGGATTCTCCTTCACTAGCGCTGTCAGAAACGCCTGTGATTTATCCATTTCAGGCGGTTGCTGATAGTGAGTACCGCGTGCGGCTGCATGCGGATATGTGGGAGGGGAGCGAGGTTCCTGATGCGGTTTATTCGTACGGACCAAAGTACAAACCCGCTTACTCTCCTACCCAAGTGCTCCACCAGCTGCATAGGCACCAGCTTCCTACTGATTGGGAGTATGCGGCTCCATCCCCGGACGGTAGCTGCCGCTCTTGCCCCGTCGGGTGGATCACCATCTTTACGGAGCACATGCGGCTAGGGTTGGAGTTCCCGCTGGACCCGCTTCTCACTGGGGTGCTCCTGAATCTTAACTGCTCCTTGAGCCGCCTTTCTCCCTCCATAGTATTCCACTCTATCTGCTATCGCGCGGCTTGCGACCGCTTAAAGGAGAAACCATCCCTTGACGCCTTTCGGCTGCTGTACGCCATGACTGGCTCGAAGAACTGCTGGTCCCCCCGAAGGCGGTCAAAGAATATCGGATTCGTTTATGGATCCCCGAAGCTGGATTCCCCGTGGTATAGCGAGTACTTCTTTGCTCGTCCGACCGGGAAATGGTATTCGGGAAACGTGGAGCCATTGACCGCGTTCTCCTTCGGGCGGACAGAGGACTGGGACGAAGGGGTCAAGCGGCTGCAGCATCTGAGGCCGCACCTCGACCGCATCATCTCGACTGTCCAGTTTCGGTTGCCCCCGCATGGGCATGATAACGCTCTTGAGATTGTGCAACGCTTTCACGGTTAGTTAGTTCTCCTAGACTTTGATGGGATGTAGCTTGCTCATGCCTTTACTTATGTATTCATTTTTCAGGTATCCGGCGTTATGCGTCCTCGGCGAGGCCGCCTAAGGTGGCGACGAGCGGGTCCCCCGCAGCTGTTATCTCCGGTCCCACTGCCTCGGAGGGCCCGCGGACCGGAGGCGGTTCCACCCAGTCGCAACTGGCGCTGGGACCCACAGGGACCCTTAAACTGACCGTCCTCGGCGGTCAGGGGGTGGCCCGCTCCGCGAGCAAGCGGCCACTAGAGGTGGTGGATGTCCAGGATGAGCCGTCTGCGGGGACTCAGCCAAAACTGAAAGGGATCCTTGTTGACCAGCGTTCCGAGCCGCCGGTTAATCAGAAAAAGCAGAAGACCACCACCCTTACTTCCAGCGCGGCGTACTCCCCGCATGTGACTTCTTCGGCTGATCCAGCTCGCCGCGCGCTCCATGCCATTGCCGAGGGGTTCGCCGTTCCGAGTGAGTACATGCGCGTGGCGGGCACCATCCCCACAACCTCTGACACTCGTCATCTGGCTGGAACGACTGCCCGGTGCTTCTTTGCGGTGAGTGACTTGACTTATTTTCAGTTCTGATATTCGATATGCATGTGGTACTGACTGGCTTAGCGGGCGCAGGCCCAGTTCGGGATAAGCCAGCTTATCCTGGCCAACGAGCGCCTGCTCGATGACTTGGGTGAGCGCGAGACCAAAATCCTCACGCTCGAGGAGCAGGTGAAGGAGGGGCGCGAAGGCTTCCGCCGGGAGCTGTGAGACGAGATCCTCAAGGAGCAGGAGGCGGCCGTAAAGGTGAAGGACGATGAGCTGCAAACCGCCAGAGGGGATCTGTCAAAGTCTGCCCGGGAGCTGGAGGAGGCCCAACAGAAAGTGCGGGAGGCGGCCGAGCGAGAAAAGGGGTTGCAGAGCAAGGTGGGAGAGTTGGAGGCTCGGGTAGCTGACTTGGAGGCGCGGCGGGAACGCGAGCTTAACGAGGCTAGGGAGGATGCTAGTGCAACCTTCTTTGAATCGGACGAGTTCAAGGCGGTGGACGAAGCCAAGTACCAGAAGTTACTGAGAGATACGGTAGCTTCTATCCGCCACCTGTTCCGCCGCGATCACCCGTACGTGTTGTGGGATCGAAATGCGGTCTGGGATGCGGTGGAGTTTTGGAGTGACAATGACGTCAACTCCGAAGTGGGAGACCAGTCCACGGCCGCCGCGACCACCACCGGGGAAGTCAACCAGCCCGCCTCCGCTGAGGGCGGCTCCTCCTAGTTTAACCAGTAATTTAACCAAGTGCTTTGTTTTCATCGCTTTCCCCCTTTGGGGCGTTTGATACATTCCGCCTCCGGGCGAGGTTTTGTAATATTTTGTTTTGGGATGATGCTTACGCTCCTTTTTCTCAATCTCTGGATGTTTGAGACCTTTACTTGCGGTTTCGATTGCCTTGACTTCCACTTCCTCTTCTTTGTGATGGACGAAACGTCCTCTTCGAGGTAGGCGCCTCCTGCCGCTCGAAGGCGGCTTCCAGGCTTGTGAGGTGGGATTTTACTTGTGAAATTTCGTAAAATGTTATGTTATTCCCTCTACCTGGCGACATAGTTCCTGTCCGGGTTGGGGGACCTTTACCCTTATTGTTCGAGTTAGGAACTTAGTTGGTCGCGTAGTTATTGCTCTGAAGCGGTTCCACCCCAATGTGGCGGTTTAGGTAGTGACCTATTGTTCGAGTTAGGAATTTGGGCACGTTGATATCGCTCTGGGGCGGTTATCTCCTAATGTGGCGCTGTAGGCGGTTACGCGCGAATGGCTCGCGGTTATGTTAAGCGGTCGAGAGTTATGAGAATAACTTAAATCAGTAATCATGAAAACATATCGCTCAGTGGCGACTTGAACTACTGAAGTCATTTACAGGAGTGCTGACTACCACTCCAACAAAAGCGCCTTTGACCGCGGCGTTGACCTCTTACAAAATTCCTACGACTTACACCTCCTTACTCGCTATGGTATTTCCTTAGATGAATAACATTCCAAGTCTTGGCTACTGGTTGCCCCTCCATGGTAGCTAGCACGTATGTGGAAGCCCCTATCTTCTTCGCTACTAGGAACTGTCCTTCCCATATGGCGGCCAGCTTGCCGTGTCCCTCTTTTTGCTCGAAATTCCTCTTGAGCACCTGACTCAACTCTACTGTCACTCTAGGAATTGGCCAAGTGTAACCACTTCCTAAAGCGTAGTATAGCGGGTTTAGGTTTAATTATCAACCCGGGTCCTAGATTTGCTGACTACTCAGTGAGTTCTTGTTATCTAGCAATAAAACTGGAGTGCAAGTCTAAACTACCAAACAAACAAAGCAAGTAAACTGGTTGTATTCAGGTTAAAGAGGTCACCCGGATATGGTTCCCCCTAGACTGCAGTTAAGCCGGATTGTAATTACCAAGTTCAGTTTCTATGACAGTTATACTGCGGAAGGTTCTCAAACAGCCTGAAGTCTCGACTAAAGGTCTTCAGACCCTCTCAATCTGACTCTCTAGCGGGCGACTAACCTCCACCGGAGTCGACAGATTGAGGCCCTAAGAACAAAACCTCCACTACCGGAGTAAATCCGGTACAGAATAGTGGGTTGGCTCCTCGACTAAAGTCACCAACTCCCTACCTTCAATCGAGGATACTCTATTAACCTAGGCAGATATTCTCATTCTAGGTTAAAGCAGAAACAACAGGAATTTGATCAGGATTCAAGTCATTCAATCATTAAAACCTCAATCGAATATAATCAATCACAGAATCAGTACTTGGGTTCATACAATCAAAGCCTAACATACAAATCTAGGGTTCTCCATACCCAGATGAATGGGAGAACTACTCCATGGAGAAGAAAGCAAAAGCAGAATCAGACACGGAATTCATACTGCAAAGGATGGATTCCTGCTTCTGGACGTTGAT